CAAATTTTTTACCTTAAAGCTGATCACATCATTGTTATATATGGTTAATATTAGAAGCTTCATCACTTGATGTATTTTCTGGTAGCCTAGGCTGGTTTAAGCTTCATTAACAGCTGACCAAGGAAGGCACAAAAAATTTTGCTAATCATTTTGTTGGGTTTTTTGTTTTCTTTTCTTTTTCCCCTTTTGTTGTGGATGATGGTAATATTTTTGAGAAATGTACTGCTGATCTGGTTAGTCTATTGAACTTGCAAAATTTTGCTTATAAACTTTGGCTAGAGGATATAATATGCACTTTAAATTACAAAATTCAGATGGTAAGTATGTTAAATTAAAAAATATATATGATAAGCAAAGAATTTAATACGAAATCCAGCAAAGTTTTGGGTTCAAGCTTGGTTCTTCCTGCAAGTTTACAAGGATATGCTATATGAACACTTTACAAGAATTTGTCCTGAACTTTTTTAATCATATTAAGGAGGTTGTCATAGACAATCTTTGCATTTCTTGATACTTAATAACTTTGATTTTTTTTTGTATGTATGATTTTTGTTTCCTAGCTAAATTGGTTAGAATAATTTTGATAATATAATAATATCTTTAGGGACGATAATAGGTCAAATCGAAATAAATTTTTATTCGTTCTGAATCTGATTTGATTTGATTTTATACTTACAATACCTAAATTTGTTTTATCTGATTTTTTTTATTCTTTAATATCTGAAAACAATACGATATTACATAAAATCGTATTCGATCAAATTTGATTTAAAATTAGTAAAATATTATTTTTTAAATAAAAAATTAAGTAAATATAAAATTAAATAATAAATAAAATATATATCAAATCGGGTCCGGATTTGTCTAAAATCTAACACCCACTTAATCTTAAAATTATTTTGCTATTATTTAATCTGACTTTATTTGAGATCCGATTTAACAAAAGGCCAATTCTAAAAAATTAGATTAGATCGAAAATCGTTGATCATGAGGATGCTATTGTTTTTGGTAAATAGAATTGTTTATGAAAACAAAAATTGTCTACATAACCAGTATATATAACAGTACTGAACAACATTTCGGGAAATGAATTGGTTTTCACTATTGCAACTAATAATCAAATTGTCCTTTTTTATCGAGCAGGTTTCTAGGACTGGATGCTAGCATGAGTGGTTCAAATGCATTTGGCCATTTTCTATGTAGACAAATGCCCAGAAATTTTTCTCAGAATGGGAAGGAAAAGCATAACTTTTATGCTTGAGAGCATATCCTATGATTTTAGTCATTTATTTTTTAAGATTATTTACAAGAGAATTTACGAATTGTTTTGAATTTTATGAAATTTATAAATTATTTACTAATACAAGACTGTAAAAATTTAAATTTAAATATTTTACATTTAAATTTTAAATCTTAAACACTTGCACAAATTCCCATTGTCATTTATTTCTCAAATTTTAATTAAATTAATGATTAAAAGTCTTGACCAACCAATACAAAATAACAAACTATTAAACTAGGTGTACTTTGAAGTAAAAAAGTTACTAATCAAAAAGAAATATATCACCTATAGTAAAATATTAAATATAGTATATTTTATTTATTTCATTATATTCTGGAGTTGAAAACAAAGAAAAAAAAATAGCAGTGTGTGACTAAAAATAAATAATTAAATCAAAATCCCAAAATATTAGTAGTAAATCTTGTTGAATAAATAAAGGTTTTGATATCTCCTTAAGCTTTAATAATGGGTGCTAAAAAGTTTTAAGGAAATTGTCATGGGGATGGATAGAATGTATTGTAACTCCTCCATGAATCCCTTTTTCGGTTGCATAGAAAGATTAAGCAATCGAGTAAAAAAAAATGGGGCAAATTTGGAACAGACAAAAAATAGGTTGAAACTAGAGATATAATTGATCGAGTTTGAATTGATATAATATTAAATTTAAATTCAAGCTTGATTTGAAATTTAATGTTCAAAACTCGATTCGAACTCAATCGAATTTAATTTTTTTAACTCAAATTCAATTTGAAATAAAAATCGAGTTAGTTCGATTATGTTCTATTAACATGTAAAAAAAAAATTCGATTTTTATATTCGATAAAAGTTCAATTATTTGTACTTGAGTTCGAGTTTAATATATTTTATTAATTAAAATAATAAAATTATATTAAAATGTAAAAGTTTGATTAGACTAGTAAGCTTATCGAACTTAATATAAAAATATTTGAATTTGACTCAATCAATAAGTTGATCTAGTCGAGCTCAAGTTTTATTCGATAAAAATCAAACTAAATTCAAATTTTATTTGAATTAAATTCGAATAATTTGTGAATATTAATATATTATTTACATTCTTAATTAAAATAGGATATAAGGAGAAAGAAGAAGGTCCTGTTTCAACTTTCTATTAGGGCCCATACATACCTTTGTTGGGCTAATTAGTAAACAGCCGAATCGAAACCGACCGTAATTGGGCTATTAATGTAGCAAACCCACTCTCACAATTTTTCGTACACATAGATGCTTTTGCTTTAAATTTTGTAGATGGATTTGTAGTATTAAAAAAGAAATGACACATTCTTATATGATAATTTATGAAAAAATATGACATAATTTAAAATTTTGATAGGAGTTTGATAAAAATTAAAATTTATATTTATATTTTTTTATTTATATGAATTATGATAAGATAATTTTTATATTTTATATGTTTTCAATACGAAATAAAATACAATACATTTTTTATAAATATATATAAAAGATAAAATTTCTAACAAAAAATAATTATCCAACGTGGATAATCTTAATTTTTTATACATGGATAATATTTAATAATTGACACATTATTTTATATAACAAATTATATTTATTTTCCTTTACTTTTGTAATTGACTTGTCTTTTACATATATTTTGGATTACTATAAATAAGAGTTTTTACAAACCTTAAAAACTAAAAACTAAGTTTGAAATTTGTTTAAAAAAATTGTTCATGCATGTCGTTTCTTCTTATTTCTTTATTTATTATAACATTTTCACATGAAAAAACTTCATTTGCTTGTTTGTTTATTATTTGTTCAAGCATTTTTTTTATTTTGTTTCTTCGTATTTTTTATTTTTATTCAATTAACTATTTTTAATTATGTTTAACTTTATTAGTTCCTTTGATAAAAATGGATGGTATAAACATGAGTTCAAATGAAAAAATTAAAAACGATGATAATTAAAAAAAAATCAATAATACTATATTATATTACACGGATTTAAGATAATGTGACATACGATATTTAAATAGATATGCTCAATTTTTAATTTTTTTTTCATATATTTAGAAAGTCGTACCTCCATACTTGTATTCATATACGTGTTAGATATGAGTAATTCAAAAAAAATGAAGAATTAAGCAAAATAGAAATTACCATATAGGTACCAATTTTACATAAGCTTTAGGTGGTTTTGATGTTGTGATGAATTTGCATGAAATAAGGATTTTATTCACATTTTATGTGTAGGTGATGCCTTGAGAATTATCAACTAAATGAAGTAGATAGCAACATATTTATCAATTATAGGAACCTCATGGTGTAGCAAAGGCAAGGCTTAATTGCCAAAGCGTCAACGAAGCTGCCCGTATCATGGCAAAACACGCAGTGTATGAAGGAGAATTTGTAGGAATGTCCATATATCATTTAAAATATTGCATGAAAGTTATTAACCATTAAAAAACAATTCTTAATTATTTTCTCATTAATTAAGTTAAAAAATAATTATGGCTTCTTTGTTTATAAATTATATTTCAAGATATGTTAATGTAAATTGATCCAAATAGATATAGATTCTCCAGAGTATGCCAATCAACATTTATTCATTCCATTAAAATGTCAAGGATATTTAAGTATCAAATTAAATATTTATAATAAATATTTTGAACCATTATTATAGTATACAATTAAGAATTTTTAATTATTCTCTTTATTATTCGTAAATATATTTGGTTACATAAAACGATAAAATATTTGAAAATTATTCTATTAGTAAATTCGATTACGAGATTACTATTAATTTTAATATAATTTCAATAATTTAGAATCAAATATTATTAAATTTTATTTAAATATCACTACTGGATAAGACAAGACTACGATACAAAATATATTTCTTTAAATTTTATTATAATTACATATTGATCTAGAATATTTATTTCTTGTTTACTTATTTTACATCAAAATTTTTATTTTTATATAAAAATGATTATTATAGTTAATCTTTTTATAAAAAATTATATATCTAATATCACACAAACTTGAAATTAATATACACAAATTATTAAATCTAAATTAACCCTAAATTTATGCTATTAAAGAAACAAAATCAATTCGGCAAAAAGTCTTCCCAAACGTATCAAATATCTAATTGAAAGTCAAAGCTTCATGATCCTCGACTTCAAACTATTATTAAGGTAACATGCAAGGGCCAAGCGGTAAGTAATACTAAAAGCAATAAAATAATTCTTAATGTACGATATAACTATTGTTTGCTGTATAATACTGTTAAGGATATTTTGAAATTTGGGGTAAATTGATTTTTTTATTAAAAATTATTAATAAATAATTAAAAATATTTTAATTTTTAATTTAATTTCACATATTTAATATTGTATCAATTCGATTACATTATTTTTTTACTTCATAAATTTTTTACTTTTTACTTATAAATAAAATTATTTAAATATTATTTATTTATTTTTTATTTCAACATTCTTTATTTCGATCTTTATTTTAAATGTTAAACTATAAACATAAAAAATACTTTCTACCTTTACTATTAACCAATTCCTTTTTCTTACGTGATTTTATAATTTTCACTCTTAACTCGGACACAAAAACAAATACTAAATCAAAACGTTAGCAAACAACTCAATCAAATTTATATACGATAAATCGAGGTGAACCAGTATCAACAAGCCACCTGTCTCACAAGAAGAAACAACTGTAGTCCGTGAAACACCTGAACTACACCCCCCTCAATGGTTCCTTCTTGCGATTAATAGACAGCACTCTGTTCATTCGGCGCCAAAGTTTCTCCCTCTTAAAAAAAAAAAAAGACAACAAAAATTAAAGAAGAAAGAAAAAACTTTTTCTTCAAAAGATTTATAGGGTTTTGGTTTATATCCGATGTTAAGATTTTTAGTGTTTTTTCTCTACTATGTTATTGTTACATTCACTCTCAAAATTTAGGGTTCGGTTTTAAATTTTTTTTGTACTTTGAAAAAGGAATCTGAGTTGATTTCATGGCTGACTGGCAACAGCTTTTGCAATCGATTTTCATAGGTCTTCTATTCTCTTACCTTCTCGCTAAGCTGATCTCCTTAGTCGTTTCTTTCAAAGAAGATAACCTTTCAATTACCCGATCCGGAATCACCCATGTCCAAGCTAACAAGAAACTTGATTCGGGTTCCGGATCTGACACGCATGGCCGCACTGATCACGGGGGACCCCACGAGGCGGATTCGGTGATCGCCGAAGTGGGAAGTGTTAGGAGCGAGAGTGACGATGATGATGAGGATGATGACGACGATTGGGAAGGGGTGGAGTCTACCGAGCTGGATGGCGCGTTTAGTGCGGCGACGACTTTCGTGGCGGCGGCGGCGGCGGATCGGTTGTCGCAGAAGGTGTCGAATGAGGTGCAGTTGCAGCTTTACGGTTTGTACAAGATTGCCACCGAAGGACCTTGCACTGCTCCTCAGCCTTCCGCTTTGAAAATGACGGCTCGTGCTAAGTGGTAAGGCGGTGCTTATTGGCGTTTTCTGCATTTTTTTGCCTTTTTCTTATTCTTCGTGAAATTTTTGATTGTTTGTTTTTGGGTTGTTTTTTATATTTGGAAATGTGAATGCTACAGATGGGCTTACTGAGTATAATTTATTTTGCTTCGCTGGCGACAACAGATTCTTTGATAAAAGCTTTGACTTAGTTCTGAGTAGTGCATTCTTTGCACATTTTATGAATCAAAGTTTTACTTGTTTTCTTGAAGCTCTTATTATGAGTAGACATTTGGGTAGCGTTGATGATTATTTAGTTGATTCCTCATTCAATTGTTTCATCTACATATTCAAGACCTGAATGATTGAAAATTGCTTGAGAATTTACTGCCCTAGTTATTGAATTCGGTTATTTAATTTTTCTTAGGCAAGCGTGGCACAAATTGGGTGCTATGCCTCCAGAAGAAGCAATGCAGAAATACATTGATATCGTTTCAGAGCTATATCCAACTTGGGCTGCTGGTTCAGCTATGGTGCGATTTTAATTTTAGTGGAGTGCTATCTTGCCTTTTCTTTGATACCGTTTTATTTGTATCTACTTTCTTTTCGTTTTTCTTTGTTTTGCTGATTTACTGGTTTCTCGTCAACCTTTGTTTCTGGAAGAGCAAACTTGGGGCGGATAATGCTGCAAGAAAAAATGCCAAGGGACCAATGGGACCAGTTTTCAGCTCTTTTGTATACGAAGAGGGATCTGGAAATGAGTTGTAAGGTTCTTAGAGCTTCATCATACTGGTCTTTCTATATGCTATTCATTAGGTGTCTTTATGTCTCACTGAGGTTAACAAGGTAGGAGATAATTAATTGAATTGTTTATTGGGTACATTTTGATGTAAACTAGACCTTTTGTTGTATATTTGGATGTTATTGGGCTTGAATTTAGTGCATGGCTGATGATATATCTTACAGATATCCCATATTTACTTGAGCAAAATCTAGATATTTGAAGTTGCTTGCTTGTGATGGCATAATTGGTTTTAAACATGCAGGTTTACTATGCATATTTGAATAGAAAAAACTTTTTCCTTTCTTGAGGTGTAAGTCAACCATGTTTGCCTTTCTACTCATGATAGTAAAATTTTCGCTTCTTGGTATATACTATGTTGTAAACATACGTATGAAGGAGTTGTAACAAATGTGAGGAGGTTTGGGGGCTTGATTGATAGTTTTCTCATTATCTCAGGATTGCATCAAGGCTCCGCACTAAGACCATCTCTTTTTGCGGTAGTAATGGACGAGCTCATTGGGCATATCCAAGATAAGATGTCATGGTGTATATTATTTGCCGATGATATAGTCTTAATTGTGAAATTAGTGATAATCTTAATGTGGAATTAGAATTATGGAGGCAGCCATTGGAGTCTCGAGGCTTTAAATTGAGTAGATCTAAAACTAAATATATGGAATGTAAGTTTAGTAGTTATAGGAAAGTGAGTGCTAATATGATTAAGTTGGATGATAAGGTAGTACCAAAGAGTAGTCGTTTTCAATATTTGGGATTAATTATTCAGAGCGATGCTGAGATAGAAAGGGATGTAAATTATAGGATTCAAACAAGATAGGTAAGGTGGCGAAGTGCATTGGGTGTGTTGTGTAATCACAACATACTTTTAAAGTTAAAGGCGAAGTTGTATAAAATAGCTGTAAGGCCTTTATTGTTATATGGGATTGAGTTTTGGGCTATTAAGAAACAATATGAGAAAAAAAAGAGCATAATTGAGATGAAGATATTTAGATAGATGTGTGGTAAGATTAAAAGAGAAAATTAGATTCAAGAAAAATTAGGGGTAATCCGAATTGAAGAAAAGATGAGAAAGGATCATTTGAGATGGTTTGAACAGGTGAAATGTAGGCTTATTTGTGTACCAATTAGGAGAAGTAAGCTTCTGGATTTGGGAGAGGCCAAAGCTTCTAGAGGTAAAGCACGAAAGTCATGGATGCAAGTTATAAGAAATGATATGAGGGTTAAGGAAGTAAATGAAAAGGTTATTTCTGATAAAAATGAGTGGTGCAAGAAGATTTAAACTACGAGCGAACATGATTTTTTTTGTCTTTCATACAGCCGACCTCAGAGTTATGGGATATAAGGCTTAATTTGTTGTTATTGTTGTTGTTATATACTATGTTCAGGTTCTACTTATCACTTGCCTATCCAATCCAATATAATTATGGAGTCATCAAACAATTAAATCCTCCAAAATCAAAGGTCATTTAACTTTGTACTGTGAATAGGGAATGAGCTGTTCTAGGATTTATGATTTATATTTTCAAGTCTCATTTTTTCTGTTTGTAGGGCATTCTATATGCTCTTTTACAAGCATTGGTGTTGCCTTTTCATATACAATGCCTTAGGTATAGTATAAGTTGCTATGTGCTGATTGTCAATATGCTTGCCCTTTTTTGAACTATGGAATGGTTCCTGTTAGCTCAAAGGAGTGCATGTTTATAAGTGATTCATTAATGAATTAAACTTTCCTTCTCCTGTCATTTAAACAAAAAATTCTATATTACTTAATATCTAAGGGTACTGTTTTCTAGTATCTAAGAGTTTTGACGGGAATGCAAAAGGATTATTGTTTTTCAGGAAAATGGATGCTATTCATGCTTTTGCTAGAGAAGGAGAACTGGATAATTTGCTTAAATGCATCGAAAGTGGTGTTTCTGTGCATTTGCAAGGTTTATTTCTATTAGTTGTTTTTTTCCCTTTAAAGGACTTGCATACCAGGGGTTTGAAAGACTTGCATAACCTTATAGGCTGTTTGCTTATGATGCTTGCAGACAGTGAAGGAAGGACCCCGTTGCATTGGGCTGTAGATCGTGGCCATTTTAAAATTACAGAAGCTCTTGTTAGCAGGAATGCTGACGTGAATGCTAAGGTAATTATTGTATTGCTGTCACTTTTTTATTGGTTTTCACCCCCCTGATATGCTTCCGAGTGCTGAAACTATTCATAATGTCTTGATGGATCTTTAATGCATGAACAAATATGAAATAATTTTCTCTGCAATGTTTTTGGACCGTTTTCAAAAGTGTACTGGAGCAAATGAGAAATGTTTTGGGTGGTTCATGCATCAGCTTGAACCTATTAAATGGTGCCCTATATTCTTCATATATATTTCTCTTTCTATTTCTGGTGTTGTAATCACTGTTGTTAAATTCTTTATTTTTTTATTGAAAGGACAATGAAGGCCAAACCCCCTTGCACTATGCTGTTGTGTGTGAGAGGGAAGACATTGCTGAATTTCTTGTGAAGCAAAATGCAGACAAAGATATGAAGGATGACAATGGCAACTCTCCAGTTGACCTGTGTGAGTCAGATTGGCCTTGGTTGCAACGTGCAGGCAAAGCTGACTGACCTACGGTTTATTCTGAGTTTGCTTTCAGCTAAAGTAGTTGTTGACAAATTTCTCATGAATGTATATGGCTATAAGTAAACCTTCTGTTCTTTTTCCATAGTTATATTGCTAATGTGGGCCTGGGGCACTATGTTGTCCATTACCATAATCTCCGTAGTTACTGTTCCCTCTACCTCCATAAGTAGATTGAAGAGAATACAAAGGTGAGTTTCTACTTTCCTTTGTCATTGCATCATGAGTTGAATGAATGAATGCATTGGATAGAGGCCTAGCTGGACGTATCCGGACAACTGGGCAGCTCCATGAGGTCAAAGTATCTGTCAAAATCCTCTCCTCAATCTCTCCCTGGTGTGAATGCTAAACAAATTTAAAACATTCAGCTTAACAATAATTTCTGAAAATCTGTCTTAATAATGGTTTTAGTAGGAAAAAAACCCAGATCATCAACCAGAATTTCGGAACTAATTCTATACTATAAATGGAGTTACTGCCTTAGATTACTTGTTCTGCTGAAGTAACTAAAAGTGAGTAAAATCAACCACCTCCTCTAACTCAATAAAAAACTGTCAACCGTCCGATCAAAATGACTAAATATTGCCTCCTATGGCTAAGCGACTTTAATGTCAACCTAATTTCTTTAAAAGCAATCTTAACCATCAAGTAGGGACCTTTTTCCGTTCGCAAAATCCTTCCGTATAAAAATGTCAGTCAACTTTACAACAGGGGCCCATTTAAACAACCTGTGAAACGCGTACTAGCCAATAACAGCCAAAGAAATTAATACTAGATTTGTATAATAAATTATTTGAGTCCAGCTCGAAATCCGCTTCTGCTTCTATTCCTCTTCTTCTCCTTCTTGTTCTTTCCCTTTTATCCTTTTCTTTTACCCTCTCCAATTATTAGGGTTTTATTCAGCGCAGCCGCTTTTGATCTTCTCGATCAGTGAAAGGTAAAGACTGCATCGAATTTCGTGTTTTTAAGGTGATTTTGTCGAACTCAACTCTGAATTTTATTTTTGTATGTAAGTAGGGTTTTGATAGTATTTTGGGTATTCGATATTGAATTACTTGATCCGCTCTCTTTTTTTAGTACTAATTAGAGTACTATATTTTCTTTGGAAAGATTTTGAATGATCGAATTTGTACATGATATTGTATTTAGTTTAAATCTAATTTGATCTGGGATTGTCCCTTGATTTTAGTTGTCGAAGTGGCACAATTGATCCCGAATATTTAAGTGTTCCTATCTGTTGCTTAGTATGTAACATCTAGAGATGACAATATGGTTTTGATTCATTCGCCGCATATTGGTATTAGACTTGTTACTTTCGTTTTCTCTTTTTCAATGAATTTTAAGTGAAAGGAGTTATGTTAGTTTCACTTTAGTTTGGATGTGTTTCTCCTTATACAGTTCTTTTATCTTCCATGTGTTTTGGAATATTCAGTGCTATACTGTATTTGGCTATTGAGTTTCTGGGTATCTCATTGATTTAAATTGTTGATGCTTTCAGAAATACTGGTGTGATGGAAGTTACACAGGTGCTTTTGAATGCACAATCCATAGATGGAACTGTGCGGAAGAATGCTGAAGAAAGCTTGAAACAGTTTCAAGAGCAGAACCTTCCTGGTTTCTTGCTGTCACTTTCTGGGGAGTTGGCAAATGAGGAGAAGCCTGTGGAAACACGTAAATTAGCAGGTTTAATACTTAAGAATGCGTTGGATGCTAAAGAACAGCCCCGGAAGTTTGAGCTTGTTCAAAGATGGTTGTCATTGGACAGCAATGCAAAGAGCCAGATTAAGGCATGCTTACTGAAGACTCTGTCTTCTCCAGTATCTGATGCTCGGTCTACTGCATCTCAAGTCATTGCCAAGGTTGCTGGCATTGAGTTGCCACAGAAGCAGTGGCCCGAGTTGATAGGTTCACTTTTATCAAATGTTCATCAGCTACCAGCTCATGCTAAGCAAGCCACTTTGGAGACTCTTGGGTATTTGTGTGAGGAGGTATCCCCTGATGTTATTGATCAAGATCAAGTAAATAAAATACTTACGGCTGTAGTTCAAGGAATGAGTGCATCAGAACGAAACACTGATGTGAGGCTTGCTGCTACAAGAGCACTTTACAATGCGCTGGGATTTGCTCAGGCAAATTTCAGCAATGACATGGAGCGTGATTATATCATGAGAGTTGTCTGTGAGGCAACACTGTCCCCAGAAGTGAGGATAAGGCAGGCAGCTTTTGAGTGTTTGGTCTCCATTTCATCAACTTACTATGAGAAACTAGCTCCATATATCCAGGATATTTTTAACATCACAGCAAAGGCTGTAAGGGAAGATGAGGAACCTGTTGCCCTTCAAGCAATTGAGTTCTGGAGTTCAATATGTGATGAGGAGATAGATATTTTGGAAGAATATGGAGGTGATTTCACTGGGGACTCTGATATTCCTTGCTTTTACTTTATCAAGCAGGCTCTCCCTGCCCTTGTTCCCATGCTGTTGGAGATGCTGTTGAAGCAGGAGGAGGATCAGGATCTGGATGAAGGGGCTTGGAATATTGCAATGGCTGGGGGAACCTGTCTTGGTTTGGTTGCACGGACTGTAGGAGATGATATTGTCCCCCTTGTTGTGCCGTTTATTGAGGAGAATATAACAAAACCAGATTGGAGGCAGAGAGAAGCTGCAACTTACGCCTTCGGTTCAATTTTGGAGGGCCCTTCTCCTGAAAAGTTAATACCTCTTGTGAATGCTGCCCTAACCTTCATGCTCAGTGCTTTGAATAAGGACCCCAATAGCCATGTCAAAGACACTACTGCTTGGACCCTTGGACGAATCTTTGAATTCCTTCATGGCTCAGCTGTAGATTCACCCATCTTCACTCAGGCAAATTGCCAACAGATAGTCACAGTTCTGCTACAGAGTATGAAGGACACTCCAAATGTTGCTGAGAAGGCCTGTGGTGCTCTCTATTTCCTTGCTCAAGGTTATGAGGAGGTGGGTCCATCATCTCCTTTAACTCCTTTTTTCCAGGAAATTGTGCAGTCCCTACTCACTGTTACTCACAGAGAAGATGCTGGGGAATCCCGGCTGAGGACTGCTGCCTATGAGACATTGAATGAAGTGGTGAGGTGTTCAACAGATGAGACAGCTCCGTTGGTGTTGCAATTGGTGCCTGTCATCATGATGGAGCTTCATAACACTCTTGAGGGTCAGAAACTGTCATCCGATGAAAGGGAGAAGCAGAGTGAATTGCAAGGCCTTCTTTGTGGGTGCTTACAAGTCATTATTCAGAAGCTTGGTTCATCAGAACCAACCAAGTATGTGTTCATGCGGTATGCAGATCAGATAATGGGGCTTTTCCTAAGGGTTTTTGCTTGTAGGAGTGCAACTGTGCATGAGGAAGCCATGCTTGCTATTGGAGCCCTTGCTTATGCAACAGGACCAGATTTTGCAAAGTACATGCCAGAATTTTACAGGTACTTGGAAATGGGTCTTCAGAATTTCGAAGAGTACCAAGTCTGTGCTGTCACAGTTGGTGTTGTGGGTGATATTTCCAGGGCATTAGAGGAAAAAATTGTTCCATACTGTGATGGGATTATGACACAACTTCTCAAGAATTTGTCAAGCAATCAGTTGCATCGTTCAGTGAAGCCTCCCATATTTTCATGCTTCGGCGACATTGCATTGGCAGTAGGAGAATATTTTGAAAAGTACTTAATGTGGGCCATGTCTGCACTTCAGAGAGCGGCAGAGTTGTCTACCCATGCAGCAGGTGATGATGAATTGACAGAGTACAGAAATTCCCTGAGAAATGGAATTCTGGAGGCATATTCTGGGATTTTCCAAGGATTTAAGAATTCTCCAAAGACCCACCTCTTGATTCCTTATGCACCTCATGTTCTCCAGTTCTTGGATGGTATATACGTGGAGAAAGACATGTGAGTTCTACTAAAGGATACTCTTTTAAGCTTTTACTCTTTTGAATGGCTTGGTTTTTTATGTGTGGATATTAACAATTTTTTTATGTTACCTATAGGGATGATGTGGTCATGAAGACTGCCATTGGAGTCCTTGGAGATCTAGCTGATACATTGGGAAGTCCTGCTGCTACTCTGATACAGCAATCTCTCTCAAGCAAAGACTTTTTAAATGAATGCTTGTCTTCAGAGGACCATATGATTAAAGAATCTGCTGAATGGGCGAAGTTGGCCATTAGTCGAGCCATTTCTGTTTGAGGGTGTTGCCATTCAGCATGTTTATTTTCTTTTGGAAGTCCAAGCATTTGGGTGTGTCGAGTTGAGGGTCTGGGATTGCATGTGTCAAGTCATTGCCATTTTCAAGACAACAGAAGTTATCAGTCTTCAAGTTGTCATTAACTCTTGCATCATCATCATGAGGTCAGATTCCATTTTTTGTCATTAAGGAAGGGGATTGGGATTGTTTCATAGAAGTTGATGGATGTCTCGATGAAATTGGGGGAGAGGATATATTTCGGTCCTAAAGAGTTGAAGTTAAGGAGGCCAGAGGGATCAGTAACCATGATTTGCTGGAGTGACTGACTAGTCAGGTAGCTTGGTCACTTGCTTCTCATACGCCCCCTGTGTCAAGACAAACATCATTTTTGCCTTGATTTGTTTTTCTCCAAGTAAATTTATATATTGTTGGAGTGGAGGAATGAGGCTCTGCTTTTCACCATTGTCCATCTATCACCTAGTTTTGGTTCAAGTGTTTCTCACCCCCTTGATTTTGTAGTTGAAGTCTTCATATTTCTTTTAAAGTATACATCAGTGGCTGGGTTGTATTTAATCTCCGGTGCTTCTTTTTGTATATTTGGTTTCGGTGGAGTCGGGGGTTAACCACATCATGCTATTGTCAGCATTCCATCCTGCATTCCATTATTATTATTGTTGTTGTTGTTGTTTTTTTTTTTTTTTTTGGTTTTTAATTCCAATGGTTACCAAGTCTGGAGTTAATTGTTCAAATATCATGCATTCATAAGTTTATCTGTTTTGCGTTCCCGTTGCCTCAAAGTTGAGATTGTATACTATATTTTTGGTTATCGCTGCTTATAGAGAAGCTGATACTACATCGGAATTTGGGCCGAAATTTAATGGATGATAATATAGTTTATGTATTTCTGGGTTAGCAGGAGTTTTACTTTGCTGACAAGTGTCATAAACGCATTTGTTAAAAGAATTATTAAATAATTTAATTTTTCAATTTATTGAAATTCAATCTTTAATAGAATATATTGTTAATGTTTTATATTTAACTTAAAGAGCGTCTTCAAGATATTAGTTAGGAAGAAAATGATTAATTTGAGTGATTGCTTATTTCATACGAGCTTGGGATTCATATTTTGTCATTTATAATTCTTTCATTTTTTTTAACGTATATTTTTGTAATAGAAATATTTTAAAGTAATATATTATCTACATTAAAATTTATTATTTTAATTATCAATTATTATTTTTAATATAAAATATTATAATAAATAACGATCTTATTAATATTGAAGATTAAGTAGTGTTTTAGGTATTCTTGTAAAATCTTTTTTAAAATATAAAAAAAGTAAATTCATAACAATTTTCTGTTAAAGTTTTTATAATACGGATAAACTACTTTTAATTTAAAATATAAATAAGGATTATTATAAGTATTAAAAGTGGAATAATCTCTAATCCTTATGAAGTTAATTAAATTATTATTTTAATTATTTTAATTTTTATGAAGTTTTAGGGACATGTAAAAATTATATTTTTATTTTTCCACCAATTTATTATAATCGGAAACAAATATTACAAGAAAATTAACAAATTAAATTGATTAGTTAATTAATCGACAAAAAATTAAATCAAACTCGCAAGTTAATCAAGGAACTTGCATTTAATTAAAAAAAATCCAATATAAAATCAGATGAAATTCATGCAAGGTGATATTTGAAGTTAAAATTTTGAAATTCGGGGATTTCTTTTTTATTAAAATAAGTTTTCATTAAATAATAATAAAATAAAGCATTACTTTTGAATATAATTTTTTTAAATAATATTTTTAAGCCGTGTAACTTTTCCTTCTAAAAAATAAATTACATAATAAATTTGTATAAATTATTTGAGTCCAGCTTCAAATCCGCGTCTCCTTCTTCATCGCTTCTTCTTGGTCTTCTTTTTGCTTTTTCTGTTTTATTTTCTCTCTCCAATTATTAGGGTTTTATTCAGGCCCCAACGCTCTTCTTCGATCGGTGAAAGGTAAGGTCTGCATCGAATTTCGTGTATTTTAAGGTTATATTGTCGAATTCTCCTCTGAAGGTTTCATTTCTTGTTCGTAGTTAGGGTTTGGGATAGTGATTTTGTGTATTTGATATTGATTGCATCCGCACCTTTTTTTTTATTACTGTTTAGATCCCTAGGGTTCTGTTTATTTGGAGTACTAATCAGAGTATTAGATTTTTTGGAAAGATTTGAATGATCGAATTTCTACGTGTTTATTATATTTAATTTAAATCTAATTTGATCTGGGAGTTTTTTTTTATTTTACTTGTCGAATTGGCACCATTGAACCCGAATATTTAAGTGTTCCTCTTAGCTGCTATGTACCTAAGTAGAGATGATAATTGGGTTTTGATGGGTCAATTTGATTCATTCGCTACATATTGGTTTTATTCTTGTTACTTTCGTTCACTTTTTTTCAATAAATTTTGAGGGAACCGTTTTATGTTAGTTTTCCTTTGGTTGGGATCTTTTTCTCATTATACGGTTTTTCATTACCTTTAACGTGTTTTCAGGATTGAAGTGTTGTAATATTTAGGCTGTTTAGCACTGGATTTTTGTGTGTCTGATTGATTAAATTGTTAATGCTTTCAGAAATATTAGAGGCAATGGAAGTTACACAGGTGCTTTTGAATGCGCAATCAATAGATGGAGCTGTGCGGAGGAATGCTGAAGAAAGCTTGAAACAGTTTCAGGAGCAGAACCTTCCTGGCTTCTTGCTGTCACTTTCTGGAGAGTTGGCAAATGAGGAGAAGCCTGTTGAAACGCGTAAATTAGCTGGTTTGATACTTAAGAATGCATTGGATGCTAAGGAACAGCACAGGAAGTTTGAGCTTGTTCAAAGATGGTTGTCATTGGATGGCAATGCAAAGAGCCAGATTAAGGCGTGCTTACTGAAGACTCTGTCTTCTCCAGTGCCTGATGCTTGGTCAACTGCATCTCAAGTCATTGCCAAGGTTGCTGGCATTGAGTTGCCACAGAAACAGTGGCCCGAGTTGATAGGTTCACTTTTATCAAATGTTCATCAGCTACAAGCAAATGCTAAGCAATCCACTTTGGAGACTCTTGGGTATTTGTGTGAGGAGGTGTCTCCTGATGTTATTGATCAAGATCAAGTAAATAAAATACTTACAGCTGTAGTTCAAGGCATGAGTGCTTCGGAGGGAAACCCTGATGTGAGGCTTGCTGCTACAAGAGCACTTTACAATGCTCTGGGATTTGCTCAGGCAAATTTCAGCAATGACATGGAGCGTGATTACATCATGAGAGTTGTTTGTGAGGCAACCCTGTCCCCAGAAGTGAGGATAAGGCAGGCAGCTATGGAGTGTTTGGTCTCCATTTCATCAACTTACTATGAGAAACTAGCTCCTTATATCCAGGATATTTTTAACATCACAGCAAAGGCTGTAAGGGAAGACGAGGAACCTGTGGCTCTTCAAGCCATTGAGTTCTGGAGTTCAATATGTGATGAGGAGATAGATATTTTGGAAGAATATGGAGGTGATTTCACTGGGGACTCTGATATTCCTTGCTTTTACTTTATCAAGCAGGCACTCCCTGCCCTTGTTCCTATGCTGTTGGAGACACTCTTGAAGCAGGAAGAGGGTCAGGATCAGGATGAAGGGGCTTGGAATATTGCAATGGCTGGGGGAACCTGTCTTGGGTTGGTTGCACGGACGGTAGGAGATGATATTGTCCCTCTTGTTGTACCATTTACTGAGGAGAATATAACAAAACCAGATTGGAGGCAGAGGGAAGCAGCAACTTACGCCTTTGGTTCTATCTTGGAGGGTCCTTCCCCTGAAAAGTTAATACCTCTTGTGAATGTTGCCTTAACCTTCATGCTCAGTGCTTTGACAAAGGACCCAAATAGCCATGTCAAAGACACTACTGCCTGGACCCTTGGACGAATCTTTGAATTCCTTCATGGCTCAGTTGTAGATTCACCCATCATCACTCAGGCAAATTGCCAACAGATAGTTACAGTTCTGCTACAGAGTATGAAGGACACTCCAAATGTTGCTGAGAAGGCCTGTGGTGCCCTCTATTTTCTTGCTCAAGGTTATGAGGAGGTGGGTCCATCATCTCCTTTAACTCCTTTTTTCCAGGAAATTGTGCAGTCCCTTCTAACTGTCACTCACCGAGAAGATGCTGGGGAATCCCGGCTGAGGACTGCTGCCTATGAGACATTGAATGAAGTGGTGAGGTGTTCAACAGATGAGACAGCTCCATTGGTGTTGCAATTGGTGCCTGTCATCATGATGGAGCTTCATAACACTCTTGAGGGGCAGAAACTGTCATCTGATGAAAGGGAGAAGCAGAGTGAATTGCAAGGCCTTCTTTGTGGGTGCTTACAAGTCATTATTCAGAAGCTTGGTTCATCAGAACCAACCAAGTATGTGTTCATGCAGTATGCAGATCAGATAATGGGGCTTTTCCTAAGGGTTTTTGCTTGTAGGAATGCGACTGTGCACGAGGAGGCCATGCTTGCAATCGGAGCCCTTGCTTATGCAACAGGAACAGATTTTGCAAAGTACATGCCAGAGTTTTATAGGTACTTGGAAATGGGTCTTCAGAATTTCGAAGAGTACCAAGTCTGTGCTGTCACGGTTGGTGTTGTGGGTGATATTTCCAGGGCATTAGAGGAAAAAATTGTGCCTTTTTGTGATGGGATTATGACACAACTTCTCAAGAATTTGTCGAGCAACCAGCTGCATCGTTCTGTGAAGCCTCCCATATTTTCATGCTTTGGCGACATTGCATTGGCAGTAGGAGAGTATTTTGAAAAGTATTTAATGTGGGCCATGACTGCACTTCAGAGTGCTGCAGAGTTGTCTACCCATACAGCAGGTGAGGATGAATTGATAGAGTACACCAATTCCTTGAGAAATGGAATTCTGGAGGCATATTCTGGGATTTTCCAAGGGTTTAAGAACTCTCCAAAAACCCAGATCTTAATTCCCTATGCACCTCATATCCTCCGGTTCTTGGATGGCATATACATGGAGAAAGACATGTGAGTTCTACTAAAAGATACTTTTTTAAGCTTTTACTTCATGGATTGGCTTGTGTTTTGATATGTGGTTATTAACATTTTTCTTATGTTACTTATTTGCCTATAGGGATGATGTGGTCATGAAGACTTCCATTGGAGTCCTTGGAGATCTAGCTGATACATTAGGAAGTCATGTTGGTCCTCTGATACAGCAATCTGTCTCAAGCAAAGACTTTTTGAATGAGTGCTTGTCTTCAGAAGACCTAATGATTAAAGAATCTGCTGAATGGGCCAAATTGGCCATTGGTCGTGCCATTTCTGTTTGAAGGTGCTGCCATTCAGCATGTTTATTTTCTTTTGGAAGTCCATGCATTTGGGTGTGTCGAGTTGAGGGTCTGGGATTGCATGTGTCAAGTCATTGCCATTGTCAGACAACAGAAGTAATCGGTCTTCAAGTTGTCACTAACTCTTGCATCATCATCATCATCATCATCATCATCATCATTATCATCATGATGGGGTCAGATTCCATTATTTATCATGGAGGACGTGGGTAGAGATGGCTTCAGAGAAGTTGATGAACCTCTCCTTGAAATTGGGGAGAGAATATCTTTTGGTCCTGAAGGATTGAAGTTGGGTAGGGATTAGTAATTGTGACATGCTGGTAGTGAGACTGGCTAGTAAGGTAGCTTGGTCACTTGGTGTTTGTACATGGTCCATGTGTCAATAGAAGCATCTTTTTTGCCTTGACATGGTTTTCTCCAGGTAAATTTAGGTTGTTGGAAATGGATGATTTAGGATCTGGTTCAAGGTGGTGGAGCACTCCAAGACATCTCAAGTGCTACAAATCACCATTGTCCTTCCATCTCCTAGTTTTGGTTCTGAGTGTTCCTCACTCCTTTTTATAGTTCAAGTCTGCAAATTTCTGAAGTATACATCGGTGGCTGGGTTGCATTTAATCACCTTTGGTTCTTTTGTACATTTTGTTTTGGTGAGGTCGGGGGTTAATCACATACTGCACACTATTGGGAGTAATCCATCCAGCATTGCATTGTTGTTGTTCCTTGGTTTCTTTTTCTTTTCTTTTTTTTTAAGTTACTAAATTAGGAGTCAAATTGTTTAATATCATGCATTCATAAAATTTTCTGTTTTGCATTTGCTTTGGGTATAAAATTTATTTTCCCGTTGCTGCCTATTGTTCGATTGTATTTTTGGTTGTCTGCCTGTAGAAACCAGAAAGTGATACGGTCTGAAATTAAAAGGGCTGAACGGGGCAATGTATTTCTGGGTTTGCCTCGTTATGGCTTTTAATTGAATTTTTAATATGGGCTTTGGCCTTTTTGCTTAATTTTAGTCTTTCTGTTGGTTTGCATTGGCTGTTCGCAATATAATTAAAACAATGGCTGAAAGTGAAAATTGAAGCCTAATTTTACTAGCAGACAAATTCTGCAAGTGCGGCCTCTTTGACTGCTTCTTCTAACGAATGCAACTTTACTCATCAGTGAATGGGAAGAGGTATGGGTTCTCATTCATCCCACATGCCATAATCAATTGCTTTTGCTCCAAAACCCCAATATGCCAGCTCAAATTTGCCTTCAACGGTGCTTAGTCCTTATTAGTCAAAGATTTGGACTGTTTGTTTGGACTTTGACCAAATCCCAAGCCTCAAAAGAACAAATTGACTAATCCCGAGAAAGGCATGGAATAGAATGTGCTGATAAAATTTTATTTGGTAGTCCAAAGAGTTCATCTTAGCCATTTTGACCATCTTAAAAACTGATCATTGGATGGAGAGCACTTAGGCATATTTGTTTTAAATGAAACAATGAGAAAGTTAGTAAATCAAGCTTTTCTTTAATCTCGGCACGAATCTATTGTGAACCTTTTCTAACATCGGAGTTACCAATTCAATCTAGGTTTGGAAATTTAGTAAAATAGTTATATGAAACTCAACGAAAAATATTGGTAATGTTAAATCTAAAATTTAATTCAATTTATTCATATAATTATTTAAAAAAAAATAGATTTGAAATTTAAATTACATTAGCTGCAATTTTTTTTTTTTATTCTTAGAACGTGATCTTCCTTTGTAAAAAAAAAAAAAAATTTACAACCCAAAAAGCGAACCTTGAAAATGGACTATAGAGTTTGAGCTATTCAACAGGTATAAAATTTTACAATTGCTTTTGGCATTTTAATTTTCTGATGTAACAATACATAAGACCAATGTAGTTGACTTGAGGGAATTGTGGGCAAATGCACCTCATTCTGATTCTGTTGCAATTGGGTGGGGTGTGCACCGTGACAACAGCTACCCAGCTCTCTCTCCTTGCCACCAACATAAAAGCACACATTCCCCTCTCCAGTAATTAAAGACGTTGTGCTAGCTGATCACATCTTCTCCTGCTATCAATTAGATTTAGACTGCAGAAAACTTCAGCCCTGGCAGCTCTTTCGTTCAAGACTTTTCTTCTTGTGTCTTTTCTCCTCATCATGTCTTTCTCTTATGGTAATAATATAATAGTAGTCTAATCAAGTCTACATTCTCCATAGATATTAGTAACTGACACAACTAGCTAGCTAGACCTTATTAATTTCCAAAACACTGAATCACTGATTAGAGTACTTCCTGTTCCTGTTGTCAGGCATGGCTGACGGCTTTCAGGGTGGCAAACAGGCCAAATGCTCACTTGAACAGGTACGCCTCCATCCCCGATCTCTTCTCTTTTTGATAATAATGATAAAAAATCCGGATAATGTACGCATAAAATTACGTTATTATTTATTAATGTTGTTGATTTTGATTGATATTCTTTATGAAGGGTGGGATGATCCAAATGATCAGTTCATCAAGGAAACTGTCGATGGTGGGTGCAATGCTGGATCACGATGATGCAGGCGCTAATTCTAAGCACGACCCAAAGAAAAAACCTGGCAAGCCCTGATGACCAATTTCAAATCAATTACTATATGAATGTCTAACTAGAAAGAACTTACTCTCTTTTCAGAGGTTTTGATAATCTAGTATTAGAAAAGCATAATATCATAAACTTAGCTAAATTAATTTAGTAAATTAATTTATTCAACCACTTTTAATATGTAATAAATCTGAAATTTAAATCTCAACATTTAAAACTTCTTATATTTCATATGACGATTTCTTTTGTAAAGAAAATATAGTATTATTACTAATCGTGGGCGTTGTGATATAATTATGTTCTTAAACTGTACTGTCATTGTAATATTGTATCCTGACATGTTAGTCTTCAAAAGATTTTATGGAATGTATCGAATGTAAAATTATATATTTAATCATTCTTTTGATGAAGTCATCCAATAATATTATACAAACAAAGCTATGTATTGTTGAGAGTTTTAAATCAACGACAAATTAGTTACGTGAATCAATTGATTTAAATTTTTCAAATTTTTTTTTTACCCTCATATTCATCCAGGTTACTCTCTCTACATATTCTTTGGCTACATCATTCACAAAATCAAACCGGTTGTCCTCCGATGGCAACAGTTACTCGATGTCCATCTTCCTTACCTGCTCTTCCAGGACAAGTATCCGCTCTTCTTCGCCTGAACAAAGAACAAGGAAGACTAAATTTACACCTTGGCATAAACATTGCAACTAAATAAATGCCTTTGAGCATGATCTGTTTTAGTACAAAAGAATAAAAAAAAAGATAACAAATATTGAGATTTTATCGGATGTCACTTCTTAAAAATAGTTACAGTGACATATATTAAATCAAGGACTAAAGATGGCATAGCTTAAAATTTGTTGGGATAATTGTCAAGAACCTTGACTCGATCCTAAACACCGGCAGATTTCCACCATGTATGAGAATGTAAAACTTGTACTAACATTTATTTATAACTCAACTCCTAAAACATTCCACTTTTCGTGAAATGCAAGCAACAAGAAGCAGATTCAGAAATGCAGAGACTAGAAGAATATTCGTTTCATTCTTAAGATACAAAAATATTTTTAAGAGGAATATTTTAGTCATTATGAATTTAATAGAAGAACCATCCATACCACCAACACCGAATTGAAATTTCTGGGAACTTTGAATCAGAAAGAAACCGAAGAAAGGCTTTCTATTCTAAGCTCGAGTAATAGATAGAGCCTATTACAAGATACTCAGTCAATCTCTAAACTGTATTTCTAGCATGGAATTGCATTATGTTCATAAATTTGTGAATGAAAAAAAGGATGAATGCTCAAAAAACAATCAGTCTCCAACACAGAATTTGACTTAGATTGAACTTAAGAGGTTTCAACAGAGACATCAAACTTTTCTTGGCAAACTTTTTGTCCCATAAAACAAAACAGTATCATCAGCTAATCCAAATTCTTAGATATGAGTAAAGACATCTCAAATTTCAAACCAATTAAACACTTCTTCAATCTTCACCATTCATCTAAGTAAAAAATCCATCAGAAAAGTTCAAACTTCACTTCACTTTTCTTCCACTTTATTTAAAAATTTCAATTTACCGTTAAATTGGTACTAACAATTATCATATACACAAGAAAACAAAGATTTAGAAATAAAAAGCAAATAAAACTGTAAACCACTTTTCTCCGGCGCCAAAGATTTTCCACCACCCTCACTTTGTAACCGGGAAACAACCTTAAAAAAAAAACTCATTTATCAGAAAATTAAAAATATTTTCGGGTAGTAAAAATGAGTTTCAAAATATAAACCTGTAAGCTTTAAATTGGGGTTGAGACACCATGAATTAGCCCATACTCTCGCCTGAGTCAGACCTAGAAAAAAAATCCAACTTAATGGAATTTAAATGTAATTTACAAAGTAAATGGTGAGACCAAAATTGGAAGGTGAAAAATGGGTGAACCTTTTACCTTTTTTAAGTAGAGGTGAAATAGAAGAAGAAATGCAAGTTGGGTTGGAAATAGCAAACGCCATGGCCTTGCCCTGCACTCTATCCGATTTAGTATACCGTGACTGTCCGAGGCTTATGTTATTCAAGGTTAAGAGGTAAGACCAATAGCGTCTGAAACGACAAACCTGTATGCCGTTTCATTTGGCACTTCAAAGTCCAAGGAGCTCCCAAAAGTTCAAAAGCATCAAAAACCTAGTTTTTCAAATTTTTATAGCATAATTTTTAATTTATACAATTGCAGAAAAAAATTATATAATTTATAATGTTATCATAATATTTTAAAATATTATTATTTCTCTAACATTAAATTTAGTACCATATTCTCCGTCAGTTATCATACAGAAATATATATAATTGGTCAATTATAGAAACAACTTAAACACTTGAGCAAGAATATGCCGTTTTCTTCTTTCTGGGAAATGACAAATCCATATGTCATATACAACTATTAATATTGAACAACTTGTTTGTATTTCATCCTAAGCCTGGACAACCTTTTTTCAAGTGGAAATTTCTCATCCTTCTTCCCTAATTTATCCAAGTAGAATACAAGCTTATTCAGGGTTGCTATAACCTCCTCACTCTCATACCCCAACTCTTTCTCTTGAATCCTCAGAACTCTTTTCAGGTGCTCCAGTAACTCCATCTCACCCTTCCCTAGTCTGCTCTGAATCGACACCAAACAATCCAATGCCTCCCCTGCCATTACATCAATGGACGTTACAAATTTATAAGAGCAGAATCATGATTCACTCAGGACCATAACTCCAATAGATTCTTTTGCAACGATGTTCCAATTCTTTAAAATCATCAAGATGTGCTAAACCACCAAACCAGCTCAGATTAAATGATACTTGGGTTAATCAAACTCAGCAGAAATAACACCTATCCAGAAAAAAAGGGAAACAGGCAGAAATAAATGGGATTAGTAATATTTACCGACAGGAAGAGAATCTTTTCCAAATGCCTTCTCGCGGATGTGTAAAGCCTCAAGCGTTATTTGTTCAGCTTCTTCATCCTGCTTTAAATGGTAAAGAGTGACAGCAAGATTCAGCATTGGGAAAGTGATGGATGGATTGTCAGGCCCTGCAGCCTTTTTTGTGATTTCCAAGCTTGTTCTCAACAAGCGTTCAGCCATTACAAAATCTTTTGACTGTGAATATGATGCCGCAAGATTTAGGTAGTGTGTAACTAAGCTGGGGTCGTCTTTTCCTTTAAGCTTCTCAGTGATCAATAAACATTCCTCCAGCAGCTCCCGACCTTCTCTTCCTCTGCCAGCAGACAAATTACATCATAAAGTAAGACTATCCTTTTACCAAAGCTCTATAATATGAAGTGCAAGCACAAGACTAACTAATAAGACATGCTAAACTTTTTCCCTGCATAATCAGATAATTGAATTGAATCCTGATGCACTTAAATTCCTTTTGCTTTCTGAGTAAGATTTTCTTTAAAGAAAAACACCTTTAGATTTTGCAGGCATAATGGCACGCAGCATCCACTTGATTTTTTTTTTTCAGACTAATCATAGATGCTATGCTATATGAACAGTGCTCCCCATCCAAGAAACATCCAGGTATATCTACAGATGGAATTATCATAAAGGCTTGAGAAAATCATGCATTAAAATCTACTGAATGCATGCAGATTTTTAGTCCAAACCTTGCATCCAACTTACCTTCCCACAATATGAAGTAGTTCTGCCAAATCTATCCGCATATTCTCCATCATGCTATCATCTGAAGGCATATAACTTGAATCTTTTATAATCTGGAGAGCTTTTTTGTATAAATCAATGGCTTCATTTGCATTCCCTGAAAAGAACAGTGGCAAAATGAACTATACTTGCAATTAGGTTTTTGAATTACTGGAGAATGTTTAATGATTGAAAATCAATGCAATGGCCCGAATGCTTAAAATCCTTTATTTATTTGGGAAGGGATGGGGGAGACTGGAGAGAGAGATTACAGAAGCTACCTTTTGCACACTTTGCATGGGCTAGGGAACACATAGCAAGTGCAGCTCTTCCATCATTCTCCCCATATAACTTTGTATATATATTTAGAATTCTGAAAAATGGGGAAAAAAAAAAGTGAACAACGAACTCAAAACTCTCCACAACCAAATCAATATGAATGGAATGCTAACTAACCTAATAAAAAGGTTTTCTGCACCTGTAGCTCTGCCCTCCTTTATTAAAAGATTTCCAAGACCAAACAAAGGTACAACCAGATCCTCACTTTCAGAACCTCTACTTAGTTCCAAGATGCGTATCACACGATGATAGATATCAACTGCTTTTGTAGTTTTCCCAGTAGAACTAAGAACTTTTGCCATTCCCAACAATGGTGTGACAAGAACAACACTATTTTTCCCTAGGAGAAGACATGCATTTTGAGATAATCATCGACAGAAGCCAACTTAGAGAAAGGACAATTGAACCTCATATGCAATGTCAACTGTGGAAAAATAGGCAAAAGCGATGAGGCACTTACCATATTTGTTCTCTAGAATATCCGTAACTCTTTGATTGACAAGCAAGGATTTCTCAAACTCCCCCAAAGTTGAATACATACCTCCCATATGCACAAGTATAGAGTCCAGAAGGGGTTCATCATCCTTTTGATCATCTATAACCTCATTAATCTGCAGTCAAGAAAATATGTACACCATGAAAAGAGGAGAAGAGAAGAAAAGGTTTTATTCTCTCTTGATGATTGCTTATTACATCAATGAGTAGTTGCTATTACAGTCAGAACTCTTTTTATCTATCACTTGTGCCTTGGACAAAGCAAACAGTGGAATTTAATCTTTATAACCTATTTACCGCACATACAATTAACATGTGAATTTATGAATATAAGAAGAGAAGGAAGCCAAAAAAGGGTAAAAAGGAAACATCTATCTAGTACAATACTTACAAAGTTTAAATGAGGAAAAAGAAATGGAGCTCCCCAACTATAACAAATTGAAGACTAAAATTCCGATGCCTTATTTCCATTATCATGAATTATCTCTCTTGGAAAAAAAAGAATGTCTAGGATGGCTCTCATGATATCTGTGCATAATTGTCCACAAACAGTTTGTATATGTTGGTCATTAGCATCATCTAATCCACTCATCCTAACAAGTATACAATTGGATCAGATAAGATAAAAGAAGCAATAACAAATAACTCTCCATTCCCTTTCATGAAACTTAATAACTTTTGTAAAATGTTTGATTAAGCAATCCACAACCACAAAAATATATTATTAGTAGCCAAGAGCACTACCATGTCCATATAACACAGAAGCGTCAAAAACATGAAATTTAAGTTTACAAAGAAAAAGTCAGTTACCACATTGAGCAGAGACCGTACAAACTTCAATTCTCCAACAGCAATGTAACCCAAGGCTATTACATCCAGAATAGCAGCTTCTTCCATGCCTTTAGCACCTGCACTCATCTGTTCTTTTACAGATTCATAATTTGCTTGAAGTAGGTCTACAGCATCATTCTTGTTCCCAGTCATAATTAAAGTTTTGACTTCATTAAATAACTCTTGCAGCTGTCTCTCAAATTCACTCACACCATCCGACGAGTTACTTGCTTTGTCAAACAATGTTTTAGACCTGCTAATAACAGATGCTTGGAAGTAATTTTAACATTGCCAATGTTCTTCAGCTTCTCAATTAGACTCGTTAGTTAGAGGTTTGCTGGAGAATGATACAATAAACTGCTAATGAAGAAATCAGAACAATGTCAAGATCATTTCATTGGTCAGACTTGGAACCAATGCCCTAATCTTTTTAACGTTACATCACTTAAGGAAAAGCCCACAAGCCAGAAACATAAGAATTTCAGATGCCCCATTCCCAGAAAGGTAAAGTAAGAAGCAGCAACATAAATAAAAGGACAAAAATAATGGGTTAAGTCAGATAAAGTTCCCACCTGTGGAAGCCATTTTGTGATGAAACACCAGAAGCACCACTATTTTGGTGAGGCGAGACATGTGGCCCTAATGAGCCAACCGCAGCAAAAGGTTTCAACGAAAACCAGGAGGTGACAGCTGGAATTGCAGGTATCATGAAAAGCTTGAGGTTGGGTTTGTGGGTTTGAAGAGATACTGAGATGAAGTTGATGTTTTGCTGCCAGCATTGTGAATGCAAGTTTAGGGACAGTTGGCCTTTCCTGAAATATTTGTAAAAGGTAAGAATACTAAGAAGGGCAAAAGTAACTGAACATTGATTCTCAAAAAGGGTTCCTTCTTTTTTGCCCCAACTATGCAAAGATTAGAGTTGAATAAGCGAGGACCGACACAACAGTTTGTGATATTACAAAATCCAGATAAAGAAACCCAAAATTAATTCGAAAAATTTTGCAGATATAAAGAGACAGAGGGTACCTGTAAATGTTGAAAGAGGGAGAAGAGAGAAGGATAGAAGCTGCCATGAAAGTGGAAAGAGAGTTGCAATGAGAGGAGAGAAGAGACGGTCCCAATTTGGTAGCTTTTTTTTTTTTTTGGAAGTTAACTGGGCTAGTACCGGAGTCTGAAATGACGAAGGCGGCTAGGGAAGTGACCGTCTCATGGGTCGAAAGATAAAAATTATCGTCCTCTCGTCAGCTTATTTTATTTAAAAGAAAAACGTGTAGGATGCTGGCGATTTACGTTTATTTTTTTTTTTGGTGTTAAATGTATATATAATATAAAAATTATTATATTAAATTTGTATTAATACATTAAATATTAAAAATATTTTAAATTTTTATTAAATTTTAAATTATATTATATTATATTATTATATCGTATTCAAAATTTTTAAATTTATACTCTAAATTTTAGCAAAATCTCGTAAATTTGTTTTTTCTAAAACTTTTATTAGTAATCAATTTGTTAAGACTGTTGAAGAATAATAAAATAACATGTATTAAAAAAAAAAAAATTCTAATATTTTATCGGACTCCATTAGACTAAAGAGAAGTCTAATCCAACTAAAATTCCATTCCAAGTTTCTAACAAATAAGATTGACCTGGCTTTGATAACCTGTCAGCATAATGCCGTTTTTTATTCATTGAAATGATAGACAGTTGATAATGTTTTACGTGGTTTAAAACAGATTACTAAAAACCAAGCAAAATGAAATCTGAAATTTCAAAAACTTACATTGATAGATGCAATGGCAAAGCAGAATTTTGAACAACAAAATCAACTTTAGTCTTTCTTCATTCAGGAAAATTGATGCATTGCAGGAAAGAAAAACTTGGACAAGAGCTCCTGATGTTACATTTACAATGGAGCTCTCTCGCCCTTCCGAACAGTCTCAATCTATAACAGCCGCTAAGTGAAGACATGCAAATTGTTTTATGCCTACATGATCTGGAACACCGAGCTCCTTACACTCCAGTATTATACATCTGGAGAAACAGATTATGTAGAGAAAATCTTATCGGCACTGTCCCCATACAGACAGCTTCGAGTTCTAGCATGCATACTAGCAGTAGTAGCTTAAGGTCCATCCTCTAGAGCTGAATCAAAAAAGAGAAAGCCAAGTGAGACACCAGTTTTACAAGAACAAGGTGGACTAGTCATACAAGGTATGCACAAACATACTGATACAAAGAGAGACTTACTGCTCAATATAAAGCCTTGAAGCAAGCTCTGGGCTCTCTCAGACTGCTCTGGAGTACCTGATATTTGAATGATCTTTTGTGTGTCATCCGGTCTATCTTCTACCAGAGTCACTTTGGCACCAGACAACTGTAACCAAAATAAAGAAACCAAGAGATGAATTATTTGAAACTAGATTAAACCAGAGCAAACATAAATTAGGTTGTTGAAAGGAGTGTTGCTTACCTCACTGATCTGTGCTAGTTTGTTTTTTGATTTTGTTATTAGTTTGGGAACTGCATGCTCTGGTATGACAACTTCAAGTGTACTCCTAGTAACAAGTGGTACAGGGATTCTAACAGAAAATTACATGCAAGAAAAGCATTATTTATCGGAAGAGCCCTCTAAAATCCTGGTAAAAATTGAAATAAACTTTTTAATTTAAGTATAAAATTTTAAAAAATTAATACTTAATAACAAAAAGACATAGAGATTGTGATGCAACCTTCATTATCAAAAAGGACCGAATAAGAGTGAAATAATTAAAAACTTAGACACCTGCTAACTGCACTTGGTACATCTTCACGGCGTTCACTTTCAGCCTGCTTTATGCTTTCAATGCCAGAGTTCACTACTTCCTGTAAATAAGAATTAACTTCTTATAATGATGTTCTTAGAATTCGGAAGAAGGCCCTGTGAATCTATCAAGATAAGTCACTAATTATGTATCCCATTCAAGTTGTTCACTTTGTGCACAACGAAGAACAGTCAAAGATTTTCATCCTAAGAAGCTAAAGAAAAACTTGATGTTAAGTTTGGATAACGTTTTTTATTTTTTGACTGCAAAAGCAACATAAAAAAACAAATACTAACAATGATGCAGTAAAAGGAAAGTCGAAATTAACATAAAAGAAGCATAAAAACAACCTTTAATGATGGTGGTGTCGCCAAAGTTTGCACATTCTGATAGGCTCCAGCAGGAGGTACACTGGAAGTTTGACTATCACGAGCTGGAGTTAAGTTTGGAGAAGCATTCTCCAGTCCTGAAACATTCCCAATAGTTACAGATATAGGTGGTGTTGGTGAAGTGTCCCTCTGAGAGAATTCCCTAAATAAGTAACTTCGCAATCGTGATGTGATCTCAACAATAGCATCTCGAGCTGCCTTTATCTCCCCCACAATCTGTAGAGTATATCAAAATGCAATTCAGAATATAAAAGGTAAATCAATCCAAACATCCCACCCCTTATTTATTAAACTTGACAGAATCCTTCCAACCTGGATTCAATAAACACCAGGAAGCTAAGATCTCCATGCTTAATAAGAACAAGGTATATAAGTAGCAAACCTGTACAATCTCATCAGGTCCTGATACACAAGAAGGAAGTTCTTCTTTCGACAAGATCTGTATGTTTGCACCAGTTAATCTTCTCATTTCAGATAGTGATCCATCTCTTCCTTCTAAACATCCTATTTCACTCGATGGAACAAGTAACCTAGTAGTTACAACATTATCTTTATCAGGAACAAGGTCAACAATCTGAGTTTGGATATGCAATAAAGCCTCCTGAGCTGGAAACAACTCATCGTCAGGACCCTAAGGACAAACAAAAAGCAAAGATATTTTAGAAACCCCTATGACCACGCATTGTTCAAAATTCAGAAGAAATTGAACAATTTGTCTTTTAAACGTCTTTCAAGTGTTTAAACATTTTAAATGACAAGATTTAATTTGAAAGGCTAAAGTTAGATGGAATTTATCACCAAAAAAAAAAAAAAAGAGAAAGAAAGGAAAAGACTGACAAACAAGAGAAAATAGAACCTTATAGGCCAAACAAACAAGCATCCACCAATGTGGCCATGTGTCAAGAAACAAAGATAGAGAGATGGTAGTACCTCCTCCGAAGAAATGGTAATTATCTGCTCATCTGACCCAGCCACAGGATCAGCAACCTTGACATCCACACCAATTTCATTTTGGAGTAAATCTACTAAGCCATCTGGCTCTCCAAAAACACTATCAACCTTGTCAATAGGGCAAAGTATTCGAAACACAAGATCCTCACCATAAAGAGGCTGTACACTGTCAGCCATAGGAGCAGTCCCAGCTTCAATGAAGCCAGATGGACGTGAGGAATAATTATTGCCTCTGTAATTTGTAGTTGACATTCGTGAACCAAAAGTCGACCCATCCATAGATGACCTACGTGACGCATTGTTTACCTGTGGAATATAATCATCATCAGGGAAAAACCACTCCGGTGAATGCATTCGTCCATGGAAATGACTTCGGTCACGATGTTGACTCTCCCTTAAGCGCGATGAAATAATTGCTATAGCATTTTTTACAGCATTTACATCACCAACAACCTGCATGTTAAACAACATTAGACAAAATTACCATATCATAAAGCCATTTTGATTTTATTATCTTCCACCAGAGGGAAATTAGGAGGGAAAAATTGAAGTTCAAACTGAATATCACGAATAGATGTTAAACCAAAAAAACTTTCTAGAATGTTCATTTTTTGTAGCAAAACCACTCCTAGTAAAAAGCATAATCAGGAGCATCATTCTTTTGCAATGCAGCATGGACAGTTGGACACTACTTAAGATATATGGATCTGAACCATCCAACTTTTTTGACCCATTTGCAGCCTCAGATGCATACAATACTTAGATTCAGACTGCTTTGTCAGCAATCACAGATACACGGTCAAGTAGCCAAACGCCATAAAGTGGAAGAACATAATAGTTATTCAGCATTCATATCAATAATTGATAATCAACAATATGCAAAGAATACTTATGTAACTGCTGGGATGAAACCAAAAGAACTTGTATATGATAAGGATGATTCATTCAAATAACAGAGAAAAAGGATTTGAGCATGTCAACATAAAACATTACGCGCAAACATGATAGCTTTCTAATACATGAAATATTCCATCATTGAGCTATTATTAAAGGAAAAACTACATTACACAAACATTTCTCCCGCCCAACAATCTAATTATCTAGGGAAAAAAGTAGATAAAAATTGCACAATGCATGAAGCAACAAGTTGAAGGAAATTGAAAACACAACAGATAGAACTAAATTCGTAGGCATGCAATCAAAACAGGGCAAAGAATTTGAAATTCCCCAGTAGTTGGAGTTATTTGAAATTTGAAACATTACATCAGCTAAATATATAAAGTAAATCAATAATAAAACCTTCTGAAGATCTTAAGCCTCTTTAATTCAGAGCAGAGTGGAAGAGAGAATAGGTGTTTGTTTCAGCAAAGGATATTGTTTAAAGCTTAGAAATTGGTTCAACAAGCAGCACTTTGACCGCTGCAATGACATATACTAGTAATTAGCTTCTTAATATATAGTCGTCCAGGTTTCTTCTAAGGGGAAAAGCAATGCAAGACCACACTAATAACTCTTATAATCCACGGGCCCAACAATCCCAAATCAAAACCTGAAATCCCTTAATCAATATAATAAGCATTTAACCACCCAATCATTTGCATTAAGCCATTGAATTTGGACATATCAAATATTAAAAACCCCATGAATTAGTATTTAGTAACTCCCCATTTATTTTGTGCATTAAAACCAAATCCAAATGCAATCGGTTGCAGACCTGAACAATCTCCTCAGACATGGAAATGCAACGGGGCAGCGTATGGTCTCTAGGTAGAATCCTAATCTGAGTCTTTGTTTCAATTCTCATTTGCTCAATGATCTTCCCTCCTTTCCCCAATAAACACCCCACATGCATCCTCGAAACCACCAACCTCGTCACCACCCTATTCCCTCCTCCTCTCACCATCCCTCCGTAATCCTCCTCCTCTCCTTCACAACCACCAAACCCAAACTGCGAATCACTTTCCAGAATCCTCTCATGTATAAGGAACAACGCCTCCTGAGCAGGCGAAAACGACGGCATTCTTCCTTCAGGGTCACGGCGGCGCGTGTCTGATATCTCGATGATGCGTTCTTCGTCGCCGGGAAACAGCTCATGGACGTTGATCCACGCGCCGGTGTGTTGCCTTATGGACTTGATAATGCTACCCGACTTGCCGATTACACCCCCGGCTTTCTTGTCGTGGCAGAGAATGCGGTAGCTTGTGGTGACCATAAGGTAAGAATCTTGTCCGCCACCGCTACCGCCTTTATTCGGAGGTCGGCCGTTGTTGCTGTTGTTGGGATTGTTGCCACGGTGGCGGTGACTATTGGGTAGGTACTGATGGTTGTTGTACCGAGGTTTTGTTCTACCCATATTCTCTCCATCATAGTCTTGGTCGTAGTAATAGTTTCTCTTGGATCTAGATCTCTCCATCTACAACACTAAAACTCAAGCTTTTTTAAGGTCCTCAACTTTCGATTCGAAACGATTTCAGTCTTTTTTTGTCAATGTCTCAGATAATGATTCTGCTCCTTGTCATGGATCGGGTCTAGGGTTTTGAGAGTAGCAAAGCTTTGCTCTTTTTGCCTGTCTGACTGTCTCTTCAGTTCTTTCTTCCGTTTGTTTCTCGGGAAATTTCTGAGAAAATGTAAGTGTTCGTGAGAAACCTAACTGGAGGTGGAGAATCTTAAATGACTAATGAGGAGAGCTGTTATCAGTCATACGGAGTATGAGCTGCCAAGGACTTTTGCTCTTCTTCCACTTCCACTTGGGATACTTTACTTCCTTTGTGGACAAATATATAAATGACTAAGGGCAAGTTTGGATTCCATCGCGTTTCTGTTACCGTGTGATTGGTAACATTGTAGTACTAATTGTATTTAAATAATAATTTTAATAATATTTAATATAAAATTTTTTTAATTATAATTATAATAATTTTTTTAATCATAATTATAATAATTTTTATTATTATTTTTAATTTTATTATAATCAATTTCATTGTCTATTTAAATAAAATTTAAGTAAAGATTTGAATTTTATTATACTTTTAATATAATGCAATTAAGCTCAATATATCATCAATTAAATTTAAATGTCAACTTTAATAAAATTTATTCAATATAAATTTTTTATTAAATTATTTTCAATTATAATTATAATAATTTTTTAATTACAATTACAATAACTTTTATTATTATTTTTAATTTTATCAAAATCAATCTCACTATTCATTTAAATGATTTAAAAACAACACTTAAACGACGTCATTTCATGATTCTAATTTCCAATTTCGAAGAAAACAAAAAAAAATGTACTATTTTTGATACATTTGAAATCATGAATGAACTATTAACCTACTGCATTTAATATCATATTGCTATAAATATACTTAATTCAATTTTTTATTTTACAATTAAACCCTTCTTAGAATTTATAACTATTTTTATTAATTTTCATTTAATAAGTTTATATATAATTATTTGAAGAATTAAATTTTTTTCTCATTTTTAGTTTTTAATTTAAGTATGTTCAATAAGATCTTCAAGTGCATTTTTTATTTTCATTTTAAGTATTGTACCTTAAAAAATAACATTTTTTAAAAATCAAATTGCATTTAAACAAACAAAATGATTATCTTTCAGATAACTTTCAATTTAACTATTAACTACCGCATTTAATATAATATTACTATAAATATAATGTCACTCAATTAAAAAAAAAAATTTTTACTTTACAATCAAACCTTATTATAAGGTATAACTTATAAATATTTTTATTACCTTTAATTTAATAACTTTACATATAATTATTTAAAGAATTAAATCATTTTTTTAATATTTTTAGTTTTTAATTTTTGATAAATTCACAAACTAGCATAAAAAATTGGACAAAGTTAAAAATCAAACTCAACTTCATCTCGAAATGAATTCCATTCTAGGAAAAACAGGCTTTAGAACCTATGCACCCACGACAAAGCAAAATTAGTAGCCAAAAAACATATATATATGAAAAGGAAACAATATTGAAAATCAAGAAAACTGATGCCAGTGAAATTTCTCTATCTCTGCTTTTGTTTTTTTTTTTTTTAATCTTTTTTAAACGGTATGAATTATACTTAAATTATAATAAAATATTTAATTTGATATCTAAATTTTAAAAATTTTTAATATAATACTTGAATTACGAATTTATTAACTAATGTGATATTCGTCCTTACTGTAATCCGTTTCGAATGATGAAATTTGATAGATAAATAACTTTTAAAATATCATATTAATTAATTAATTCATAATTTAAATATCATATTAAAAATTTTAAAATTTAGATATCATATTAAATATTTTATTATTGTTCATTGACCATTAATAACATTAATCCCCTTTATATACATAAGAGCTATGACATAAGAATAAGAGAAATACTGCAGGTGCAAATATTTAGATTTTAAATTTATTAAATATAATTTCTTAAATATAAACAGATTCAAGCGGTGAATTAAGGCATTTGAAATTTGAAAAATAATAAAATTATAAAAAAAATTTCTCTTGTATATCCTCAAAATTTGTTTCTAGATAATATTTTTATCGATAAAATTAATAAATTTATCACAATTTATATATATTATAAGTGAATGCTTTAAAAAAATTTTAAATTATCATTCCTCTTAAAAATAATTATATAAACTAATCGAGATAAACACTAAGTTTTCTATCTTGACTCAGTTAACCCTTTTTTAGGTTTTCAATTTACAATCATAAATTAATGAAAGGAAACTTAGAATCTTCTTATCCATGACATGAAGTAAGAGTAATGATAAATAATAGGAGATAATATTCAACTTAACTAGAATTCTATCTTCCGCTACGTGTGAAATTAGTTAGTTCTATTTATTTATTAAATAATTTAGATTAAAGAATTAAAATGTGTGTATTATATGAAAGTTAAATTGTCGGTATTAGTTGTTTTTGTTGCATTTTAGGTGTCATTATTTTTGTTTTTAAATTATAAAATATTTGATTAAAAGTATGATTTTTTAAATATATTTTAAATTATAATTTTTTTTATGAAAACATTTAAAGAATTAAAGAGAAAAATACCACAATTATAAGTTTTTGTTAAAATAAATAAGTTATAGATGATAGAAAATTTTTTAACTTCTTTATTTTCTTTATTTTATATCTTTATGGTTATTTAAAAACAATCCAATAATTAAGATTTCAATTCTAGATAATTTCAAGTATAAAAAAATTAATTGATATTTTTAAAATCGATATCTATACAATAGAATAAAATTATTGTAGATATCAAATTTTGTCTGAAGCATTTTTAATTTGATTGACTTTGGGTTCATTTGTGAACATGAGTGCATATCATTCAGAAAGACCATTTACAACCCATACAGAGCTTACAAATTAGCTCATTTGAAAATTCAAAATTAACTCGGGTCAAATACAGTCAAACAAAATCAAAATTATGTAAAATTTGATTAAAATGGATAGCAACTAAGTTAATTCTCAAAATTCACAACATAATCGAAATCAATATGGTTTAAAATTAAATTTATAGATTTTTAAAACACTAAAAATTTTTAAAATCGATATTTAAAAAAAAATATTAATTGATATTTTTAAAATCGATATCTATACAATAGAATAAAATTGTTGTAGATACTGAATTTTGTCTAAAGTATTTTGGGCTCATTCGTGAACATGGACAAAGACCATTCAAGAAGACTATTTACAAGCTATAAAGACCTACAAATTAGCTCATTTGAAAATTCAAAATCAGCTCGGGTCAAATACAATCCAACAAAGTCAAAATTACATAAAATTTGATCAAAATGAATAGAAACTGAGTTAATTCTCAAAATTCACGGCATAATTGGGATCAATATGGTTTAAAATTAAATTTGAAGATTTTTAAAACACTACAAATTTTTAAAATCGATATTTTTAAAAAAATATTAATTGATATTTTTAAAATCGATATCTATACAATAGAATAAAATTGTAAAAATTTTTAAAATCTATTTTTTAAAATATTAATTGATATATTTAAAATCAATATCTATATAATAGAATAAAATTGTTGTAGACGTCGAATTTTGTTTGAAGCATTTTTAACATGATTGACCTTAGGCTTATTTGTAAACATGGTGAAGATCATTCAAGATGACCATTTACAACCTATAAAGAGCCCACAAATTAGTCAATTTGAAAATCTAAAATCAACTCAGGTCAAATCCAATCAAACAAAATCAAAATTATGCAAATTTTGAATAGAGGTTAAGTTAATTATCAAAATTCACAATATAAATGGAATCGATGTGATTTAAAATTTAATTTAGAGATTTTTAAAACATTAAAAATTTTTGTTGCACTTAAGAAAGTGCAAAATTACTAAAATATCTTTTATGGGGTATTTTCGTAATTTGATCTTCTCGAGCTCGGATTCTAGTGAAACTTTTCAAATCTTAATTTCATAATATTTAATGATTTTTGTGCATTTGAAATCATAACAGTACTACGAAAAATGTGAAATTACTAAAATACCCTTATAAGGGTATTTTAGTAATTTAGTTTTTTCAAGCTCGGATTTTCATGAAACTTTTTATATCTCGATTTCATAATATTTCATGATTTTTTGTGCTTTAAAATCTAAAAAATGAGCATGAAAACATTGATTTCTAAGAAAATGACCTAAATACTAAAAACTTTATACTAAGGATAAAATGATATTTTTATTTGATTTAAGGGCTATAGAAATCTAACTTTTATAGTGAATAATGTGGACCATTATATCTTTTTTTGAATATTGATCTAATGATTAAAGGTTGCACAAAAAAAAAGTTTAAATTAAAACAAATAAGAGAAAAGACAAGCCCCATGAGACTTGTGTATTGAAGGGACAAACAAGAAGGACAGGCTAAGGGCATTGGTGGGAGACAAATTTTGAGGGAGCAGTGGCTGGCCAAGGTAGTTGTAGGTAAGTGGAAAAACAAAAAAAAAACAAAAAGAAGACAAATGACAAAGCTTTGTAAAAAAGGCTCCCGTTTACTATAAAGAGAGAGGAAATCTTTAGTGAAAATAAGGCTTCTGGTGGAGGGTTTTGTAGAGAAAAAGGGTTGGCCAAAAAAAAGATCTTTATGAAAGGAAAAACAAAACCAAAAATAAAAATAGGAGAGAAAAAAGGTTAGAACAACCATAAACATAAAAAAGAGAAGAGTCATTCGAATGACAAAGAAAAAAGTAAGACGAAAGAATTTTGTAATGAATGAATATTGGTTTTCATGGGCATTGAAAGTTATATGTAGGGGCCATTGTTGTAAGATTGTTTCATAACATCTTGTCCAAGTCATAGCATGGGAATGGTTCATAGAAGTTAACTTCAAACCTTTCATTTTTTATATATGTCATTTACTTTTAGTTTGTTTGCTTGTAGTCACTTGTGGGAAAGTTTAGATATTTTTTAATCTGTTTGGTTAGTTTATATTTTCATGATCCCACCTTTGGAATCTTTGTCGTGGAATTCATAAGAATGGAGTTCCCCACTTGTTTAAGTTTTTTGGTTTTAAAATAATAATAATAAAAAAATATCAAGCAAAAAAGAACAAACCTTGTTAAGTATAAGAAAATGGAATGGGTAGCGTACAATAGCTTTGGTTTAATTCATTTTTTGCTAATGATAGATGTTAATGTTTTAGATTTTTTTTATTGTGTAGATTGATTAATTCATTTTATTTATTTATTTTTTTAAAAAATAAGGGTTAAAAATAGTAAGGATAGTTAAAAAATATGGGTAATAACAAATATTGATGGTAATTTTTTTCTAAAAAATATAAAATAAATTTTAAAAATTTAAGTTTTTGCCTAGATATTAGAGGGATTCAAAATCAAATTTTAAAATAATAATTCAGCCTAGATGTTGAGAAATTATTAAATAATAAAAATAAAATAATAACTAAATAATATTAAATAATAATAATAAATTTTAATGGAAAAGGAAATGTATAAAACATAAAATTAATTTTTAGAAATTATAAAATGAGCATGTTCCAACTAGTTATAAAAATTATTTTATAGAAATTATGAAAAATAAAACCTCTTTCAAATAAAGATAAAAATTCATTTTTTAAAAGAATTATATAAATGAACTTCTCTGAAAATCTACTTAGATGTTGAAAACTATTAGAAATGTTCATAAATTCTTAAAATTTGAACCTAAAACTACCTAAAACCCCAAATTTGTTTTAAAATTTTAAGGATTTGTATGAAAACCTTTTATGAAATAGTTTATTCCCGAATGTTGCATAAATGATGAGATATTAAAGAAAATTTATTTCATTATGAATTTTCATATATTTTCATAACTTAAAATAATAAATTTAAGAATCAATAATAATAAACAATAAAATGAGATTTTAAATATAAATAGTCGCATCCAAACTCTATCTAGATGTTAGAGAACTCACATGATCTCTTTATATTTGAGAGTCCGATTCATAAATTCATATTTTACCATCATCTGCATATATCTTATTTCTAGAATAATATTTACAGTCATAATTCATATATATGTTTGTTGACGCGTAACATTAATTATATTATTTTTTCAATTTTACTATATAAGAAAATTATCTTTAAAATTTTTTATTTTGAATAAATAAAATTAAAATAGTATTCTATGAAATATAATTGATTGATACTCTACTAAGATGTTAGAAAGTCATTAATAATTATCATATACAAAGAATATTATTTTATTATTTTTAGAAATAATATTATGATAAATTTTAAATGAAAAAACTATTTTTGGATTCTTCCTTTATGTAAGAGATTTTGAAAGTATTTTTTTAATTTAAAAATTTTCATAATATTCTTAAATAATGATTTTTTAGAACTAGTTTTATTTCTTACAAACAAAAGGAATTATAATTAATTTTAATATAAAAAAACCATTTTTGCCCAGAATTACAAATAATGTATGATTAATTGGTAATAATTTTATTAGCTCTGTGGGAGTGTTAATCTTTCTTCATGCATAATTTACTCTCAAACTTGATTTTATTTTTGTTGACCAAAATTATCTTTTTAATAAAGTTTTAAATTTATTTTATTATTTTATTAAAAGATAAATTTTTTGGATAATTAATCACATTTTAAAAAAATTGATAATAATTTTTTATATTTTTTTATAATTTTTAAATATTTTACGTCTAACGATTGAGTTTTCGAACTAATGCATTATGACAATTGTCCTCAAATGTGAGATTGTTAAATTTTAAAGACACTTGACATGACATATAAAATTTTATTAGAGGGTTGAATAATGTATGAAATTGGGTGGGGGTGATTTTGAAGGAAATGTTTTAAATATATTTCTCTTTTTTGGACACATGATAATTTATTTTTTCTCTATTTTTATATTTTTGTTTTTACTTATATATATATTAATCAAAAGTAAACTTCTGTGCCTTCAAATTTATATACTAATCCATATATTTCTTATTCAAATAATTTGGTTCCAACCACATTTTTCAAGTTAAAAAATAGCTTTGATGATATATTTTATATTATTAATTAATAATGCAATCTTTTTTACTCAGTTCAATTAAATGTAAGAGCTAAATAATGAATTAACAATCGATCATATGACTTTGGAAATTTAAAGTAATAATTTCTATATATTATAACTTAATTAAATTTGGGAACCACATCTTTTTTAGTTTTTCCTTATTATAGTTAAAATATTTTTAAATAATACTTTTGATAAGGTTTTTTTTAATAATTTTGTGCTTTTTTTTTCTTTCTTATTTATCACAAATACCCTCAATAGCTCTTAAAATTCCTTTCTTATAGTGAACAAATATCATTCATGTAAAGGATCTGAAATGAACAGCGTTTACTGGAATTTGTTTTCACATATTGTTATAGATAATAACAAGACAGATTGTTCGGCCACCAAAAAAATTTTCCTTTTCGGATAAAGGTGGGCCAATGGCCCTTAAAAGAAACAATCATCGTGTTTCTGATGATGAATTTGTTTGTAATCGTGAAGCATATGTCAAGGTTTCATTGGCCAACCAGTCGGCTACCAAATATTTATGTATAGGAATATTAAATTTGGATTATGACATTGACCAATTATCTGAGTTAGTATGTCTTTGACCAATTATGCGCCAACCAACCATCCTACGTGGCAAACACAAATGCTGATCAACCACGATGTTCATGCCTGTATAAATGTGCATCGTCTACCCTTTCTCTTCGTTTTCTTTTCTGGAGCAGTGGAAATAGGAATCTGAACAATCGCAGATAAATCAAAACAAAAGAAAAAGGCAAAAATTATATCCTGTCCATCCACTCAAGAAACGATGCCGTTTTGCGAGGTGGGAATAACGCAGGGCAAAGTCGACGCATCTCTAAACAATGGCGTCCAGATTTTTTATCGGACTTACGGTCACGGCCCTGTCAAAGTCCTCCTCATCATAGGTCGCTTTACTTTTTTTTTTTTGGTTTTGTTATATTTCGATTATATCTTTTTTTTTTTTTTTTGGGGTCGCTGATATTTCAGCAAATGAATGGTTAGGACTGGCGGGGACACACGACTCATGGGGCCCACAAATCAAGGGACTGACCGGAACCGATAGGCCCAACGACGATGAAACCATGGCAATTGATCTGGGACATGGCGGAGGTCACAATGAGGTCGGTGGCATCGAGGTTTGTGCCTTTGATAATCGTGGGATGGGCCTGAGCTCCGTCCCCACCAAAAAATCCGACTATACGTAAGTCTTTTTTCTTTTCTCCTTTCAAAATTTTGTTAGCAGCCAATGTTTAATCTGCTTTGACTTTCAAAATCCCCCCTTTCCTGTTTTTTTGTCCATTAATGTAATTTAATAATTGAAGTGGTTGAATACTTTTTCCCTGTTTTTGTGGGTTATAGTTGTTATAACTTTTCAATCCCTCTCCTGTTTTCTGGATGTTGAATGCAGGACAAGAATTATGGCCAAAGATGCAATTGCCTTATTGGATCATCTGGGATGGAAGAAAGCCCATGTTTTCGGGCATTCAATGGGTGAGTGAGTCAGTTGGACTTTTCATTGCAAAAATGCGATAAGTACGAGAGAAATCTTTGACCTTCCATTGTTTGGATCGATGGCAATTGTTCTTCTTTTTTTAGGAAAAAATGGTAATCTTCTTCTAATATAAAGCTTGCTTGAATTTGTTATATGAAAACAGGAGCTATGATTGCTTGTAAGATGGCGGCAATGGTGCCTGAGAGAATTCTTTCTTTGGCATTACTTAATGTAACAGGTGGAGGTTTTGAATGTTTCCCAAAGGTATTTTTATCCTCTGTTAATGTTTCAGAGCTGCAGTTTGTCTTCAATTTCATTTTGAATTATAAAGCATCGGTGTTTAGTCCCATCAAACAAGTAATAGGCAATTGAGTTTTTTCTTTTCTTTATTCATTCAATCATCAACTTGATCAGATAAGTTTATATATATATATATATATATATATCCATTATTGGCACAGTTAAGAAACTCTAAAGAAAACTGTAGAGATTATGATACACTTGTGAATCATTTGCTAAAATGTAGAATATAAAGAGGATAGATTTTGCTACTTTGTATAGGGAATCACTTTTCAGTTTTGGAAATCAAAACCATCTGAAGGGGAAAATAAAAAAAAAAAAAAAAGAAGAAGAAAACTTGTAGTTAAAGTTGATCATAATCTGCTAAGCACTTCCTGTCAGAATTAGGAAGACTCCTCGATGTATCACTTCTCACTGTTGTATCTTTGTTGCTGAGAAAGAAACATAACAGAGAAAGAAAGTTAATTCTTGGTCATTGATCAATCTTTTGATTTTAGTACTATTTGTAATTAGTTATGAAGTTCTCATCTTGATATAAAGTTAATTAATTCTCCTCGGCTGAAAACCAGATGCATTTTCATTCTTTTGGAAGTTATATTAGCAGGAGACAGTGATGAACTTCTTTTACTCTCTTGCAGCTTGACCGCAAAACACTATCCATTGCAATTCGTTTTTTAAAGGCAAAAACTCCTGAGCAAAGGGCAGCGGTTGACTTAGACACGCACTACTCAAAGGTAATGGTGTTCTTTAATAACAATATCATTTTCTTGTGAATCCCAGGATGAGGACGATTCGACCAAGTAATGACAGTGAGGTTTTTGTTTAGCGTATGTTTCATAACTTGCAGTACAAGTGACCTGCAATTCCAAATTAAGAGTTTTCTTAGTCAAATAAGGTCAAATTTAATATCTAATTGAATAAATATCGATCATACACCTTGGTTTTTTTTAGAAAGAAATGAGTGAATATAGCTTTTTTTTTCTTTTAATGCACGAGGGCAACTCATAAAGTCTCATGTTACTTATGACTGCAGGAATATCTTGAGGAGTACGTTGGATCTAACACTAGAAGAGCAATTTTGTATCAAGTAAGAAATACTGAAGCTGAAAGTTGTACTGGCCATTGAATGACAATTATATTAATCAATTAGACCTGATAAATTTACTCCTTGTTCACTGTAACCTGGTAATAAAAAAGTTCCTAATATCTGTTTGAGACTTGAGTGGATGGTCTGATTTTCTTGATGATGGATACGTGATACTGCACCAATTAGATAGGCAACATATTAGAGAGTTGCAAATCTTTTCTGCATATCAAAGCTGCAACTAGCTGTCCCGTTTGCTCTTGATTGAATGCTCTCTGAAATATACTTCATCCGAAATATAGTTGCAGGAAACCATCATGGTTTTTCCCTATTCAATATGCTCTGAAACATACTCCTCATTGGCTTTATCCCAAGGATGATACCATACCTACCTGATTATCTATCAAACGTATCCCACTAGGTTGCCATTTTTTTTAAAATTTTTTATCACTCCCCTCGTAAAATTATTGTCAAATGTTTACCTAGTCAACTATCTGTTTAGATCATTGATTGACAGAAGCATTGATGTTAACTCTTCAGCTCATAAGAAGACATTCCTATGAAGTTTTTGCAGCAATATTATTGTTAAATAAACCCGAGATCAACTTTGTGGGATGCTAACAGCAAGATTCTTGCTTCTCCGTGGCAGGAATATGTAAAAGGCATAACAGCAAGTGGCATGCAATCTAACCATGGGTTTGATGGTCAAATCAATGCATGCTGGACACATAAAATGACACAACAAGAAATTGATTTAATCCATTCATGTGGATTTCTTGTATCAGTCATTCACGGCAGGTACTACATTTCCATGACCCTGAAAACAGTTTTTATCATACATATACTTTCAAACTCTCTTAGGATATACAACATTCTACTAATGTCTTTTATATATTATCATAATCATCTCTTGAGAAATGTATGATACTCAACGAATTTAACCTTCTCTCAATGTATATGTGTAGGCAAGATGTTATTGCTCAAATAAATCATGCAAGGAAGCTTGCAGAGAAGCTACAGCCTGTTGCCAGAATGGTAGAGCTTCATGGAGGGCATCTAGTAAGTCATGAGAGGATAGAAGAGGTAATTCTCTTCCTCTAAGTGAAGTCAACCGCTTGATTTAGGCATCATGAATGTTCACCTTGAGAATCTTCCTATGGTGGAAGAGCACTAAAAAAGAACTTTCAAATGTTCAACATGTTTATATAAGACTGAATTTGATTGAGAAAGAGTAACAAAAACTACATGTTGAGCTTGTAGACTTATGGACAGTAAGTAATATTCTGGCATGTAAATGATTAATTGATTCATGAGAGTAGAATTTTAACTTGACAAAATTGGTGTTCTTCCATCATTAGTAGAAATATAACTCAACCGAAATTTTTATAGGTTTTATTTTATTGCATTTGCCTGTGGAAAGAACCTTTATAGACTGAATTATTCACTAATTTTCAGGTTAATCAAGCTCTTCTCGACTTGTTAAAGGCATCTGAAATGAAGATGAGCCCGCATGATTGGAACAACTTCCCCAAGAAAAGTTCTGGTGTGTATTCTTCTTAAAGTTAAAGATGGATTAGCAGAAAGTCTTTAATGCAATAAATCATTAGTATTCCTCTCTAATCTATTAACTAAATGCTTGGGTATCCTATCTGATCTGACAGATATAGTTGCTTGAATTCACTTGAAAGTTATGAAATTCTACTTCCGTTTTTAGTGTCTAATTTTGCTCCCATTTTCTAGCAGGAGCTTCTAGCAGAACGACGATAGAGGGGGAAACCAACATAATCTTAGGAAAGCTCCACTTTTACCTATTATATCTATTCAGTCTATTTATGATGGCGTTAAAGAATGGAAGAAGTGCTCTACGAAGGCTAAAACCAGCTAGAGTTGGAGCTTCCCTAACATAGTCTATTTTTTTAACTGGTAAGTTCTGAGTTTATCTTTCCTTGTGCTTAAAAGCAGGTTTAGAATAGAATAAACTGAGACTCATTTGCTCGTATCTTCTTTTTTCAGGTTTCATAAATTTCTGCCATTGTGGCGCGACCTCCTTTGGCTAGGCTGTTAGCTTATTTCTATATTATTGGCGAACCTAGGTACACAAAACAAAAAAAAAGGAACAAAGAGTCAGACAACCAAAATTTGTAAATGAAGGAGATCAATATAAGCCAAACTCGAGGCAGATCACCCGGTGGAAGAGAAGGCTAAGGTGGTGGGGGATGCTCTTTCCTGTCCTCCTCTTGATTCTATATACTAGAGAAAGATGAAGCTGAGTTGCTTTTGTATGAACCAACACAAATACATAAATACGACCATAAAAGGAAACCAATTTGGTTCTTATACCAAGTGACATTGTATCTGAACGAAAAGAAAATAAGTGTCCCGTGCATGCTTCCATTTAGGGGTGAGCAATTAATCTATTCGGTTGGCTTAATTTAAAAAAATTAATAATCGATTTAATTAATTTTTATTCAATAAATAATTAAAACGATCAAAAATTTTTAAAAGGTTGATCATACTTGAATCAATCAAAATTAGTTCAATTTTGTTGATTCAATTAAATAACTTAATTTTTTATTATTTTTTTTATTTTTCTTATGAATAATTATTTAATTATAAATTCAATTCATTAAAACTCAAATTCAAGTATTATTTAAAATAAATCACTAAAAAATTAAATAATTTTAATAATATTTTATAATAAAAAATAAAATATTTATATAAATTTTTTTATTTTTACTTATTAAAAAATTGATTAATTGAGTTAGTTCAATTATCTATTTTAAAAATCAAAAATCAATCGAGTTAATCAATTTAATTAATTTAAAAAATCAATTATAACCAAAATCAAATAAATCAAATTGAATAAACTAAATTTACTCAATTTTGATCAATTTAATTGATTCAAATAGATTTTTGCTCACCTTTACTACCATTTATACATTTATCTTTTTCTCTAATTAGTGTTTTATAATACTAAATATCTGGAAAAATAGATTACCCATAAATGAATTGAATATGAATGAATTTAAATATATTCATAAAATTTTTCAATTAATTAATGAATTTAAAAATATTTATAAATTTTTTTTAAAATTTAATAAACAAATATAAATTAACAAAAATTTAATTTATTCAGAGACTATTCGTTTCTATCAAATTATACGAAAACAAAAATCAATTATTGCTTTGCGGGCATTTCAATACTTAAAAATAAGGTTCAACTGTAGCATACCATTACCTTAATAACTTCCCAGTGAGGTAACGAAGAACAGGGATTGTTTCAACAGACTACCAAATTGCCAAGCAATTGGAAATGGTTTACAATTTCCCGAGAGGAACAGTTTTGAGGAGGCAACACTGAATATACAACAAGATCAAAAGATTACATAAGAGGGAAAGAGAACGTACCTGGAAGTTGTTTGAGGATTGCATCCTAGCACCGTCAATCGTTTGCTTCAAAGCCAATATGGGGAAAGAAGAAGCGGAGATGGAAAGACAATAAAACAGGAAACTTAGATTCTAACTTTATGCGAAAAAATATACCTTATACCCCTGGAATATCCTAATATGCTTGGACCGCCCTCTTTATATTTATGTAAAAATGCAGTTTAATCCCTACAATTACAGATTTGACCGTTAAGTTTTTGACTTAAGTATACAAAATTTATGATATTAAAATTAAATAATTATTTAAGTTTTTCTTTTTTTAATCAATTGAGCTTTGATATATTTATTTTTATTTAATTAATTTTTTATTGAAGTAAAATTAATTAAACACTATCATCAATTTTCATCCAATTAAAAGTTTAATTAAATAAAAATAAATATTTAAAAACTCAATTTGATTAAAAATTCAATTTGTTACAATAAAATAATAAAAGCTTGAGTGATTATTTAATATTAGTTTAAGTACTTTTATATTTAAGCATAAGGTTTTTTATTCAATTTTTCGGCTGGTCTTCGTCGGGTGAAAATCAAAATTCGTAATGCCAAAGAAGTGGGCTAAATCTGGGGCCTATAATTTTATTTTGGGCTTTAACATCAGGGGTATGGGCCTTGATTGGTCTGGATCAACTGCTTTGTTTCTTTCCTTTCTTTCCTTTCTTCCCTGACTTCGGCCATAAACCCTATCGCATTTGATTCTATTTGTCTGATTCTCTCACCTCCCATAACGCAGTTCCAATTAGGAAGACTAGACAACACATGGCTGCTGTCTCTGACTCGTCAGATACCCAAAACCAATGGGAATTCAGCTGGTAATTTTCTCCTTTTCTTTTCCTCTGCTTTGAAAATTTTATGGGTATCCTTTGATTTGTTGCGCTTAGTTTCATTAAAATTTTTGGTTGTAGCTTTGACTTTTGTTTTGTGGGTTTTCAGTGAACTGGTTTTTTTCTGAGAACGCCGAAGTCAACAGTAATGTCACTAGAAATTGTTTTTTTTTTATCTGCAGTGACTTGGAGGTAGATTTTGAGTCTGAAGAGAATTCTTCAATAGTCTACGCTGCATTGGCTGTTGATAAGGAGGTGATGTTTTAACTTTCAATGATCCTGAATCCTTGATTTTTTGGCTTTTGGCATAACTATATAGTAGTTGTTTTATGCAGATTCTAAACTTGATTCCATTTACTAATGCAGTTGCAACCAGACAAAGTGAAGAGGCAAATGTCAATCTCTGATGGGAAACTCTCAGTGTAACCACTTGTTTCAACTACCTATGCATGATTGGTATCTTTTTTAATGATTTGATATAGGCTTAGTTTAGTTTTTGGTTCCTAATATTGCCATAACATTTGAAACTACCAGGATTTATGCTTAACAGAACTATCATAAAATTCAAGATAATGACTTTGAGGTGTGGTGGTACCTATATCTTGAGTTGTAGGCATTAGAGTGGGTGTGTGAAGAGATGGGAAATGCTTATCTCTTGTTGCATAATCCAACACATGGTATCCAAAATCTCTTAAAGGGGTAAAACTATTCTCAGATGGTAGTAAACCGAGCGTATGGTAACATCTAAATATATTCTGTTTTCTCCTCCCCTAAAACCAATACCGAAATTATTAATCGGAGGGTTTAGTTGGACATCTTGATACGATGATTTTAGCAATTCAGCGGGAGAACTCATTCAACCCATTGAGTAGCAAAGCTAATTAGATACTCTTCTCAGTTTAGTGCTAATATTTTACTTCCTTTTCTGAAATAATTCTCAGTTCAATGCTTTATTACTTTTAATGTCTTTTCCTAACGCCATTCTGTGATGATCAGGCACTTTGAAGCAGTTGAAGCAAGGTTTCTCCGTGCATCGTTTTCAGCTTTTGTTGATGTACTCACACTTGCCACAAAAACAATTGAAGAACTAGGGCCAGGAATGGAATTGTGATACCTGATTATTGCAATTTTACCATAAACGCTGTGGATTTTGGCATTAATGTATTCTTTTTCTTTTTTGTACTTTATCTTTGGAGTCTTCATGATATACATGGAATTTTAATTAGGATGTAACTTTAACTTTTACCGCACCATCATTATCTTGTAGGTTTTTCCTTATGAATATTGATCAGCTTTAGAAATGCTTTATATATGGAACTTAGAGAAAGCTACGCCAAATGCTTCTTTTCCCCACCTCCTTTTTGTGTTACTAGAAATTGTTAGGCTGTATGACGACTGAACTGCCAGGAATGAAGAGAAATTATTTCAGTGTATCCAACTATATTCACTTGAATGAAAGTGGTTATTTTTATCCCAACTACTCAATTTGATCTTCAAACTCAACAGAGTTTCAAAACAGTGCTGTAAAAGTAAAACCCATTTCTCAAAGCAGCTAACTCCTTTACAGAATGTAGTAGTTGGCTGTCGCTTGTGGTTAAAAATAGTAACCAGGGACAACTTAAACTCGGATACGGATGCTCACTTGGCCCGCGAGCTGTTTTAAACCAGGAAAACGACAGAACTGATGCTTACTTACCTGTGAGCTGTCTTAAAAGGAGTTCTGAAACAGTTACTTACAACTAGGGTTGGTATCGGATCGGATTCGGGACGAATTTTACTCGCTCCGAATCCGACTCGATTTAATTTTTATTAAATCCGAACTCGATCCTATCTGAATTTTTTTGGTTTTTCATATCCGAACACGATCCGAACCCGACATCATGTAAGTCGTACCCGATCCGATCCGATTCGAAATTAATAAAATATTATTTTTTTTAATATAAAATATTATTTTTTAAATATAAATATTTAAAAATATCATTATATAAATAGATATAATAAAAAATTAAATAATTAATTAAAAATAATTTTTTATATAATATCGGATCGGATCGGATTTTAGGCAAACCCGACCCCGATTGTTTCCTTATTTTACCCGACCCGATCCGATACCCAAATTAAAAAAAAAAAACCAACCCTGTGGGGTCGGGTCGAAACCCGTCGGGAACGGGTTAGTTCGCCGTCCTTACTTACAACCTAGGTTAAAATATAGGACATGAAATAATTGTAACTATATTAGATGAACTTTAAATGGCAAAAATAATTCAACCTTTCATACAAACTTCAAAATGGTTACAACCGCATACAATGACTTCATTTGAGAGCACGGTGGGAGCATTCCCAGCATACCGAAAGATGCATTTTATGATTGAGAGCTAATGTCAATAATGATATACATCATTTCAGGGCCAACAGTGAAATATAACAGAAAAGTATACATAGCTTGTGGGCTGAAAAATGATAGTAATCCTAATACGCAATGACAATTATCAATTATCTTAGACTGGAATATTTTTATAGAAAGGAAAAAAAGGTAGCCAAGCAGAAAGGTAACTTACAAAGGGAACTGAAAACAAATAAAAACAAAGGAGTGCCAAGTCCAGAGTCTTTCCTCACTTCCTTGAATCACCCTTTTTTCTTTGCCGCTATCACTGGCCATTTTGCTGGCCCTCTGTCATCCTTGTAGTTTTCTTTTCTCAGTATTCATCTAAATAAGTATAAAGCATCTCATCTTTCTTTGATTTGCGACGACTAAGCAATGCTTTGAGGAGTCTTTTACTTTTGCTTGGATACTGTTCAATGTCTTTGGGGTTGTCTTTCTCAGATTGAAGATGCATTGAAGCTGATTTCCGAGGCTCTGATGGATACTGACAACAAAAAGCAAATCAAAGTTAGAAAAGGATAAAAAGAAAATGAATTATAACTCATAAGCATCGTTAACACATTATGACCCATTTTTGGCATTAACACACTTTTAAAGATGTGTAGCAATTATGTACCACAAAAAAGAGATTAGCAATGCTTCATTGACAGACTAGTTGATATTCTTCTGGTTAACAGTGGACATATTTTAGTTAATGGCCATACAGTTTCCTAAAACTACTAAGCATATGAATTTAATTATTATATGCTCACCCGCCGCCTTGCACCAGCTGAATTTGGGGTAGTTGGCCGGCTCTTATTTGGGGTTGTAGGTCTGCTAATAGATCCAGAGCGTAAAAGTGGAAATCGATGCGGTGATGGCGTTCGCTTCTCTGATAATGCATTTAAACATCATCAGTGAGTATACACATGCATTCGTAACTGAAAACAGTCTTAAAGTAACAAGATGAGAAAAGAAAGAAAGCATAGAATGGCAACTCAAAATATAATAAAGTAAAAAATGCACCCCAACCTATTTCTTTCTTGGGCATGGTGGCAGTAAAGGAAAAGGTTGCAGATCGCTGTGGAGGCCGTGGAGAAGGTGATGGAGAACGCCCTCTTCTGCAACAATCAGTATTAGAATAAATATTGGTACTCCTAATTTCATAATTAAGAAACTATGGTTTACTAATGCAATGCACTAGAAATGTTAACATTTACCTGACTGATGATGTTGGGGTTTCACTGACTGAAGATGTTGGGGTTTCTCTAATTGTAGCTCGGACAGCTTAGAGGAATCATTAAAAGTAGGAAGTTACATTAGAATCTTATCCAACATAAAAGAAATGATACAAAAGGATAGACAGAGAAACTACCATTCCTAAACTGATGCCAGTCATCTTCATCATCTAGGTTGCATCCTAGGTATTTTGACTTTGTACGGTTTGCACCATGCATGGTCTCCCCAACTGAAAATTAATTAAAGATATTGAAAACAACCAAATATCCTTGTCTCTATAGCTGCTAAAAAATGAGAAAAAGATGAGGAGTAAAAGGAATAGAGAAGGGTAATTGCCTGGCAAGATGTACTGTTTATGGTACTTGGGAGTATCAATGATCAGTGACTGTTGGGAAATTCCTTCATGATCGATACACTCTTGGCATGTCCGTAGTCTCTATAATGCCACATTTAAGTACAGAAAATTTTAGCACTTTGTAAACCACCCGATGTTAAAAGCATAGGAATAGTTGGTGTTTTGATTAGACTGAAATCATGCATAAATAATTCCCCAAGCTTTTTATCATTAAATATTTTAGATAAAATTTCAAAAAAAAAAAAAAGGGTCCTGTTTCTGGCATATTTCTCTCTACAAGCAAACTCCCACCGCAACCAGCAAGAAAGAATTTTGCTGACCATATTCCATTCTTTTTCACAATTCCAATGTAGTAAAAATTTTCAACATTCAAAATCAAATATAAAATAGATCAGTTAACCATTTCCATTATCGTTTCTATATAAAGCATTTTCAGTAGAGAAACCTACAAAATCCTAATGAGAATAAAGGCTGGACTCATAGTTATCTCACTATGAAAATAATCCCACCTTACCTGTTCAATACAAGATACTCGGAGCTCTGCTCCAGAAACCTCTTCAACTTTTTCATACAAAAGATCATTAACCTTGTATGTCACAGAACCCAAATGGTCTACAGTATTCACAAGAGCTTTGATGGCATAATCTTTTAATGTTTCTACCACTCTGCATATACATGAGTATATTCTTAAACAATAATAGGAGAAAAATAAAAAATGAAAGTAAATAAGCTCCAATTCCAACAATTGAAGGTATGTGAAATGAGTAATTAGAGTAGCTCACATCTGCTTTTGGTCATCATTGGTGTAGGACAGCTCAAAATACTCAGCTGCTGAATAGAGCTGTGTTCTCAGATTTTTCAAATCCTGAAATAAAGTAACTGTGTCACAAAACCACACCGTAGAACGCCAACTGCACTTGGAATTAAGCCAAAACTTAATAAAACTATGAAAAATAAACGCATTATCTAGCAGTATAAAGTGCCAAATGGGTGTACATGCACATTTGATTCACATGGATGAGAAGTTTACGACAAAAATCACCCAAATTAGGCAATAATTTAGCTTCAATTAGTAAAGTAATTCCTATCTAAAATATCAGCATTCAGTAAAGCAGTTGAGGACGGGGAGTGAATAGGGGGTTGTGGTTCCAAATAGAGCAACTTTGTCTTTTGCACCGGTAAATTTCAAACATGATTAGATTTGTTCATGGGATAAATAAGGCTTGAATGCTGGTAATCAGCCTAGCAGAAAAGCTATTGAGCCTTCAAAATGTTAAAGCATACAACATAAAAGCGCTAAATTTTGACAAGGATATAGAAGAAAAGTTAAAAACCAAAGATTTTAACTTTAAGGAAGACCCTAAACCCTCAAACCCGCTTAGAGTCTATCTTGCAAGCCTAAGGGCTAAACAGACAGAGAAAATACAAGCACTACAGTACCTTGAGACTATCAGAGAACAACAAGCTCTGCTGCATAGAAATCTCATCATAATTGGATGATTCTCGAGACATAAGCATTGCAGCAGCTGTAGCCATTACACCCGTGAAGGATATTGGACCGGGTATGCCTTAATCTGCATCAATCAAAATAGCCAAATTAAATTTCAATCAAAGGGGAAAAAGGAAGAGCAAGAAAAGTAGCCCATCTAACATGACAAACCAAAACTTTGAAATCATATAGTATATTAGCATATCCCCAAGCATTTTAAACTGAAGAGTGGAGACCCCAAAAAGATTCAATGGCAACAGGTGCTCGTCTTTGCGTCAGTGAAGGGAGAGTCAAACGAAAACCTTTGAATCTCGAGAATTTTAAAATAAGAACCACAAAGAATCATTAACAATATGACAACAGCAAGCATGAAACTTGAAGACAGAGTCAAACAGTTGAAAACTAAGTTACAACCTAATACGATACAAAATGCAATTATACCAACCAAACATTAGCAAAGCTCTAACCAAGTTAGGGCAACAAAAAACAATAATAAAAGCCAGAAACCACTTTACCAGTTGCTGCACTTCTGCCACTACCCAAAATGAAAAAAAGAATCGACAGATTATAAACTAAAATACTGGAATTCGATACAACTCCTAGTGTAGGAAAAAAAGCCCATGTTGTCTGAATCTTCCGCAATACTCTAACTGTATCAAACACTTAAAAACCCCAAAAGCTGGAAATTTTCCATACCCTTTCTTTATTTGCTGAGACAGCCAAAGAAAAGAAACGAAAAGAAAATTCTTTTGCGAATATGCTCAGCTAGTTCTCAGGTGTAAATGTCATTTCAGTTTAACTAAGCCAAATAGGCGAATAGCTCTATATCAGGTTCAGCCTTTTTGTGTCATCTTCTCTCCATTCTTTTCAATTTCTCAGCGTCTCAACATTTAAAAGCTTGAAGCTAACCAAAATAGAAAGTGGGACTAACCTCCTCTTATTTAAACTTGTTCTTTTCTTTCCACTTTTGTGCAGCTGAACTTTTAAGCCGAGACCCACTCCCATTTAACCTTAAAAATCAGCAGAAGCTAAACAAGGCCTAATGTTTGGTGTAAAATTTTTTTATTAAACATTAGAAAACGATAAGATCACCAAGCGTCTACAGCTTGGAAGCTATATAAAAGGCAAAAACTTGCAGTCGTATAACAGGAAAAAGAAAGAGAAAGAGCGAGGCTTGTTTTTGTTGCCGTTGTTTGAAGAGGAAGTAAAAAAGAAGCGGCAGGCAACAAAGTTAGCACGTCTTGTGTTTGATTTTTGAGAGCAAAGCCAGCTCCTTTTTGAAGCCAAACCCGGAATGTATAGTCCCAGTTTCTCGTTATTTGCCATCTCAGTAGGACCGACTTTCTATGTAGTTTTTTTCATTGTGGTCTGAGTCTGGTGGACCCCATTCTGAACAATAATTACATGATTTTGATCACTTCTGTAATTTAAAAACTTCATCCTCTTGTTTTTATGAGGCGCTTCTTGTATTTGGTTATGCTTGGACTTTTTGGAAATTTTGACAGATCCAGCTTGCCCGTTTGATTAGGAAACTTGTGCATTTATTGACAACAGGTTCCTGTCTGATTTGGATAGTTTATTGACCAAATCCTTTTGGATCCCAGTTATGACATTTTTTTAATAATCAAGTTTATCTTCTAATATTTGGTCTGAAGGGTGCTTCCACGGCTTAAAACAAAGTTCTTCAGTAAAAAGGAAAAGTTTGCAGCTTTCATGGGAGCAAGTGATGTTCGTTGACTTGCTATCATGCCAGGACTGCACTCCTATATGATGATTTGGATTTTACCTTTTTTTTTCTTCCTCAGTTCTCCAAAGAATACCTGTTCCCCCATTGGTTTGGGGGACCCCATTTATCACTTTTCTCCGCCTGTTGCGGGGAACTGATACTTTAATTCCACAGGCCTGATTTAACATACCAACTATCCCATTTTAAAGGGAACTGTTTGTTGCAATGCTACTAACCCCAGTCACAGTACTGGTGGAGTGAACACCGAAGGAGGGCAGAGTTGGGCACTAAATTGCCTCTCCCAATAGGGCACATTCTATGCCCTTAATTAGAAGGCACGCGAGGGTGGTGCTGTGCTGCCTTCTTCAATCAACCCTGAAATGGATTCCATGCTTGAATTTTAGCCTATTCTAAATTCTACTCAGTAATGATTCCCTTTTGTTCCAAGTCCAAATATTAATACAAGGAACAAACCTCCAAATTCAATAGCTGAGAGAATTTTTTTAATGTAGTTTTAATAATACTATGGTTTATCAGCAAATTCTGTCAGATACAAACGGTTTTTTTTTTCACAGACAGGCCATTAATATTCTTTGATTAACAGCAGCAAGTAAAGAGGATTAAGATTATATTAGTATAACTGCATAAAAAAAATATTATTATAAGACAAAAAAAAAAGGAAGACGTGGCCTTTGAGGCACTCATGGTTTGGTCGTGCGTTTGTGGGCAACCAAACACCCCAAGACATTGCCAATAATTCTCTGTCTGAACTCTTTTGCAATTTATTATAGGCAGGTTAGATTGGCTTGGAAAAGAAAACAAAAGTCATTGTTTTCATGCCAAAAATTATATTATAGTATGAACATGCCCTTTGATCGTGTTATCATTCATTGAAAGAAAATCGTTTTTGTTTTTCCTTGAACGTGGAATTGGACTTTGCACGTTTGAATTCGTGATTCATAGTGGCTGTATTGGTTAATTCCAGTTTTGCATATGTGAACTAATCAGTGCCGTGATTGTTGGGAACTGGGGTTGGAATGATTGCTTTTTTTCTTTCCTTTTTTCCTATGCTTCTCCTTTCTTATCTTCTTCCGGAGAAGTTACTGTACAAATTCATTGGACTAGCTGCTTCAGAATGAATCCAGCAGGGTTCCGACCCAATTATCTTGGGCTTTTCTATCGGCCTAGTATCTATTAATCTTTCAGATTAGAGTCCGCTGAATTTTCCCATTTAAAGCCCAATCTCATTGGGGCTTTTCTCTATTACAAGCTACATTGTGAGTAATTGCTACCAAAAAAGCTGTTAATATAATATCTTTTCCTCAATCAAACAAAACCGGTTCCAAGTTCCGACTCCATTATCCTGTTAACAAAAATATAATGTCATGACCATGATCATGATCATGATCCTAAACCAACGTGCTAGAGCTTTACCTGAAGTCCGAAGCTGACTTTAAAGGTGGGGCAAAAAGAAAGGAATCATGGATAAAATCGAAAAGATATACTAATCTAATGCTGGAAAAAGGGCATTAAAAAGAGTGATAAATGATGTGATAATGATGTAGCTCCCTACTACCATTAGAGATTGGTAATTGTTCACTAATAAATGATCATATTTAGCACATCCCATGAAATTTGAGCAGCTTATCATATGTAGACGTCGGCACAAACACAATATATAACAATTCATCACCTTCGCTGTTATATAAAGGTAATTATGACACCTTTTTTTTTTTTCACTCCCATCAGTGCATGATGATATCATGGCTGATCACCCCAAGCCACTAAAGACAATCGTTCGTTCTATTGGCAAGTGTTATGACAATTACAATACTACTAATTGTGGTTCAAGTGAAACTTTGAGTACATATGATCGAAACAGAGTATGGAGCTTCAAGTGAACATGGGGAGCAAGGGAGGATTAGTGGAAGGAAGAGGACTGCTCCATTGGGATTAGATGAGTTTCTGTTTCGATTTCCCAATATCAAAAGCGGCTAAAGAAATGAACGTGGGGCTAACATTGTTGAAGAAGAGATGCAGGGAACTCAACATCATGAGATGGCCTCATAGGAAGATGAAGATCTTGAAGTCCACTAACAATGTCAAGGAAGGGCCAGCATATATTAATGGGATAATAACCTAAATGGCCCTTAAACTACTGATTCTTTTTAATGTAATACCTAAACAAAAAAAAATTTAATCAAAGTACTTAAACTTTCTGTCTGTGTAACAATGTAATCCAAGAGCCTAACTCCGTTAAAAAGTTGTTGATGTGGCATCACAGCCAATAACAACTAGACAAATAATGAGAAAAAATGACATGTCATTTTTATATGTTTGCACATGTGGCAGACCACATATCTTATTTTTATCGTTGTTAATTGAATTTAAAAAAACTTAAACAAAAATTTTCCAAAATCTCCAAATTCTTAACAAAGAAATACAATCCAAAATCCCTAAGCTGCGAAATCTCAAGTCCTTACAATAAAAGAAAATTTTTCGAAAAGCTTTGTCTCTATTGTTTCCAGTATTATAGTTGTTGGTCACCTGGGACTGTCCATAGAAAGCACTATAGCACCAGAGATCATAAGAAGCTGAAGGCCAAGGTGGTCCATGGTAGGTGTCCATCTGCATCATCCAATCACCATATGATCTTGATCAGTTTTAATCTTCTATTGAATTTTGGTATACTCAGAGAGATCTTGAAGGTGATGGCCGTCTGGTAGGGGGAGAGGGGGTTATTTCCTTGTTGAGTTACTTTGATCTTGACAGAAAGGGAAGGAGCAACAATAAGAGAAACTAAGAGGTCCAATAAAAATACACCAGCAATGGGGGTGATAAAATATTTATATTTATTTAAGTTAGTTTTTTTAATTTTATTTGTTGCATTCGCTATTTTTTCCTATTTTTCTCTCTTGTGACCGATTTTGGGAGATATGAGATTGATTCTAAATTGCATGTTTAACGGGGAATCAGACAGGGATTTGGCAACAATAATGAGAATGATGAATTGAAATAAAAAAAAAAAAAAATTGCTTGCTGAGACTTAAACAGCGGCAAAAGAAAGAAAATTAGGGATTTTAGGTGTTGTCGTGTAATAAGCTTTTTCTATTTTAAGTTTTTAATTTTTTTTTTTTTACTTTTATTTTTCAATTAAGATTGGGTAAAAACACGTCAGCAGCCACATGTGCAGGGGGTTTAAAACTGAAATCTCTTTTTTTGTCATTTATGAAGGTTATATTGATTATGATGCCACATCAGCAACATTTTAACGGAGTTAAGATTTTGGATTATATTGTTATACAGAGATAAAGTTTAAAAATCTAATTAAATTTTTTTTTAAAAGTACCCAATTAAAAAAAAATATAGTTTAGGGTCACTCAAGTCGTTATCCCTATATTAATTTACAGTCAAATTCTAGTTCTCAATGAGTGTAAACATTTCAATTCAAACGGATAAAACTATCATGATCAGTGCATGCTCCAAAATATATGCTTGAGATTTGAAATTCCCAGTGGTTACTTTTCTCATTACTTAATGAATATTTTATTCTGGCCAACTGTAACAGTAAGGTTATTTATCTCAGCATCCAGCCTGAAAACAGATCTCCCAAAAAAAAGAAAAAAAAAAGAAAACTTTAGTTCGAGTGTATTAGTCTCTAACATGACATGAGAGGATGCGACACTAATGCCATTTTGATTTTTATATTAGGGAGAGTGATGGTGCCAACTGACCAAACGCTTTTGAGTTTTATAGTGTCAGGGTTAATCGGAAACCCAGTAATTGTGTGGTTTTTTAGCCATTATTCACAAAAATTCAACTTTTCCTCTATACTGAGCTTTCACCTATTTTTATCCATGATTAGATATTTGAATTGAAGACAGCTTGTTCTACAGTTATTGTTTGGTCATATTAATATATATATATATATATATATATATATATTTGCGTGCATGCATGAAATATTTCATTTTCTTTCCATTCCAGATGTCAAGAATTTATTCGGCTTTTTTTGCCTATTTTAGGAGATTGGATTGACAAATGAGATAGTGATGTTGGAAGAGCACAAGGGGCTGCTTGAAAAACTTCCACATATTGAATTGACTGAGAGAAGCAAGAAGCTGTGGCAGGCTTGTTTCAAAGCCAATTACAAGAAAAGAAGGTCCCTTGCCGCTTGTTATATTGACTGCAATGCTATTCTCTGTTTAATCAGTGTTTACTTTTCTGTCATAATACATTCTCCGCGGCTGCCTTTCACTATATGTTTGAATCACAAACATTTGTAGAAATTAAGAATAAAAAACAAATCCTATAATTTCTGGATATATACATATTCATATAGTAATAAGAAGCATGGAGAATCAATTAGTAGTCTCAGGATGTTATATACTTCAACAGATTTTTCTTGACAGTGTGGCTCGATCACTCACGAGACTGGCTTGATTATTATTCTCATTTATGAGGAACAAATTATGAAACCCAACCATATTCGATCAGAGATCCATCACATAGTGTGTGAAGCTTAGGGCTCTAAAATTATTCCTTCCCACATGGAAGAGACCAACGGAATACCTTCAAATGTTTTTCATTTTTTTCCTATACAAAAGTTAAACTGATCAGACGGTGGCAATGCACTCAGGAGTCCTTTTTCTTCATTTTCTCCTGCCCACGTCTCCACGGGACCACTTGCTTAAAACTTTCATAAATGCTTGCCTGCACTTATTACAGTGTAATATGATTAGATAAGATGCAATTAACATCAAGAAATATAGTAGAAAATAAAAAGTCAGGAAATAAGATACGTATATAATTTTCGACCTTGTGAATAATTTGAAAAGTTAGGGTAGATTTATAAATTTCCCTACATATATATGAAAATTGACAAGATCATTAATATTTCTTTGCCTATTCCTTTTACCTTGGGGTTGAATGATTTCTGGTTCTGGCACCAAAAGAAAATGCTCATTAAGTTAGTAGGTAATGGTAGTAAGTATAGTAAATTTGGTTCTGATAGACGAGAGTGAGAAGAGATAAGCAGAAAAACAGTTTTATTGGCAGTAGATCATAGATGACCGGAAATATCATATGGACGCCTGAAAACTGTAAAATAGGTATAAGCATATGATGTAATCTCATATATAATTGTTTGTTTTATGCCTACCATTTGGGTAAAATGTCACAAAGAAAGAGATAGCAGCTGATGGGTAAAGCGGATCATCAACCAAGAGCTGGTTTTGGCACTTACCAAGACATGTGGTCTAGCCTGAGAAAGACTCAGTAAGCTCCCTTTCCTTCTAGCCCTTGTGATCTTCACCTCTGCATCATCACCACCATCAGAAACCGGAGTTGAAAAGTCAAAACTTCCCTGAAGAACTCGTCCAGCCTTTCTAAAGCTCCCCCACCTACTCGATCCAAACATAACTTTCTCCTTATTCACCATCTTGTTGTCCGGGCTCCTAAAAGACCCACTTTTTCGAAACGACAACGTGTAAGACACAAACCGACCTTCTTCAGGCCCGTCCAAGACAGTTTTTGGAGATGGCACGTTAGCAACCTTAGCCTCAGCTAACAACCTCGGAGGCAGTTCCAAGCATCTTCCAGCGTTGGGCTCTGATTGACTGATAGTAGTATCACTAGTACTAGGGCATGGCCTAGGCTTTCCCGGTGCTTCCTCCCACTGGAATGGAACCGAAACTAAGGTATGGATGGGCGATGTTATCATCCATGATGGCTCTTTTGCCTTACCAGGAAACGAAAATAGAGAAAGCTTTGGTGGAGTTGTTTCACACTCTGCCTCAGACCCCATTTTTCTTTTGCCCTAAAAAGAATTGATCATGCAAGCAAACGTTTTTTCAACACCGTAAAATATCAAGCTCTTTAGATTAATAAAATGAGTTTCCAAAGTTCATACAGAAAAGATATATAGTTGGTAAATAGCGTGGCGATGAATGTGAACTGCGACGGTCACACCAACAACAACAAACGCTCCTTGCGCTTCTTATTCACGAGAAAATGCCAGGTTTTGTACGTTGAAAAAAATCACGAAATGCCCTTGGCTTCAATAGGGGTCCCACCTTTAGAGAAATCTTCGAGTTGTGATTGGTTGAAAGTGACACTCAACAGTCTTTCTTATATTGGATTATGAATAAGTAAGATGGATCTTTTGAAAAGTCACCTTTACTGTTGGGTTAAGTTAATTCTAACATCCAAACAGTTCTTAAACGCCCCTGCTTTCTATAATTAATCTAATATTTTTTAACTATGTGAAATTAAACCTACAAATATTGTAATATTCAAGTTTAGAGGCCGTTACATTTATATTTTTATTTTTGGATTGTTCGTATCAATAAAATCGGTTGCTTTATAAATCTTTCTTTCACTTAATAGCCTAGATTTTTATGATTTTTTTTTTTATAAAAGAGCCACAAATAATAAAAAAAATTATAAAATTTAAAATTATTAAATGTTATAATAATTATATGAATTAGATATTTATAATATTATAGTCCGAAGAAAAAGCATAATACTATAAAATATATACATACTAGTAACAATTAATTTCAACTATTCTAGAAAAAATACAGGTCGATTCATTGTATTTATACCATCAAGTTATACGCAAAAGCTTTGTCCGAGTCAAAAGCTGTATAAAAAGAGGCCGATATTTTGGATATTCTCTAAACTAATTTTCCTACAGAAAGAAAGAGATCAGAGGAGAAGATAAGAAAAGAAAAAGGAGTCAAGGCTTATAGATGATGTGATGGCGACTTTACTGCGTCAGAGCATAAATTTTCAAGACATCTTTACCTAACAACAACAATAGTATCAAAGTTAAAGGCTCTGGATTTTGTTCATATAAAACACCATTAATGGCGGATCTGCATTACATTGATTAAAGAAAGATAAAGATATCAGTTATTAACAGCTCACCTAATTTCTATTGTTCTACTCCCTCCTCTTCCCTAACTTTCTCCCGAGATGGTGAAATGATAACTCTTTTCATGGAGATACAAAAATATTTTCAAAAACCAGCTATAGTCCACTGTGTGTACAGCACTGGAAATTGATGTTTTACCTGAGCCAATTCTTTCAGGACCATGGGATCCCCAAAGGTTCAAGCCACTATTTCACCAATATCTAACCTGGTTTTTAGGGCAATTTTTTCATTTGTCATAGAAGCAGACGTACGTGCCACTGTCACAATCTTACTAGGAAGGGCTTTTAATTGCTAAAGACCCCATTTCAACCACCTGTAATATTATTATAACATGATGCAGAAAGGAGTAGAAGGAAATATTGCAAGCATGATCAGGATCCCGCTATCTTTGCTACATATGTATGTCACGTTTTGTGTGTCTTTTAGTATCAGCATGGCTTATAATTATGGTTCACCATCGCAGAAAAGCGACAGATTAAAAGAATCAAGGCGTTTTGGAGGGACGAATAGTCAAGTCTTAATCGTATGTCTCAAGCATTGGGGGGTTGAATTCATTTAATGTGAGTTAATGGCGGAAATAAAACGACTTGATTTTATGTAAACGTAAGGTCTGGATTCACGCTAAAGCTTGTGATTGGCAATTTCCCAAGTAAGTAAAACAAGACAAAATCAAATATTGTTCAACCCCCCATTTCAGCAGATCAGCCAGGGCCAGCAGACTCTTCTTTTCACGTGGAATTGTCTCCAAATAAAGGATGTGGAATCAGAAATTCAGAACTAGACTACTAGTTAGAGATATTGAGTAAGTCATGCATCCTGCCCTTTCTGAACGCAGAAAGTAATTATTGGTCAAACCATTAACTGGATAACGGTTCAATCAATAACATAAAGACATTGATCGTTATGAAAGGGTAGATGGAAAGTAAATATTTAGTTAGGAAATTTTATATTTCCTAGAGCAATACAAAGAGAGAAAAGGGAATTCTGAATTCAATTTTCAATTAGTTTATGCTCTTCCTTTGAAAAGTGGCATTTTTTAATTCAAATTTTAATTTTTGTAATTCTTTTAAAATTTTCAATAATATCTTTTGTAAAAAAAAAAAAATTCCATTCATGAAATTTGACAAAGTTTTAGCACTTGCTTTTTTTTTTTTTTTTTTTTCACCAACTCTACCAACCCCTTGGCCATTTATGATTTAGAATTTAAGAAATCTATTATTAATGATAGTGTTATTAGCCCAATGGAATGTTGTTCTTTTCACAATTTTTTTATGTATACATGTAGGCCTAATATAAGTTACAAAATGGGTGAAATGCATATCTCTTTTTTGCCCTCGATAGCAAGCATATACAAATAAACATTGCGTACCTGTATAATTTTATTGGTTGAAATATTAAAAAATTTTAATTTTATTATTTTTTAAAATAAATTCTTATTTTTTATTATATTCAAATAAATCTTTATTCTTAATTTATATTTAAATAATTCTTTATTTCAAACAAAAAATTAATTTATATTAAAAGTTTATTTAAATATAAAATAAATGTTAAAAACTTATTTGAATATAAATTAAAATTTAATGATTTATTTAGGTGTGACATAAAAATCAAATGGTTTATTTGAGTATAATAAAAATAAAATAATTTATTTAAGTAAAATGATAAAGTTTAAATCTTTTTTTTCTTTTAACCAATTCTATTTGAAGTTATGATTTTTTTTGGAATAAAGTAGTGACATGAATGTTACTGGTCAATAATAAATGTCTTCACCAATGGACATTAACATCCATTCACCGTGAGTACTGGGATGCATAGAACACATTAATCTTGTGCTGGGATTAGAGGGACAAGGCTTGGCCTATATTTATTGTTTGATCTAACCGTTTGGGGCCTAACTTTTGCATTTTTTTTTTAAACAAAGGGATTTAGCATATTTGTTTGGGCCTAGTAAATCTTGGGATTCGACGGTGGATCCATGTCCTCAAAACTTCGACTCGGGCTAGGAATTGGACCGAAAGAAATAGAGATGAATTTTATTGAGTAATATCAGAAGGTGTCTTATGCAGAGGATGGAAAATTGAGATCATTTAAATTATTTTTTATAAAATATCAATCACAAGATTTATTAATAATATAAAATATTTATTTTTTAATAAAAAAATTGTAAAATAGATAGATTGTTAATTTCTCGTAAATTGTATCATATCTGACAATTTAAAACAGATAATTATAAATCGTGTATTCAAAATAATCCTAACAAATTATAATTAATAAGATTCGAACTTAAAATTTTTTTATTCAAAAGATAAATTTTAACGAATTGAACTAATCATATATATATATATATATAATATTTATATACTAATCAGATCAAATATAAAACGGAAAGTTTCGACACCAGAAAAAGGGAGCAAAGACTATGAGGGGCCTATACATGGTGACAAATGGGCCATGAAATCACTCAATGGGCCAACTTTGCCAGGCTTCGAATTTTTAATTTTGAATTTCGATGATTCATCATTGTTTTTCGTGATTAAAATAAAATTTTTGTTGTACTATAACAAATTTTAATATTAAAATTTATTATCGTACTTCAATTTTATTAATTTTTTTACTACAATTTCAAAGATATTTCGTTAATTCAAGTGACAATTTGTATTAATTATAATATTTTCTAATTTTTTTGCCAATCATACTATTTCTATTTAAAATTAAAAAAATCGAATGTGTATCGATGAAATCCAATTAAAATTGGAGAAAAAGAATAAAGCACTTGCATGCAGACTGACGTGGCATTCGATGCAGAGTCCAGGCCCTTTTCTGGTTGTTTTGAGAAGCTCCCGCCGCTGGCCAAAACAATAAAACCCTCTAAAGGGAAACAGGTTCATCCTGTATATAGCTCGTATGTTATCCTAATCCCAACGCACTATTTTCATGAGAAACTTCCGGTCAAAATTTCTGAAATCAATTTATATTGGTGACGTGGCGAAATTTGGGCGGAGATGCACATGGATGTACAATGACGTTATACACACAATTGCCTCCGACAAAAATGCCTTTCCTCTTATGGTTTCCACTTCTAACTTCTCCGTCAAGCGCCATTCTCAGCTTGCTTGTTTTTTTCTTAAATTAAAAAAAATTAAATTTTAATCTTAACCTCAAGGTTTCTGTAAATTCAAAATCGCCGTCACTCATTCAATTCAAGATGTTTAATTTTCGTTTCTTTTTTTTTTTTAAAAGTTGAATTGGTTTAAATTCTACGGTTTTTGATAGAGTCACCCCATGGGAGAATGTAACATGGAGGATATGCCGTTGCCAGCTCTCTTCGAACAAGCTCTTAAGATCCATCTAACGGCCACGGATTCTGGTGCTGATCAGGTACGCTACTTCTGATGCTTGATTTCCTTAACTGTTTTCTGATCTGATAAATGTGAATTTCATGTGCCTGTAGGATCTGGCAAAGAAAGGATGCGAGGCGCTGGGGAAGTGCGAGGACATGATAAGCAATCTAGGGCTTTTCTCATCCAATGAGAAAAAAGACGACATCAGCACCACCGACCTCAAATATCTTCTAGTAATCATCAAAACATTTATCCCCTTTTCTTTTTGATAAATAATAATAATTTGTACTATCTATATAGAGTTTTGTCTGAAATTTTGGTTTTAGTTCATTTATAATATTATTGTAATTACTCTTTTCTCCTTAAATAAGTTGGTAGTTGTTGAGTTCTAGAATATTTTGATAGCAGTAGTCATGGCCGTAATTTAAGTAGTATTCCCTAAAACGTTGATTCTAACTGTTGTTTTACATTTGAGGCGCCATTATATCTTGCAGAGTTGACTGAAAAGCTTGCGCATGATGACCGGATACAGATTTTCAAGACTTCGCAGGCAAAATTGAATGTAAATTTAGTTCACACCAAGCTCATTATGAATGTTTAGCATTTAAAAATGTTGTTTGATAACTGTTTTTTGTTAGTTTGTTTCAAGCTGTTATTTATCGCCTGTCTTGTATGTCAATTGGAAATTATAGAAAATGCAGTGTCTTCTAGGAATTCATTTCATTTTGTGAGGCAATGGAACTTGTACCACAGGAAGAGCTGGAAGCTTCTGCACAAGGAGCTCCAAATTCTTTTGTTGATCGAAGAGCCTTAAAGGTAATTATATATACTTTTGCTAACAGCATGACTTTTTGTTTTTATCGGATGCATTCTGGGTCATTGATTTGAATGGAAATGTTGTTTTGGTTTGTGTGTTTTAGTGCCTGTATCCAGATTGCTTGGTTCAGATGACAGAGCTGCAGAAGCAAAGCTGACAGAAATAAAGGAGCAGAAGGTGCAGCGCGGGTGTTCAACAAGAGCAGCTGCCTTATCTACTCCTGTTGAGGTTGGAGAGGATAATGTGCTGGATGATGATGGGGAGGAGGAACGGGAGGTTTGTGCTATTCATAGAATACCTTTTAAAGTACCTCTTCTTTACATATGACATTACTCTTAAGTCTTCCTTGTTAAATGCCGAACTTGATACTGTTATCATATGAAAATCTGCAAATAAGTGGAACTTATGAAAGATATTGCCTGAAATGGTGCACAAGGAACTTCTAGCAACTGTTTTATCAAGTATCTGATAAAACCAGGATGGAGGAAAGCTTTAGCTTTACCTAAGGCTATTATTTAAGAAGGTTTCTTTTGAATTTGTTTGTTATTGGTTTACTTTTTGACCTTGTGCTCATGAAACCAGGGAGCAGGAAAGGTTTGGTTAGGGCTATTGCATAAGAAGGCCCCCTTGATTTGTTTCTTTCCTTGTTTCTTGTTCTTGTGTGTTTTGTCATAAGCAATTTCCCGCAAGAATTGTGATTATGTTCTGGGTGATTATGACTTCTAGCAGTTTGAAATGTTGTGTGTGAGTTTATACTTCGATAAGTTATAATTGGAAGTTTTATAACTTGACTTTTACTCTATGTGATGTGTGTAAGTGTTGGTTTGTTTTCTTTTTTCTGAGGTATGCTATTTATCTACTGGATATTACTAGGATCCAATTGGGAATTACGACTACATTAGATCTGTTGGCCTTGGTATGCAGTAAAGGAAACATTGGCCTTCATCGTTTTTTTCCCTAGAATTATGATGATGATCCTTTTTATTTCATGAAATCTCTAGCTGATACTAAAAATTATTTTGTTTATTTTGTTGTCAAAATTAATGTATTATGCATTGAAACTGAAATGTTATTACCTAATGCTTATTGTTGAAGATATTGGTTGTGCTTCTTTGGTTTTGCAAAACTTTTTGCCTTCTAAAAGAATGACATTCTCCTTGTGCAGGCTTGACCTACTACTATCTCATTGGCTATTTGTAAGGTTAGTCTTATATTTCAATGAAATCTGCCGTGCAAAAGCTTTAAAGTTCTTTTCCATGATAGTTATATATTCATACCACTTTCTGTCATGTTTCGACAATTGTAGGCTTTTGATCTGCTAGAAATGCTAAAGAAGGAAGAAGAAATGCCTTCTGCTATAAGGGAAAAGCAACTAAAGGTATTCATCTGCTTAATTGATCTATAGCCTCTCCTTATTAAAATTTTAGTGATGAGTTGTGCTGAAAATTTCCACCAGAAGAGGATTTAAAGCTTTGAGTGAAGCACTACTTGAAGATTGACAATATAAAACCCACTTAGGAGGTGTAAAGCTTACTCGAGTTAAACATTTTATGATGTTAAGCCTTGGAAGGGGACATATAAATGTAAGATGCCGAGATTGACACTGTTCACCCAACTTAAGAGATTGGTTACTTAATTTTTCTGATAAATACAAGAATTTTGTTACCATATTAGAGTTGTCTTAGCCTTCATTCTCTAGTCTTGCTACCTGGCCAACTGGCCATTTTCATTGGAGAAAATTGGAAATTCTTCTATAAATTGCCAGAAAAGTTTAATTAGATCTCCTGAAGCATAGTATTGTTGTTTAAATGATAAACATTACTCTATCTATTATAATCTTTTCATTGCCTTTCAGACCAACCATGACTTGTTACCACTTGTCACTGGTTGACAATGCTCAATTTCCTGTGAATTGCTTAGACCAGTGATGGCCAGCATCTGTTGGTAAATTGTGTTGAAAAAGATTAATAGTTTTTCTATGCAGGGTTTCAGAAAGTAAGGAATAATGGATTTGTTTGGAGGAATCATCGTATTCATTTCTTACTTTTTTTGCTCAAACTTTGAAAGTTGATGCCTAATGAACCAGTTTCCAGTATGAGTATGGGTTGGTGGCATTTCTCTCTTTCCTTATATTTTAGGAAGGGGAAAATGAATTTTCTCAGGCTATCCTAGATGATCGGACCAAGAAAACAGAGGCATGGCATTGTGAAGCTGCAGCTCATTCACGATATACTAAACCTGCACCACCCATCACATGTGCTACATTTGTTCAAGATGTTATAGGACGACAGGCAAAGGTTTCTCAGGCACATGACCACAAACACCAGCCAATGATCTTTGGACCAGAAAGCCTTATAGGTGGAAGCCTAACAAATGAGAGGGAAAGGATGGCGGCACAGGTTTTCGAACCTGGGCATAGGTAAATCCCTTTCCTGAAATACTACTTTTAAGTACTTTCTGTTTTATTCTCTGGCATGAAGGAGAGATTCTAGTATCAAGTCTCTTGTTAAACATCTTGCCGCCCTAACATATGATAATTGGCACATATAGTTTCTGATCATGCTTAAAGAAAAACAGTGTGTTTTGATCATATTGTTTTCAATTGGTAATCGAAATTATCTTGTGGTAGGATGCCAACCATGAGTTTCGAGGAAGCTGGTCTGAGGGAGATGGACATGATGAATAAATGGCAGGAGGGAATGCAAAAGTGATTGAAGAAGCCAACTCGGCATGGTATAAGGACAGCCCAAAGTTGGGACCAAGTGAAGATGATGAAGACAATGATGCTGCCCAAGAGGAGACAAGGGAATGGGATCATTGGAAAGATGATAATCCTCGAGCTACCGGCAATAAAAAGCTCACCCCCTGTGGGTGAACGCTGGCAAGTATTTCTTATATTTCTCCTATGATGTATTCTTTATTTCCAAAATTTTATTTTTCTATAGATGTTTTTCTTTACAAAATTGTCAGTTTGATTTTGGCAATGCATGAAATTCACACGTCGATTAGAACAAACTTGATTGCCAAACTTTTAGACCGACTGTGCTAAACAGCCCCATTCCATGCGCTGTGTGGCTAAAGCCGTGGATGGTGACCGTACTACGTATTGGCAAGTACGGAAATGAAAACTGAACAGCCCCCTGATTGAATTTGTTGACTGTTTATTTTGCCATTACACACCATTGTTGCTTCGAATTCTCACTTAGAAGGATTGACGGTATTGCTCAATCCAGCTGTTAGTTTATGGATGCTATAATATTATTCAAATCACAACGCCAGATCCAAGCGTCAATGCAGGCCAATCTCCTGTTAAACCCAAATTGGTCAGTTTGGTCGGTTTAATACCGGCTCCTTCTAAATTGGTGGGAGTGCTGGCTGACAAGCTCTCTCCACTCGTTTTATTCTCACATCTGTGCGGTAACCATCTCTTCCATTTATTAATTATATAGGTGATTCTTTCAAATATGCCAGATGCCACCGCCATGCCAGCCGGTGACAGTTAATAAACCAGTTAATAAAAGGAACTGCAAATAATTTCCAAGTAAAAAAATTCAACTGTCCCTTGTCTCGTGAACAAGTCCTTCATTAGTGTTTTATTAGATTTAATTGCCTTGTACAACTTTGACAAGTTTCAATTCAATTATAAGAAAAGACGCTCTTAAGAAAAAGATTTTAAAAGAAAAAAAGGGTTCAAAGATGAGATGGGATACCTGCAAAGTAAAGAAACTTTCTACTATACGACAATGGATTGTTGAAGCATCGAACATCAATTCAGTGCCTACTTTGGAGTTACACGATCTTTATAAAATTGTACGATAAACATTTATGATGTTGATTGGATGGCGTTTAGATTCAATACAGGACGATCAATCGGACTCACTGTTAAGTTCGAGCCAGTCAACACTTGCATGCTTTTAAGTACAGAAACAATGAATCCACGACCTTTTTGTTGGTTCAGTTCTCTTAAGAACTTGAATCATCTACGCAAATGATTGGCACCACAAATTTTACTCTCAACCTCTTCCACACTCCCAGTCTAAATTTAGGAAGATTACACTTTCATGGGGTAAAGCACAGTAGACATTTTTTGCTTGTAATGGTTAATGAGGTATCACTCATAACAAATAATCGAGACTTGATATTTGTTGCATTAAGCTCAGGTCAGTTTCCTGCTAATTAAACAGAAAAATGCGAACGATATATAAATCTAATGTAATTTTTTTCTGTCTCTGAAGTCTGTTATCTTGTGATCTGCTCTGATCGGAAATGAGAAAGACTTACTCTCGCTCTAAACTTTTTTATGCCAAAACAAAAAACAAAAAAATGGTCACTTCAAAAGACATGAAACATTTCCATTTTGATGTAGACAAAGATAATTATCTTGTTAATCAGGTATGATAAATAGAATAGATAGTCATGTAATGTGCATAGAACCTAATGCTACTGAACAAATGAATTCTCTCAGCAAAAAAAAATATGAACCAGTCATGTAAGAAGAGCCATTTTTTTTTTCTGAAGAATGCAATCCTGGTGGTTGCAACATGAAAACCACCAATGATAGAAGAAATTTTGTGTTAAGATAGAAGATTAACAAATTTAATTCCAGATAGAAAATTAATCTAGAATTATGTTTCTTAAAAACAATTTACAATCTAAAAGGAAAAAAATTTGCCTCATACATACTCTGATTAATCCATTGGCAAACGCAAGAGTAACTAAAAGGAACAGAGGCTGGTCTGTTCCTTCACCATGCCAAATTGTTCCTCACTACTGGTTTTTTTTTCATTCTTTCAAGGACTATGTTTCTTATCTATCTTGTCAGATGACCCCAAAGAGTAATCTTTTAGGCATTTCCCACACCTAACAATGAAATAGTTCATTTTCAGATGACTCATGCATTTTCATTTCATTTAGTTACTTGTATGTGGGCCCACAGCCCAAAATTCCCTAAAAGTTCAATGAATCTTTTTCCCAGAATTACAATGATAAACATAGAACTTCAATCATCTTTTTTATTGAATTGCAGAATGAAGAAAAGATTAATCATTCTGAAGAGAAAGATGGAAACTGTTACATTCAAAAAGGAATTACTTTTACTAATGCAACAAAGAGCAAAGGAAAAAGCAATAAGCTGATCCTTCATCAATTAAAGAGACAAGAGTATCAATTGTAGATATAAACAGTTTTTGGTGCAATTACATGTAATTTTTTGCAAACCAACAACTGAAAAAATAAGACTTTGTTCTGAAAATCACGAAACAAAAAGACTTCACAACTCACAAGAGAATTACCAGTTGAAGCCAGAACTGAAAATTTGAGAGAAAATCAAACACTTACTGTTACAACTTTCACAATCCCCATTACAGTGTTTTTGTCCACCCGCCGGCCGCTGGATGCCGCTCTTGTCAACGGAATTCGCCATTCAACTCATTACTTTGACCATCAAATTATACAATAGAAAGAAAAAGTAACTCCCCCAAAGGCAAAAACTTTCAACCATCAATACATTGAAAGCCTCTGCAAACCCATAACCAAATCCCAAACAAAGTAGCACAAACAAGTAAATCCAATATCAAAACCACCCAAACATGTTTGCTCCAAGTTTGCTTAGCCTTTTGTTGCCTATCCCCACTGCCCATATAAAAACCAGCAGCACCACTTTTTTGTATAGAAACAGGGAAATCTCTAAAATCATCACTCACATCAACCTTATCCTCCATCCCAATCCCACCACCGGCATCTTTAGCCTCAACCCCGTTGACCTCCAAACCACCCGATCTTTTCTTCTTTTTCAACCCTTTAATTGGCTTGCCTACCCTAGGAGCCACCACGGTTCTCTTCCCTTTGTTGGAATCCAAAGTTGGGTTTTGACTCGCTTTTGTCGGGGATGTAACCAACTCCAAATCCATAGCCATTATCTTTGAAAAGATTGGATTGAAATGGGATTGGAGACAATTTGGGGTAAAATTATCAGTGCCCACAATTAAACCAGTTAGAAGAAAATCCTCAAAGGCATATTTCAGGTGATCCAAGAAGCAAAAGGACTCAGATTTCTCAAGATTCTCGTGGAATATGAGGAAGTAGGCAAAAGGGTCATCGATTAAGAAGGTGTACGTTCTGTTGGAAACAGTTTGAGAGAAAATCGAATGGAAAAGAGGGGTTTTTTCGATGCATTTTTGAGCTAACGATTCGATTCCTGCTTCTTTGCAAGAGAATTCAGCAAGAATTGTGGGTCCTTTTGCAATGCATGCATAGAATATCAGATTTGGATTGGAGATCATTTGATGGGTTCTTCTTAAAAATGACAACTTTGGTTTTGATTTTTATTTGATCGGATTCGTAATTTCTCAACCCAAAAAAAAAAAAAAAAAAACCTCCCTGTTTTCGTATCTCTCCCAAAAGAGCAAAAAGCTTCTGCCTTTAGCCTTCGCTGTTTACAGATTGTATCATGTTTTTGCTAGGGTTTGAAGCAGAAAGAATGAGGGAGCTGGGTCCCATAGCTGGAAATCGGAAGAAACAAACAAATAGAACAAAAACAAAAATTGAGAGGAACAGAATAACTTTATCTAATTACCCTTCTTTTGGGACTCTAATTACGGGAAATTGCCTGAGAATTTTATAATGTCGGCTCTTGTCGGCCGAACATCCGATAATATAGTAGATTTGCAGTAAATAATTACCTTTAAAAAGGGATAATATTACCAACATACCCATTGCTCTGCTCTAAATCCAAGCCACTCCCGTTGTTCGATTCATTTTCAACCCAATAATTTTATTTTATTGGATTATAGTCAATTCAATTCAATTCTTTGATACCAAGCTAATGTTGGTTTCCCTCAGCTTGCAACAAAACACAAGAAAAACATATCCCGAGTAAGCCCCCATAGCTGCATGTAATTAATTGTCAATCCTAACTTGCCAAATATGGGTAACATTTCAAAAGGCACTAGCGTCTTTATCATTCTGTTTAGATGATTACAACGGCAACTTTGTCGAATAAAAAAAGTGCATTTGCAAACTGAATTATACTCTCAGCAAAAAGAATGACCAATGCAACAGCAATGGAAGCTGGACCATGTAATTTTCACTCTGATTATGCTTGAACATGCACTGGCAGAGCTTGACAATATTAGAATGTCTTTGGACTTTTGAGGGTTTTTCTTTTCTTTTCCCATTCTTGTGACTCTGTCTTCTCTTTTCAGCTCATGTAATATAAGGTCGATCGATAGAGGCCCATTCGAAAACCTGCTCATATTGAATCGCAGCACTTTCCCAGGTGAAGTCTTTCTGCATACCTCTTCTCATCAATCCCTCCCAAGTTGACTTGTATTCTCTGTAGGTCATTATAGCCGTTCTTAACGCCTGCAATAATATCAAACTTGTTCTCATAGAAAATTGCAGTATATCCATTTGGAAAGGAGACTTCAAAGGTACAGAAAAAGGAGATCAATCACTAAAGAACATTCTGCAACGCAGAAGAAAAGTTCCAGGTTTCTACCAATTAGTAGCTGATAAATTAGAGATCCGCGATTGCAGGGTAAAGTCAGTTAAAGGCTTAAAGCAGTGTTTTTGTCTAAAACAGGAATCACAGTTACTGGCAAAAAATGTAAAACTCCTATATAATTAGGAGGCGGCAAATGCATAACATTAACTTACCTCCAGCATACTCTCTTTTGTAAGGGGAGAAAAAGTCCACCTGTCATCACATTTCCAACCATTATAAGAGAAACTACATGCAAACAAAACATATATTGAAGTTGATGCACTGCATTCTATAAAAAACATTTTCATCCTTTTATGTATAGCAAGCATGAACAAAATCTCTAATACCATGTTATCTTCTGGCAGATTCTTCAAACAAAATTTTCCAATTGAGAAAAAGGCTACCAGAAGTTTGATGCACATGAAAAACTTTTCTTCGTCATTGTCTCATTACAAAGTCTCAGTTTTGTGTAATTTTTACATCCTTCTATACATTCAATCAAGCTCCTGACAATATCAATCTAGTTATATTTTTTGAAAAAACCTATTGATGATGTTACATGATGTTTTATCCACAATTGAAATCTTAAATGAAGATTTGTTTTCTATTTTAATTAAAGAACACTTTATTACTACTAAATTTTCAACTCCATAAAAGGTTATCCAAAAAATAATCATCTTCACAAAGAATTTACGCCTTTTTATAAGCTGTACTAAGTTAATGAAAAAGAAAAGTAGGGACTGCATACCCTGTGCCTTCACCACTACCTCCTCCAGCATATGGATTGAAATTCTCTACTGTGTCCTGAAGAAGAGTATGTTAGGGGCATGTAATGCAAATAAATCAGATAAATGCGAACGGCTCTAAATCTCATTACTGTTTTAACTCACTCTAAGTCCTCCTGTAGCATGAACTACTGGTACAGTACCATATCTCATTGCATACAATTGATTTAATCCACAGGGCTCAAATCTTGAGGGCATCAAAAGTATGTCACAGCTGCTCATTCCAGAACAATGGTATGTTATTGGTATCTCTACTAACATGTTAACAACAAAAAGAATTTTCCAATTACCCTGCAGTGATCCTATGCGAAATTGGAACATTAAATCCAACCCAACCCCGAAATTTATCTCTGTAGGTTGTCTCTGATGCCTTCATCCAGTCTTCATACAGTGGGTCCCCAGAGCCAAGCATTACCTAAAGCAATTAGGAAGCTTAGTTCTCCGGTAAGTGAAAAAAAGAATAACTAGAAAACAAGATAACAGAAATAGACTAGAAAACATGATAACAGAAATAGAGAGGCCACGAGATAGCACTCAGACTTATGCTTGTTAAAGGCTTGTGCCTATCTGTAATGCACCCACTTACCAAGGCCACAGCAACAACTAGATTTGCACTCCATATTCAGACCATTTCTGAAAAGAGATATTGTCCCCTTTCATCTTAAATAAATCACCAGATTTTATATCAATTAGAAGAAGAATGATATTATACGGTAAAATTAGTATTAAGAAATAAAGATCAACTTAAAATATCTAAATAAGTCATGGTCCTCAACAAGGGTAAATCTACTTTTACCATCCATAAGGAGAAATGTTTTTTTAACTGTAACAGATTTGAAAATAGTCTTCTACCAAACAGGTTACCATGCTGCACCAAAAGGAATACTTCCTTGAATATGTGATACAAATTAAGAGTAATTCTACCTAGAAAGTATCAAGGTTATTAAGTAAATGGAAAACTTACCAATTGTACATTATCTTCCATAAGCTCTGGAGTTGCCCAACGGATCAGGTCAATGCCTTTCTGGTAGTCCAATCTCCCTATAAATCCAATCTGTAAATCCCAACTTAGTGAGAAATGAACGAAAGCATGGCTTTTCACTACCAAGTCTACTCTAACAGGAAGTAAAATAGTACCAATGGACATTCTGGCCTAATTGGAAGACCTAATTCCTGTTGAAGAGCAGTCTTGCATTGAACCTGAAGTTTACAATTGATTGGGAGAAGAATTCAGAACATCAACTTTTTCAACTATGAATGGCTAATACCAGAAACAAGAGATTAACCACCTTTCCAGAGAGATCATCAACAGAATAATGGAAAGCAATATGCTCATCTGAAGATGGATCCCATTCAGCAACATCAATGCCATTCACAATTCCTGATCATCATTGAATGTTTAAGAAGTTTCCAGTTACAAAACATCTAATTTCATCAGAGATTATAAACGTGACTGAGAACATCCAAACACCCCACACATGATCAATGCATACAATTTTCTTTACAACAGTCTGTTCTTGTCCAAATGGAGCTTATGGACAAAGCTAAGACCTAGATAAAGGTCATACTAAATGTTGTTCCCATCAGATGTGGGATGTCATAGAGAAACTTGGGCGTGAAACTTAACCTTCACTAAGTTTGCATCTGCACTACCCTAAAAGCTTTTAGAGTTGTGCACTAGATGACATAAAGGCCATATTCTATTAACAAAGTAGAGAATACATACCATTCAGAACACTCCTTCGACTGCTTAATAGATCATTTAAACCATATCCGCCTTCAACAGTTGTTATTTCCCATGCATAGCCCTATAATAAACAAATATCATAGACTAAAGCCATGTACAAAAATTATTAAAACTGCAAGCAGTAATTCAAACTTACTAAGTAGAGGACAGTTTTTACTTTTCAATTGCAACTCATTGCAATGGAAGCAGGGCGAACATTCTGTGACTTTTCAGTTAGATTTACATAATACATGATGGGAACCATCAAATAAAGTTTCAATTATGGACCGAAAATTCAAAAAATTACTAACATTACATATCTGGACCTTAAATGTATGGTTTTGAAAATTCAAAAAATTACTAACATTACATATCCAAACAAATGACTAGATGTAAATGTACCATTAAATAGATCTATATGTAAAATAAATCACCTTGCTAACTGTAAGTATTCGATCAGCTGTCACAATTGCACCCTTTAAAATATTCACAGCTTCCCCTGTGTCGAGAGCATGTGTCCTTGCCCATGTAGGAAACACCCATTCCAATGCCCCATACCACTCTAAAGGCAATCCCAAATTTTTGTAGCTTGCTGCAGGTTCCACTCCCTTGCACAAAGAAGAAGATATATTTAAAATTATTATTGCAGAAATACACTTGCACAATTTGATTCATAAGAGTTCAATTTGCAAGTCTTACGGCCTTAAAAAATTTGAAAGGCAAGTTTTAAGATCGGTCTTGGCGTACAAGAAAATGAGAGAATCAAGAACAAAGCAAAAGAATAACCACAAGAAAAGCATCTACCTGATGTGCAAGGTTATGAATTACTAGGATGCTCCGAGCATCCTTATAAACTCCAAATGGACGGTATTTGGAAGCCAAAAGCCTGAAAAATGTGACATGGAAAATCAGAAGTCCCAGAAAAATTGCAAACTTCATAAATTGTGTAATATGAATGTTGAACTAAGTTTCTATACTAAAAAATTTTCTCCAAACCAAAACCAAAGCTACTATGCATACTCTTCCCATAACAAGAAGAATGTTGCAAGAATCATCAGCAGATGTTCTAGTGGCCTACAACTTGTGTCTATATTTGTATCAAATCGGAGTTTTACCATTCTTAAAGGAGCACATTTCTTTTCTTTTTCATTCCAAAATTCAAGGAAAGGGAGGAGAAAGGAAATTGTAAATTGCTAGCTGATAATAGTTGCGCACACAAGTACAATAGGAAAAGTAGACAAATAAAGTGATATAAAAATGAAGTAGCAAAATAATTAATTGGTGATTAGACAATGTTTCTAACACTTATAAGCAAATGAGATATAAAGTCAGACCAATAAAAAAAGGCAAACAAATGCAACGATAAGCAGGCAACATCTTACACTGGCACTAGACCAGCATGCCAATCATTGACAAGGAAGAGACACTTCTCTCCATAGGTATACCCTCCCAATGGAAGCACTAATGGAGCTTCACATGCTGTATGGCAAAGTAAAGTAAACCGAAACTGTAAAGCCAAAAAGGAGAAAAGACTGTCATTTAATGTATAGAATTTTCATGTTAAACCAAACGACAACCAGGACAAACAGAAGTATACCTGGTTATCACCAAAAGCACCATGACTATCACCATATGGATTTCCAGGTCTATGGTAAGAAGGATGGTCCACAAATACCTTATAATGGAGGGAAACAACTTGAGAAATAGATGAATGAATGTTATGAGCTTATAGCTAATTGCCCTCATGATTCTTTAATAAAGAATCTCTCTTTAAGTACATATCCATGTAAGGAGTTTTAGATTAGAAGTGGAAACTTACCCAATCAACACCCTCCCTATACTCATGGAAGAATGCAATCTCTTGCTCCCCTCCAAAGCAATGTATCTTAATGCGCCGATCTACATCAAAAGCACCTGTGAAATTTTTATCCGCAGATGTACCGTGCAGGTATCTAGGAGAGACAACCATGACTCGGTGTCCACGGCCAGCTAGTATTATCGGCAAAGAACCACAAACATCTCCTAATCCACCTGTCTTTGAATAGGGTGCAGCTTCAGCAGTAACAAAAACAATATTGTAGGTTACTCTTGTTTGGAATATTTCGTCTTCAATTCCCTCATCTTGGTCTTTGGTATCAGTGGCCTCATCTTCATAAGAGTCAATAACTTCATGATCACCTATGATTCAAGTTAATATACTACAGTTAACCCACAGAAGTCCATTTAATCTTTAAGAACAAAATATTGCTAAGGATTCTAGCTAAAGCAGATCAAACTTAAGTGGGTCAGGAGAAGTGGCAAGTTTTAAGAGTTAAACGAAATCCTGGAACAATAAAAAATATAAATAAAAAATTTACACCTTACATATTATTTCACTAACATGACAAAAAAATACGGAGGGAAAACAGACAGATAGGAACTTTCACAGGGGAATTATCTAGAAAAAATGAAACAAAGTCAATAGAACCAGTATGACAATGACAATTGAAAAAAGGATTTTCCAAATAGTCAGAAGTTTTCATATGACAGCCACTACCTGGGTGAGTAGAACTTTAGGTCCCAATTAATTTTTTGCCACTGCTGTCACAAGGCAAAGTTTAGCTAGGAGGCAAGAGATATATAAACACCTCGCAGTTTATTGACCATAGGCACAACATACAGACTCAAATGATACTATGATAGCCTATGTTTAAGTAGCAACTTTCATTGTTGAAAGTTCTCGAGTCCCATGGACAGTGATATGGATAATGATCGGAAAAAGAGAAAGAGAAAAATCCACATTGAATAGTTAATAACCATAGAATGCAAATTCCACCAACGCCTATGTTTTCACAATGTGAATCTTGACCAGCAAGATGTGCAAGAATCGTCAATAAAAAAAACTACCATGTCCCACTAATCTCTGCTTTGGCACACAAATTAATTAACAAATGAAAATTTAATCACCGAAAAGGAATAACATATATATAGATATATATATGTATGTACGTATGTGTGAATGGACAAAGTGGTCAATTTCTGTTCCACAGATGGCTGGGATGGGGGACCAGCCCGTGGAGTTGAACCCAAACATGCACGCAAATGTACAAGTACAATTTGCCTGATGAAAGGGAAAAGCTCAGTTTAGCGGATCGATATATAATATAACACCCTTGTACTTGCTTTGGTCCCATCACTGGGTTAGAGCATGTGATTGATTTTACAATGTTTCACTACTGGCTATCAAAATGACGCATAATCTCTAATAATAAAAAAATCAACGGTTAAAGGAATAACGCGATTGGAGCAGGAAAGCTATTGTATATCAGTTGCTCATCTGCCGGTCCTCAATTTTGCATCTCACTTTTTTCAAATATTAATTAATGAAAGGAAGACCAGATCTCAAAATAATAATAACAATAATAAGGAGCAGTTTCATATTATCATATAGACAAAAGATGGAGTATATGAACATAAAATAACACAATTTATCTTTCTAAAACAGAAAAAGTGGAAAGTCTCTAAAGTGTTTTACTAATCACTGAAAGAGAGAAAAAGCATTCATAATCATCAAAGGATTATTATATTATAAATAACTGACAACAGTTAAAACACATAGACTCATAGATTATAAAAAAAGAGAAAAAAAATGTTGAATAGTATTTGGCTGTTTCAAAGAGTATTATATCTTGGTTTTTGTTATAAATCAAACAGAGAAAAAAAAAAAGCAAAGAAGAAATTTCAATAATTTATAAAAGTGAAAATACCAGGAGGAATCAAGTGCAAGCCAATAACAGAGCCAGAGTCATCCCTATCTATGCCCAGCATAAGACCATGCTTTTCCTTTTCTTCTTCTTTTCCTTCTTCTTCTTCTTCTTTAACAGCATTGGAATTAGAGCCATCTGTTAAACCGCCGAACCCATCTCCATTTCCAGTTTTGTCCGATCTTACAACCGTCAACTTCCCATTTTGAAAACTCCTTGTCAACAAATGACCAAAACGCAGTTGCCTGCTCGGCCTAAAACTGCAACCTTCTCGAGATATGTTGGTAGCTAATTTGCAAGTTATTACACGAATCAGTGGCAGAGACCCCATCGGAAAACAGGGAGTAGAGCGAGAAAAAGAGAGAGTTTTAACAGAAACAGAGAGGGAATAGTCGAGGAGAGTACGAAAGAAATCCTGAAATAGAAAATACTGAAAGAACAAAGGGCAAAAGAGGACAACAGAGAGACACCTGTAACTCTGGTAATAAAGACAAGAAAAAAGAACAAAATTACACTTCTCCTGTCCTTTTCTTCATTTCTACATAGAAAGAAAGAGAGAGAAGCGCTTCTTTTGCTTGGGTTTTAAGAGCGAGAGATCCGGTAAAAGCCGAAAATTTGGATGCCCTATGGAGCTCCACACGGCTGAAGCTTTTGCTAAAGTGACGAAGTTTTGCCAAATCATCCATCGAATGGACATTCCTGACATGGCAATTATAGATGTGACAGCTCGAAAGGGCAATGATAAGAAGCAAACAGAAGTAAGATTGAAAATTAAGGTTGAACGACATCGTTTTGTTTTCATTTGTCTTTCCCGAGAAGATCCATGCTCCGTCACGTGAACTCTGCCATTTAAAAACCGGTCGATTTCATATTTCAACCACAACTTCACGGTCAAGCCGGATTCTTAAGGTAATTTTCTTCCCTATTTTAAATGATATAATAACTCTTTATTAGGTTTTTATTTTTTGAAGAGAACTATTGATTACTGGGGAAAAAAAAAAGATAATTATTGATTACATAATGTGATTTGAAGAGATAATTTTTTTATTAGATAAAATTTCAAATTATTTTAAGTAAAAACCGAAAAATTGGCTCTTTGAAAATATAAAAATGCTCCTTAATCCCTTTTGGGCTAATAGCATCTTATTTTATATATTTTTTTATTCAAAAAACAGAAAAAAAATAATACTTAATATAAAAGATTATTTTAATTAATTCATGTAACAATTTAAAATGATCACTAACATGAATGAAAGAGCAATAAATAGCAACATATATATTAACATATAACAGAAGTTCACATCATATTTATAGTGACAGTTCTCTACACAATCAACCAATATCGTTTCACCAGCCGTGACTGCCAATAGGCAACCTCCAATCCTCTTCACCACCACCGGCATCAGGACTACAGCCTCCGAGACGTCTAGACGTTACACTGGCACCATTATTCTTTGGGCCAGGGCTTCTTGGTGCCTGGTAGATTGTTGTTCCCCCACCTGAACTTGAGGAATCACAACCTGAGACTTTCTTTGTTGATGGGTTCCATTGGGGTACATATGGTCCACGTTGCTGCTTGACTTGGCCTTGACTTCGCACCTTGGCCTTGGCAGATTGGGTTGGGGCCATATAGCTGGGGACATTATTGGACCCTAATTGCGGTTGCTGCTGCTTTAAGTATGGGCCTGAATCCAATGGTGTCATAACGTCCATTTCAACAGTCCTCTCAGAAATGCAATCAATAGTGGTGGTGGGTAGTGTCGAGTAAGAACCCTCTTGAAGGCCTAATTGATGGGCATGGTATGGTTGCGATGACATCCAATGCTCGAGCCAATTCCAACCCCATTGCTCCTTCTCATGCTCGTTAAGGTAGATTCCAACATCCTTGCCATTGGGGTGTGGTTGCATGAGGAGTTGATGCTGCCGCAGCTGTTGCTGTTGCTGTTGCTGCTGCTGCAAGAAGTGAATTATGAAAATGTAATCACCAAACCGGGGAAAACACATTAATTTCTGATTTTTCACTGAACAAAGTAATTTTCAAATGCTTATGAATATAATGAAACATTAACCAACCTGATAGCTATATGCATAAGCAAGGGCTCTTTCTCTTCTCATCGCAGCATCATGTTTCTTTGAAGCACTTTCCTTGACTTTCTCCGAGCTTTGATGCCCAACATCCCAACCGTCATATTTCTTCAACAAGCTCTCCGGCTTTCGTTCTAGTTCTTCCATTCCTCTATTTTCTTCCTCCACTTCATCCACTCTCTTCTGAAGCTTCTCATGCGTTGCCTGCAGCCTACGAGATCGAACTCTTGCCTGCACCCGAACTAATGCTTGCATGCACCGCATTGTCATTTGTGCTTGCTTGCGCACATTATAGCCTCTCACTAGTGCCTGCAACCTCACCAGCCCCTTCAAAGCACGCAAAGCTCTCCGAGCCTACAAAATCAAACTCAAAATTGAAATAAAGCCATCAGTAACATTTAGACAACCTAAGATACGAATGTCCCCTTTCCTCTCTGGAACTTAACTGCAGTACCAAATTTTCTTGTTTGCGCACATTATACTTGTTTTCACTATTTATATTGGTCAGTGATTTTACTTAATTGGATTACCTTAAAGGAATTATTTTGTTGTGCCTTACAAACTTATTCTTTCAACTATCCCAGGAGAGAAAAAGTTTATAGAGATGGTGACAGATTGAGAGGGGTTTTTTACCAGGTAGCCTCTGTAATAGGATTGAATGAGGGTTGCAGCTCTTTCTTCCTTAGAGTGGCGTCCATAACCAGCCAATCGAACAACTTTAGCAGCAGCTTGAGCTGCTGCAACAGCAGCTTCTGCAGCAGCAGCAGTAGCCATGGCCACAGCGATGGCATGGTCCCTATCTTCATTCAGAGGAGTTGACATTGCAGTCTCAATATTTGTGATGTCCGGTGAACTCTCCGAGGGGAAATGTTCAAATGACACTACTTCCGGGGCCTCATTAGGCCATTTCTCCGCATTATCTTTCTGAAAATCACACCATAATAATTGCTCAGTGCAAACATTTCATCAACATTTGCTCGTACAATGTTAACCAATGAACATTAAAATAAAATTTTCTCAGTTAAGTCAATGAATTTTTGTTTCTTACTAGCTAGTAGAAGAGAAAATTTGTGTTTCTTATTATTGGTATGGCATGATTGAGATCTAACATTTCAAGCACATGATGATCAAATTGAATGATGTGATAGCTTAGGCGGCATGATAATAATGTCTCAACGTAGTCATGTTGATAGGGGACCAGTGCCCCTAGCTTTGTGTTCATGGTCCTTATTAGAACAATGAAAAGGAAGGTCATCTTGTTCCACGAAGTACAATAATATAGGACCTGTTCTACTATACTACGCCTCCCTGTTATCAACAAGCCCATATGAAATATTATTTCATCTTTGAACAAAAAAAAAAAAAACAAACAAACAAAAGCAATCCTCCTCTACCATTTTCTTTCTGGATAATTTCCTTTCACCATATTAATATAGTCAAATCAAAAATTAAATATTGACAGCAGCAATGAAGACAGGTTGTTAAATATTTTTAAAGTGAAATTAATTTATTTTAATATGGAATTAATTGAGATTTTTATTTTGTCATTTTCATTTCATATATCAAAACTAAATCAGACTTTGTTATTGCTGGTATTACAGATATGATTATAAGAATCTGTGGATAGCTACTTTCTACAAATTTATATTAGCTGCTTCCTAGTATTGTAACCACAAATGAGTAAGATCAAACATAACAAAGTCCTTGCAATCTTGGGCAAAATAACTAACCAAGAGCAGACAAGAAAAGATAAGAAACCAAAGAAACACGAGCAGAAACCAGAATGTTTTGGATGTAGATGTTTGGTTTTTTTTAAAGGGCTGCCTTAGAATGAAATTCTTGGTAGGAAAAAAAAAACTTTAAAGGTGCCGACATATATGTCTTAGAAAAATGTCTATCAAATCAGTCAGGAAAATTCGAAAAACCAATTGAAATCAGTTACCTTTTTCTCAGGCAAGTCCTTAGAAGATGATTTGAACACTTTCTTCACCGTTGAGAACCACCCACTCCCTTTCTTTCCCATCTCCGGTCAAAACAGGAGCTTCAATAATTGTAAAACACAGACATGAATATCAGATTTAACATAGACCAGCTTTTTAACTAATCCACAATGCATTCATGAAAATTTGTAAATAAAAGAAGCACGAGAAACATGAGAAAACAGAAAATAACGAAACTAGAAAACGAATCCACAGTAACATGATGTCATGTCCCCTTCCCAGTTAAACCAATTAAGACAAGGTTGAAAACCCATGTCAAATGATGAAAACAGAGAATGCATAGCAGAGAAACCATTGAAATTGGAAAACAAATAGTAAATAGATTCGAGAATGAAAAGTGAGGAGTACCCAGAAACCGAAAAACGACAAGAAATGAAGATATAGCTTAGAAAGAAAAGATCATACCTGAGACAAGAACAGAAAGCTGATAAGTTTTCAGTTGGCTTGATCCCTTGTCATGTTTTGTCTATATCATTTTCCATGTATTTTAGAAGGAAATTACGTCACTCTTTTCTTTCTTTCTTTCTTTTTTTTTTTCTTTGAGTTGATAAAGCTGGAGGAAAAGATAAAAAGAAACTGAAATTTGATGAAAAAAAAAAAAGTGAAATGGGGAGAGAAGGCCGCAGAGAGTATTTTTGAGAGAGAAAGAGAAGGAGTAACTGTCAGAGACCCGCGCGATCGGCCGATTGGAATTATCAAACTCACGGGGCGTCTACCCGATATTACAGTTGGTTTGGGCCAATGGACTTCTACCACGTCATCCCAACCTTTCCCACGTAATTACAGGCCTACCTAGCCATACTTTCATTTTATCATTTTTTTTCCTTTCAATTGTGAATTTATATATTATGAAATTGTATTTAATGCATTTTGATGTAGTTTTTAAATTTCACCGATAAAATTAAAGTGTCTGTTACATATTTTATTAAAAAATATTTTTTAAAATTAATATAATAAAAAATACATATAATAATTTTTTACTCTGTTTGGGATTGTAGAATTTAAAAATAATATAATATAAAAATAATATTTTTATATGTTTTCATATCAACTTCTTTTTTTTTTTTTTTTTAAATCTTGCAAAAATTGTGAGCCTGAAGTCAAGATCACATGATTTACATGTTGGATTGATCCCCTAACCAATGGCCTTTTGTCTTTTTTTCTTTGGCTCTGAGTCTTAACTGATAAATTTAAGATCATATTTGATTTATAAAATAATGAAATCAAGATTACATGAAATACATCAATGGCCTTAATCAATAGCTTTTTGCCTTTCTTTCTTTTTTTTTTTTTAGGCTGCGAATCTTAAATGATTAATTTAAGATTATATTTGATTTACAAGATGATGATAAAATAAGAGGATAATTATTATATATTATATTTAATTTATATATAAATAAAGAGATAGGATTATAAAAAAATTAATCATTCTTTTAATATAAGATGATTCAATATTTTTAAAATAGAAAAAATTATTTTTAATACATGAGATTAAATTTGTATATCTTAATATATTTTTAAAAATAAATTAGTAATTTAAATTGTTTAAATTTTAAAAAATTATAAAATAAATAAATAAATTATCATATCTTAATTTTTATATATATCAAATATAAGATAAGATAAAATTATTTAATTTAATCATATTCATAATATTATTTTATCTTATCTGATTAGAATTTATGTATTTCATTCTCTTTTTTGGATGAATTTCTCTTTCTTTTCCAAATAATTTTTTTTAATATTAAAATCTTTTGTCCAATTATATATGATTTTGTTCTTATTAATTAAGCTTCGTACTCAAATATGCTTCCAATCTTTTATACAAGAATAGGTTTTTATTTTTAATATTTTATTACATGCAAATAAATTTATAATATTTTATTTTACTATAAATAAAATTAAAAACTTTCAAATTTACAAGAAAATCAATTAAAAGTAATTCTCCTTTTGTTCTATTTTATTTTTCAATTTTTTTGGAATATTTCAAAATTATGTCATATTTTTTTTAAACATCTAAAAGTCTAATTTTTTTATATTTTAAAGTTACTTTTTATAATTATTTTTTTTTACTTTTTGGCATTAAAAATTATGAAATTTTAATTTTATAAAAAAAGTTTAAATTTTAATATTAAATATATTAAAATCAATATTTTTTTAAACTCTGTGAAAATCAATATATAACAAATATTTTGAGATAAAAACATTAATATTTTATATATACATATCTTAAATTTGTATAATAAGATATTATATAATAAAAAATCTTATATTATATAATTATATTATATATATAAACAATTGTTAATCTCATCTAATTCAATTAAATTTTTTATGCAATTTTAAAAATTTATAAATTTATTTGTAATAAAATAAAATGTTCTAAACTTATTTACATACAATTAAAAATTGAAATTCATTTTATAAAAAAAATTGAGACTATATTTAAACCATAATCTTATGCGGCTTTAACCGTCGCCCGACTATCAATGATTTCATTTCACCTTGCGGGAGGGGCTCGGGGACAAATGAATATTGGTTTCACCTATATGAATCATGAAACAGAAGTGGCGCTTTAATGTGATCACAATATAAATACTAAATGGGTAAAGTTTTGAGTTGGATCATACCAAAAAAATAAATTACTAATAACAAATCAACTTCTTTTAGTTTCGAGTGATAATAAATTTAATTTTTTTAAATAATATTTTAATTTTAAATTTTATAAATAAAAAAAATTTTATCTTCATATGAAATTCGATTAAACTCCACTCTAAATTAATCAAGATTTAAAATAATTTTTAGATATTGAAAGATTTAAAAAAAAATTACTAAAATAAAGTACATTCGTACCATGTTTTAAATTTTTAAGGCGTTTTACGTGTGTATTATTGATATTAATTTCTTCTTCACAATAAATGCATGCAAATGTAAACAAATCCAAAAAAAAAAAAATTTTATAGTACAGATGTTATGTCCGTATTTGCCACTCTTTTCTACCAAATTATTGCAAAAAATATTTTATTTTCTTCCTTTGTAGTTGGTTTTTAATTTTTTTTTATTTGTTGATGCGTTGATCTCTCGAGATAGCAATGGATCATTTATGTTTTTTCTTCTTATACGCAATTTGCATTTCAAAATGGCAAAATAATATGGTGAAATGTGTAAAAAAATAAAAAAAAGGTAAAATTTATCCTTTCTTTGGTTTTTAATGCTTTGGGGTGTCGGTAAATGCAAAAATAGAAAGACTGGTAAAGGTCGATGTCTAGCTCTAAGAAACCTAAAACAAAGGGCAATGTGGATCCACCACATAAAATAATTTTATTGCTTGGTGAGCTGTGAGTTCTTGTGGTCACTTATCAACTTCATTTATGAGCTGTGACTGAGCTCTTGCCATTATAAGGAGGAGTCCGGTTTTAGTTTGGGTACCCTCTCGATAAATGAAAAGGGAGTTGGGTGACAAGCTCCTTTCAAATTTATGTTATCCCCGCACATTTATTTATTAATTATTTATATATAATTTAAAATTATAACAATAAATATATATTTAATAAAATAAAATTTTATTTTTTATATTTTTGTATCGACACGATTTATATTACTTAATTTTTATATAAAATATGATATAAATATATAAATTTTAATATTTTATATGATAAAAATATATGAATTATCAAATTTATCTCACATAAATTTTTGAGAAGACAAAAAAAATATATAACTTACATAATTTAAATTCTAATTAATTTAATTTTTATAGGTACGATTAAAAAATATATTCAATAAGCTTAAATTAAAATCATAATAGTTGTAATTTATTTTTTATTTCAAACTATAATTTTTTTTTGTATAAAAAAAATAAACCATCGACTCTTTACACATACAGCAACGAGGATTGATGTATATGTTTTTCTGTTTACATAAATGGCTTCGAATCTTTGAGCTTCCAATTAATATAAAATAAAAGAAAGCAACAATGGGATGATTGCCTGATTGGCTTAACCTTTTTTCACACCTTTATATATATGGAAGAATAGCTCTAAGCTTAGATTTGAGATGAAACAGATACTTCAGCAGTTGATGAAATTAATGTCTGTCCATACATGTGTGGATTTGAAAGCAACAAGTTTATGAAACCTTAAGATTGGGTTTGGGGGAGAAGCCAAGAGTAATCAAAATCAAGAAATGCAGTCAATCACTTCAGATAAGAAATCCCAACCGCTAACCTCAATCATGAGAAAAAAACATTTCTTCATATCTCATTAACGTTTGGTGCAACAAATTGTACCTTATTTTAAAATTTTAGAAATTATTAAAAATGTTAAAAAAAAGTATTGTATTTAATTATATAATTAATAGTGAAATTAAGTTTTGATGAGGCCAGGCCCAAGAGCAAATTGCTCTTGCTGGATCTTCCAAAGTGGCCTCTGCGAGTTTCTTTTAAGTCTGTTATGTTCAAACAATTGAAGCTCCAACGCTTAAAGCGAATGCTGATCCTCTGAAATGGCCCAAAAACAGTCGAATTTATTTCACTCATTGTACAGGAAAAAAAAACAAGGGTTCTTAGCCAGCCATTGAAGCTTTAGTGGATGCTATGGTGGGATAAATTTTGATGAAAAACATGAATGTTATATAATTTTGCAACTCAAGCTATGGTTGGGCTTGAGGACTCAGTGCTGTAGCACGTTGATAGCTAATGCATATTGTTTCATTTGTAACATCTATGTTTCGCTTGTAATTATGCTCGGTGGTAGAGTGATAATAAATCAAATTAGATTCAATTCGATTTCTTTTTTATAATATATATATATATATATGATTATAAAATTTAAAATTTTGACTTTAATTCAAATTAAATTTTTATATGATTTGATATCTAAATTGAATTTTATTGATTCAATTCAGTTCAATGCATCAATTTTTTTTATTTTTTATATATTATTTGAATATAATTTTTAATATATTTAAATAAATTTATGTATAAAATAATTATTTTTATTTTATAAAAATTTAAAAAATATATATAAAAGCTAATAAAAATATATAATTGGATTAGTTTCAATTTTCTTTTGGTTTTTCACTTATCGATCAAAATTTCAATCCGAATTTAATATATACATTTAATTTCAAACTTAATCCGAACAGAACTGAACACTATGGTTTCAATTTGATTTATAATTTTTTTAATTTTTTTACCTTTATTCAGTGACAGATCTTAATATTTGATTTTAAGGAGTCAATTAATATTATACTAAATTTTAATTTTTCATTAATTTATCTTATTATATTATTAATATAAATATACATACAAGACATGTACTAAAAAACCTACAAAATTATAATTTTATCAATTCATAAACAAATCCACAAAGAAACATAATACATCAAATAAATAATTTTACTTAAAATTGTGAACGACTTTTTTTTTTAAATATAAACAAACCAATTGTTAAATACATATTTTTCTTCAAAATCAATAAAAATAAAATACACCATTAAAAGAATAAAGTTAAGACTTTGGTATTAGAAGTTATAGTGTTTTTTAAACTTTTATAAAATGGTTTTAATTTAATTTTTGTATCGAAAATTTTTTATGTTAATTGGAGAAAAAGATTAAAGATAGAAGCAAAGTGAAGATTACATGGAAATAAGTTGCCGTTGATTCAAAAAAAAAAAAAATGTTTGACATTTGATTGTAGATTAGCTAACATTTCAAAAAAAAAAAAAGTATTATGAATAAGCTAAAATTTTAATTTAAATTTTATTAAATTGACATGATTGTGATTTAATTCTTATAACAAATTTTTTTATTTTTAAAATTTTAACTTGTAAATAATAATTAATTGGTATGATAAAAAAATAATAATGTGATTTTAATCCTTTTTAACCTACTAGACATAGAAGTAAGTTAAAACTAAGCATAAAAGCAAGTTAAAAGCTAAGTAAAAATAAATAATAGTATGTTTTGTTTTAAATGGTGAATTTAATTTATTTAGTATATGTTTGAGGGTTTAAAATTTTGGATATCCCCTCTGATTTGTATTACATTTCCTTCTTTTTAACTATTTTTTTTAAATTTTCATTTATTAAGTATATCTAACTATAATTTGTGGATATTATAGCTTGTATATTATGACTTGCTTATGGTTAGTTTAATTGGACTAGATATATGAATAGTAGGTTGCCTTGAATTGTATGTTGCTTTTGCATAAATTAAGTTTCGTTGGATTTGATGTTTAAGCACATGTTTAAGGTTGTTTAAGATTTCCATTTCATTTTATTTTAAAACTAACATTTTAGTATTACGAGGGAAAAAGAGATTGGTACAATTGGATCGATCGCTTAGGCTATGTTTGATATAATTAAAAAATAAAATGATGAAAAGAGATAAATGAAAAAGTACAAGGAAAATGAATTTTAAGTGTGCTTGGTTAGAAAAAAATGAGAGGAAAAAATAAGAAAAATTATTATTTTTCACATTCATCAACAAAAACAAAGCATTCTAAATTAAAAAGAAAATATGAGAAAAATGAGAGAGGTGTGAACAGCATGTATTACTTGTTTATAAAATTGTCTATTATATTTAGATTTTTTTACATCTTAAATTTATAATAAATTATAATAATAAAATCTTGTAATTTTTACTTAAAAAAAAAAAAAAATTTTACCATTACTATGGAAAGAAAATTACATTTTTTTCAATTTTTTTATATTTTCAATCAAGCACACCAATAAAAAATAAATAAATAAAATTTCCATCTTTTCGTTTTTCTCCTCTTTCAATTTTTTTTTTTTTTTTTACCCTATCAAGGTAAGTCTTAAAGCATAAATATTCTAAAATAAGCTTGACGATTCATGTATTTGTATCATATAAAATTTTAAAATTTATTTATTCGTATTATATTTAACATAAAAAATATGTATAATAATTTATATTAATATAAATTTAAATTATATAATTTTCGTATTATTTTTTATATTGTATTCATGTTGTTTAACGTGTTTTTTTTTTAATTATTAAATCTATTATCGAATTACATGTAAAAAATATTAATATTTAAAATGGGATTGATTCTTTAGAGCATAAAAGCTCATAAGTATCATTTTGCTTAAGAAATGATTGATCTTTTATCAAATTCTTTGAGTTTTAGATGGCAATTTAGTAAAAAAAAAATTATTAAATAATCTAACATTTATCTCAATCAAACCTATGAATATTACATTTCAAGCCTATGATCCAACTATAAAAATTTAAAATTTTTTGGAATGTATTAAATAATTTTATTAGAAGAAAATTACATTAATGAAAATAATCTTACTTTTTTTGAACTAACGTTCCGTTAAAATATGTTTATTTGATCTTTAATCCGATTGTATTTTTTAGGCAATATTTTTTTTTATTTTTTCGGCAAAATTTTCTCTTTAAATTTGATTTTGTATCTAAAATCAATTCATAAGTAAATGTGTCACATTATTAATGAATTAATTTCCGTTATTATTATAATATTATCATTTTCCAAACCAAATACCTCTGCGAAAAATTTGGGAGTTAACGGTTCATCATTAGATTTATTCACATTTCAGGGTTTTATTAAAAATTAAAGTATTTACAACCCAAAAAAACTGAAAATTAAATGATTATAAAAATATGTTAAATATTTGCCAGAAAAAAAAAAAATCTCTGGGGGCGAAGGAGATATTAAAGATTTCGGGGTAACCGATTCCGAATTAAAATTTCTGTCCTGTCTGCTCTCTGTATTTGAGTATTTCCTAAAGCAAGAAGAGGCGAGTCAAAGCTAAGCTCAGCAATGTTTCCGTCCAACCACCAGGTGGGTTCACTCGCTCACTCTCGATTCTTCTCAATTACTCAACAATCCGTTTGGTCGATCAGAAAATGTCCTTAAAAGGGGAAGAAGAAAGAAAATTGAAAATTTCATTTCGTATTGGAATTTCATGAACATGTTCTTGCATTTAATACTTTAAAACGAAAAGTTCTTTGATTAGTTCTTTTCTTTTTCTGATATTTGGTATTGGATCAAACGGGCGTTTGGTGGTCAAAATGCATGCGTGTGTTTCCCTTGTTTATGTTTTGTTTACTGCTTCAATTTCAGAGGCAAAACACTTCAAAATGGAAAAAAGAAAAAAAAAAGATAGAAGCTGTTTTTTTTTCAAAGGACAATTTGGAAAAGATTTCTTACATTTCCTGATAGCTGATTTTTTCTTATTGGGAAGATTTTCTGATTTCTGATTTCATGAATCGGTTTAATAGTATTTATTGTTGGAATTTTAAGTTGGAGTGCTCTTTTGCTTTCAATTGGACGCTGTTTAAATACTCATAATAAATTTATTTTTTTGTTGTTTATTCACTGATAAATTTTTGGGATACAAGACAACTCTTAATCTGCAAGTGCATTGAAGTGATGCGCATGCTGAAGTTATAGATTTTTGAGTTTAGGCTTTTTTTTTTCCCCTCATATGTTAAAGCCTAAGTTGTTTTTGAGTTTATCTTGTTTATGCCGTCAAAATGATATCTTCGGATGCAAGCTAATTACTCTCACTCTTTGCAGTTTTCAAGTCAACCGAGGGCATTGGCTGTTGTTGATTCCACAATTCAAATGCAAGTGGATCTGAATGAAGCCTCCTTTGTTGAGCGGGATGAAATGCAAAATATAGGCTTTTCACAAGCCAAATCCATCATCGAGAGTTCTGAGGTTGTTTTTTGCAGTGTTTCAGTAGAGACTAAAAGAACAGTAACCTATTCTCATATATTCATATGGTTCTTTTTGATATTAGTAGTCATAAATAGATGCGAAGATTCCTTGTTATTTTTCTTTGTGTTTGTGCCTTTTTTTTAAGGTAAATTTTAATATAACATAATCTATGCAGAAACTTAAAGATGATCTTCAAATGTTGGGGATGAAAATCAAGCAGCATGAGGATAGCATGAGACTTCTAGAGGCTCAGAAGAACAAACTTGATGACTCTATACTTGATATGCAAGGTACACTTATCTTATTCTGAACGCATGTATGACATAAACTCCATTTTGCAATTCGGGAAAGGAATTAAAGATGCCAAAATATTTTGGCAGGCTGCTATCAATGACAATCAGAATGAGTTAATGTACAGTTTGTATAAGACGAGATTAACTCACTTTTTGTTTGGTATTGTGTATCAGGGGTTTCTATCCAACTACATCATGACATTCTATATCGCTTGGATTTAATTGCCTAGATCTGGCTTTTTGTACACTCCACACGTAACTGCATGTTATTAATAATGCTCTAATTTGGATGTTAGCCATAAAGTTTTAAGGATGTTATTTACTCGGAAAGGTAGCCAGCTAGCATTAGTTTTGAATGTGGTGATTTTGAGTTTTATTGTCCTGTGTTACGCGGACTTGGCATTCTAGTGCCCATATCTGTGTTGACATGACATGACATGAAATGGATTTGTGTGCAGAATACGCGTCTGATATGGCAACGGTTATTCAGACTTGGCTTTTCATGTAAGCATCAAACCCAATCCACAAATATACCAAAAAAAAAAAAGATAACCAGATGGCATCATGAAGAAAGCCTGAGAGGAAGTATAAGAGGAAGCATTTTCAGAAGATAGGGAGAAAAGGAGGGGATAAAAGAAAGATAATTAGGAAATGAAATTATTATGGAGAAGAGAAGGAAGATTAGGAGGCAAGAAGAAGATTCTAGATTAACATATGACAGATTAGTGCATGTTGTTGGCTTTTGACTTTTGATTAGTTTTTGGTTTCTGTTAAAAAGGAAAACACAATTGAAGCCGATATAGTGTTCTTATTTTATCCTCATAAGCCCATTAAAAAAATGAAAGAATAGAAGAATATGAGCTTAAGGTTGGTTTGGGAAGATTGGCCCTATTTTTTTTTACTGTCTCATACTATGCCTTTATAAGCACAAAGTTTTATCTGAGTCAAATGGATTTTTCAATGTCCATATATTATTTTTGGACACTTTTTAGCTAAATCCATGGGTCAAATATTTAACAAAAGATCTGACACATGGACAGATTCCCGTATCAGATACTCATACTTGAGTACATGTAACATAGATATTGACTCTTGATAACCGTACGTTGTTGCATATTTATTTTCCATATCTCTGACTACCAATTAATCTTTTCTCAGTTATGCTTGGCAAGCATCACTCTTCTAGTGCGCCTAAGATTGAAAACAAGGACCATTCCCACCTTCAAAGTGAGGAGGAAACAATTGAACAGATTCTTAGGCATGAAAAGTCGGCTGCAGGAATTTTGTGTCAGCTGAAAACTCGTCATGGCACTCAGGCTTCTCATCTGACTTTGACAAAGGATGTGTTGGGTCTTGTGGCTACACTTGGCAAAGTGGATGATGAAAATCTTAGTAGGTCTGTTTGAATTTTATTTATTATTATTTTTTATCTTTCTGCATCATGCCTAGCAACATTTAATTTATTATTCATCTATAGTTTGGAATTTTTTGGATGTTTTTGTATGAGAAAGTTATACCTTTTTCCTTCTCCTGCTCTGGATAGCTCAAGCATAGGGGTCAATTTAGAAAAAGGGGGCGTGGTGGAGGAGGGGGCTTTGAATTGAAGTTTATGTACCAGTTGGGTTAGTGTTGTTATCTTGTCGCTTTGATTGGTGATAGGTGAGTGCATATGCTGCTTTGTAACGTAGGGAATTTCTAGTGAATAGCCCAACCTATTTGTTAAATAAATTACCAATTGGACATCTTGATTGAGGGATTTGTGGCAACTGTTAATACTTATATGTAGTTCATGTGTGGCTTTATAATTCCTTAATTAATTGTAGGCTTTTCTCGGAGTACCTAGGAGTGCAGACTATGTTGGCAATTGTTTGTAAAACTCATGAAGGTATTAAAGCTTTGGAAACATACAACCAGGATGGCTGCTTAGACAAAACTTCTGGTCTGCACGGGCTTGGTGCTTCTATTGGGAGGCCTTTAGATGGCCGATTTCTTGTAATTTGTCTAGAAAGTTTAAGGTATCAGTCTCTTAAATTGTTTCCGATTACAATCTGGTTTGTTGAAGACATCTAAAAAATCATTTTCTTTTCCTTTGTCCACTTCTCCCTGCAGACCTTATGCTGGTGATTTTGTAGCTGATGACCCCCAGAGGAGGCTTGATCTTTTAAAGCCAAGATTACCAAATGGGGAGTGTCCTCCTGGCTTTCTTGGCTTTGCAGTGAACATGATTCATGTGGATAGCTCAAACTTATTTTATGTCACTGCCAGTGGGGATGGCCTCAGAGAGACTTTATTTTACAATCTGTTCTCACGTCTTCAAGTGTACAGAACAAGGGCAGAGATGGTTCTTGCTCTCCCTTGTATAAGTGAAGGAGCAGTGTCTCTGGATGGTGGGATGATCAGAAGCCCTGGTGTATTTTCCCTAGGCAGTCGGTAAGAAGCTCTCTTTGGCAAGTGCCAGATTTCATTTTCAAAAGAAAGAAAAATATACAGGACACTTCTTTTATGCTTTTCTGTTTCAAACTTCATCAATTTGGGAATAAATTCTCAGTTTGCTTGTGATGCATATGTCTTTGGATGTAAGAAGATTGTTAAAATTCATAATGCATTAATAATACTATTCTATTTATAGTAGTAGTGACATGAAATTACGTATTCTTAAACAGAGTACATATTTTCCATTTTTGTCAAGTATGTTCTCAAACAAAGTTGAGCCTTAGAAAAATTGTGAACCATTTTACTTGCAGCACATAATGGTATTATACTTGTTTAGAAAAATAATCTTGTTAATATTATTAACCAACTAAAATTTTATGTTTTTGCTTTTGTAGATTAACTTTTTATTGATTGATAACAATCAGGATTCGATTGCTATTGCATCTTTGTTCTGACTCTGTCTGATATTAGGGAAGAGGTAGATGTGAGGTTCCCAAAATCCTCTGCAACATCAGATGTGCCGCAAAACTACATTGAAACTGAGAAGCAGATGAAAGAAATGAGATGGGAAAAAGAAAAGTTGGAAGAGGATACGAAGAGGGAACTTGCATTGCTGAATAATGCAAAGTTCAATTTTGAAAGAAAGAAGCAAGACTTTGTCAAGTTTCTTGCTCAAAGCTCGTCATATGCAACTCAGGTAATCTGAATCATTAGTTGAGCTGATATGAGAATTCATTTATTTTCTTTTTTCGGAAATTGCCGTGTCTCTTATACATAGCATCACTTTTATGGCAGCATCAGTTTCAGGCAGCAAGAGATAGGTTGACTCCAAGATGACCATAACAAACTTAGTCTAGCTAGCAGATTGAACAGTGTGCAGAAGCATTCGAACAATAAATTTCAGCTTCTGCCACCCTGATAATTTTTTTTGGCCTTGGAAATGGACATAAAAATAACTGGAGGAAAGGCAAAAGAATGTGTTTTTTTTAAAAGACTTTTTATTTTCCTGATAAGCATATACTTTCTCATGTCAAAACTAGAACTTGTCTCTCAAATGTAGACACAGGCACCTTCGACCATGATAAACCATAAATTGACAGATCACAGAAGGCATCCTTTGGTCCTCGTTCAAGGCAGGATCTGTACGGTGTAAAACTGCTTAAGAGGATTTTAAATGCTGTAACTTTCTGGTCATCATCTGTACTCTTTACTCTTTCGTCTTTTTAAAATGCTGTACCATTTTCTGGTTCTCGTGCCTCTGCCATCAAAAGGGTAGGATTTTTGGAGTAAATTCATTTATTTTTGGCATGTTTGCATCTGTTTTATTATTTTCAACCATAATTTGTACACATTGGTTGGAGACAGATTATTCTCATTCACCCGAACTCAAGGCCCAAACTGGAAAGGCCAGTTTCATATTTTTCTTTTTTCTGATTCCATTGGGCTAATTTCAGGTTTTCAAATAATCTGAAGAAAGACAACAAAAGAAGTCTTCTCTACTCTTCCTTCCCCTATGGTAAAAAGTAGAAAGTACTTGGAAGAAACATCCTTTTTCAGTTTAAAATGAAAAATGTAAGAAGTAATTAGGTTTTGGGCCTTTTGGCCCATTCTGCTCTGAACGGCCTATGTAGCCGAAGCCGCTGGCATGCTGTTCGGTGTTTACCATGCTTACTCTAAAAATGGGTTGGGCCCAAAATTCCCAAATCCCAATACCCAATTTTAATCGAATGTTCTGATCCTTTCTTTTTTGCTTTCAGCAGCAACAAGCCTAATTTCCTCAGTCCACCTCGAGCACTTACCTTCGCTTCGGTTGGAAAAACACCTCCTTTTCTTCATTCATCGGATCCTTCTCCTGTGTCTTAATCTCAAATTTCAAAATTGGCTAAGTACAAACATGAGTTATCAAAGGGAGCGTGGTCTATTGGGAACTGGGAGACTGGAAGCCTCTGGGCATCAGCGCTCGGCGTGGAGCCTGGCTCCCAAACAAGTGCTTTTAGCAGGGCAAGATTGGGCGTAACGTAAGGTCTGGAGAGGAAAGAGATGAGAACTAAGATGGAAGGTCACAATTGTGACAGAATAGCTGCTGAGAAAAGGGAGAACACTGCGAATTTGATGCAGAAAATGCCTGAGATGTTGCTTGCTTATAAGAAACGTGGATGGGAGAAGGAAACGAAGGAAGAGGAGAAATGTAAAGAAAAATAAATTTGAAAAATGATTACATATATTTATCTTTTTTATTTCTTTACGGTGAAAGTTTGGAATTTGCAAATGCTAAATCTTGTACTTATGAAATCAGTGTTGGGTTTTTGTTTAGATTGTGTATTGGCTGAGTTTTGATACAGATCTTTTAATGGGAGGATTTGAAGACTTTAAAGCTGAAATTTTGTTTGTTTGTTTTTTTTTTTTTTTTTTTGGTTACGAGCAACTTCGTTTCGAGTTCTTTCTTTAACCTGTTTCTCAGAGTATTGTTCATTTCTGAATTTGTATAGTTTCATTTCTGTTTCTTTTCCTGGGAGAATGCAGGCAACTAGTTCAAAGCACTAAGTAGAAGCTATGTCCAATCATAACCCAATTCATTGAATTCTCTACATTTAATCACAGAATTCTATTTTGGAACAAAATTCTGATCCCAATTACAAAAGCAGGAAGCTTGGGGAAAAAATTTGGAGCTTTCATCCAAGTTGATGCTTGAGTGGACACAGAACTCAAAGATCTCACAATTCTGCCACTAGAAAAAAATAACATTCATAGGTTCCACCGAGATTTGAACTCGGGTTACTGGATTCAGAGTCCAATGTCCTAACCGCTAGACCATGGAACCATTTGTTTAACAATATCATATCTTTTACTAGTTAATGTTTAAGTCAAATCTATGGCGTCACCTGATGTTGCAGCTAATTACTTACCAGCAGCAGCAGGCGCTTACAAACCTAGAAATTGTCAACAACAAGTACTATTGTCCTCAGTGTTGGGACCCCCTACTGTCTTTCGCGGAACATAACATAATAGTAACTCGGTTCCCTTTGGCTAAATCCATTTTAACAGAGTACAGCAATCAACATTCAATAAGCCCATTCTTCTTTTTTCATTTTGCTTCAAGTTTGACTGAACTGATCACTCATCGTGTCTCGCTCTCGGGCATAAAATTAACTCTAGTACATCTATGACTTGTGTATAGTATTTGCTTCTGCTTGATGACACATGGAATCTCTTTCCTTTGATTGTCTTGTTCCTACTGCCTTCATTTTAGTTAACTTTGTAGGTTGTACAGTAGCCTTCTATCTTTACATTGAAAGCGTCGAGTTTCTATTGCAACTTTTCTTTTTTAAAAGCTCTTCCTTGGAATGATCAAATGTATAATAATCAACGTCAACATCAAAGTTGTGCCCGAACAGGGACCCCAAACTGGAGGTGCAGTGAGAGAGCTTTGACTGGCAAGTCTTTACGCCATAAACACTATCTCTATTCCTTGCAAAGAGGTGGTAAAAAGGTAGATAGTGGGCAGATGAGTGAAAGTGGCAATAAGGGTGGAACTCAAGTGTGTACTCAAAGAAAGAAGCGAAAGCGTCAAGTATTAAGTCAAGGCGGTATAAATCCAGTGGTGGAGGAGGAAAGGAAACATCATGGAAATGAACTAGTCAAAGTCGCGACTGGATATGATGGTGATCAAGGAACTCAAAGGTGTTGAGAGTGTCTTGCTGAAGATGGTGGTGTGAATGGAAGTGAAACTTTTAAGTTTTGGGGTGTTGAATCTGGGTTTGGGCTTAGGATCGGTAGGTCTGGTGAAGATGCTCATTGGGTTCAAGGAGGGTTTGGTGGAGAAACTGATGAAAATAATGGTGAAGTTGTTGATTGCAAATGTTGCAAGCCATGGTTTGGTGAAGATGTTGTATTTGGGAGTGTTGGTGGTGGGGAAATTCAGATGGGTGGGTCTGGTGGGGAGGGTTGCAATTAGAAATGGAGGAATAGGTGTTGCTGATGGACTAATGCAGGGCCTATTTAATAGAGGTGGTGAACCAAATGAGGCCAAAAATCTGACTACAAAACTCAAATAAGGTCAAGTTTGCTCTTCCCTCCTATCTCCTGCTAGTAAAAATAGCTTTCTTTTGTTGAATACTATAACATTTAATCCTTTATTTTTGATAAAGACGTTTTGATGTAGGCTTGGCTTGAGATTTCCTCCTTACCAATGCTGATAGTTACCCTTTAAAGATTTTCTCATAGAAAAATGGCCAAATGGGCAAAATGTTTAAATCCTTATAATATACAGTTTGAATAATGCTTTGTAAATGGCTTCTTAAAGGTCTCTTCTGCATTTGTTATTGAAGCTCCAAAGGCCTTTATGGCAAAAGCATATATTCCAATCTATTGAATCATTAATCACATTTGGCAACCTCACATTTTGGTCCAAGCTTACAGATAAAGGAGAATAGGATGCTAGCATCTATATATATTGATATGATTTTTGTGGCTTACCTTATTTATTTATTTTCTGGATAGTAGCCAGAAAGGGTTAAGAGAGTGAAAAGCATTTTTTGTCCATCAAGCTAATTCAACGATGTTCTTGTCTCAATATGACAGTGGCACACTAACCAAAGATAGAATTGCAGACAACAGCAAAGAAAAGGATAAAAAAGATGGAAGACTGTAAAAATACAGGGTAACAATGTTCAAGAAACCTTCTCAATTCTCACACAATCACACCAAATAGCATTTACAGAGAGGAGAATGTTTTTTTACATGTACACCGTTCCAGTAGTTGAGTGCATCCCAACAATGCTGGCTTGTACTTGGGCAAGTTTGACACAAAAACCTGCTGCACAATGCCAGCAGAATCCAAGCCGTTAGAAAAACAGCTTAATTAATTGTAGCAGCATTTGTTAGTAAAACCTGCTCTTAACATATCTGTAGCTACTTTCTTTAGTGGATTGGTGTTTAAGGTGGGCAACATCAGCCACAATTAGGCTTGCTTGTCTCCATTAGATGAACTGCAATAAATAAACACCAATCAGATATTAAAAAGCATACTAATTTCTACATAGAGTTATGCATTGGCATTGCAGGTAACTCACGGAGTCACCCGTCATATAATTCATAAAAAGTAAGTATCCATTAAATGGTTTCTCCTGTTTTATTTCTTTTGTCTAAAATACATGTATGCAAACTTAGACTCCACACCAATGTAAAAATCCTTGCCGTTGGCTGTTATAAGTAGCTCACTTCTGAAACCCATATAGTCTCTCAAGTCTGCTGCATCCGGTTTCGCCAATTTGTCAAAAAATGCTTAGATAAATGAGTAGCACTATGGGCCAAGTTAATGTCTGATACCTTCACTTGCTTCACTGCTTACCTCTATGAACTTCGATGGGAGGCTTGGTACTGCCATCATTTGTATCAGCAGCACGAGTAACGTGTTCAGACAAGTTGACAACGTATTTCCCCCACTGCATTGGCTTAGCAGATGCTTATGACCTCCCCTGTGATGGGAAAAAGACTTAAAACAAATCCCCTTGTCAATACATGCAAAACTGACCAGGATGTTCTTTCCATCAATGCAGCATGGATGCATGTGGCTTAACTACTGATAGCAAACAGATAGTATTCAGATGCTAAATGTTAAAACTCAATCTCCAGAAATATCCTTGTAGGTGTAGTCATAACCACTTGCCGTCGTTTTCACAATTTGAAAGGCAAGAAAAGGATTGAGACTTTGGATAATAAACAATAAAATTCTGATAAAGAACCACAAATGACTCATTTCACTATACAATCTCTGATCAACATTTCAAGAAATGAAGTCTCTATGCAGGAAATCCATCTGCATGCAGTTGATTCAGACAAAGTAGACCATAATACAAGGCAAGACAACATTATGTTTGTATATAACTCAACATCAGGTAATAGTGAATTAGTAGATAGATTGCCATGTTGGATTTCTGCCTTCAATATGATAGTATTATTCATCTATTTAATCCTAATAATGAGTCAGAATTATATTCATTTTCCCCTTGTTCATAAAACCAGTTCTTTGCTTTTATTTTGTGACTGGTTCCCATCAAATTCTGGTAACAACAAGCTTCAAGGAATCTACAAATTTATCTGATAACGAAGTGACGTCTAGTAATTGTGGAAGCTCTAAGGAATTTGCATATTTTCTCTGAAAAGTGAAGTTCCCTCGTACTCCAGTCAAAGCATATTCATTCGACCTAGCAACTTCACATGTAGCAGCTACTTGAAAAACATCTAACAATTATGCTAAAGTTCACAAACACATTCTTTACGAGACTGAAGCTGAGGCTCCCTTTGGATTCATGGGCCCCTGTGGAGGAGCGGTTACCAAAAGTTTTTGTGCCAATCAGCATTAAGAAGTCGATTAGATTCAATCCATCTGTGAAATTTTTATCAATTGTTCACTGACTCTTTTTGGTTTGGTGTCCATTTGATCATTTTTTTCTCATTTGTCCCTTATTTTATATTATA